GTATTTTGGATCGAAACTGGACCGTTTTTCAACCGTAACTGTATAAAACGGTTAAAAACCATAACCATTCACCGTAAAACTAGATTAGTTACGGTTAAAAAAAATATACTAACCGTAACCGTTAATATACCGGAAACGTATCAAAACCGTTATTTAACCGTACGATTAGCCGCACGGTTAACCGTATTATTAACCGCATAATTAAACTTTATAAAATATAATTGTAACTATGTATAATGCAAAAAAAAGGTCTCGAATGTTCAGATAAAGATTTCCGAAAAAGTAAATAATACAGTCTATGAAAAAATCTCATTAGAAATAATGGTTTTTTTCTCAAACAATTATTTTGGAATGTTATATTGCTCAAAATGATGAAAATTTTATTTATTATAGGACTAGTAAATTCATATTATTATTCTAACAATAAAATATTGTTCATTCTATATAATCTTAATTTTCATATGTAATTATATACTAAAGTACATTTCTATGTAATTTTTTTTCTTTTTAAATTCTTAATATTATTTATTATGTGTACCGCTATGATGTTTCCAATCAGAGTAAATTTTTAAAATTTGTTCTGCGTTATTTTTTTGTACAGCTTTCGTGTTTTATTCTTTTGTACAGCTTTGCACTATTCCCTAACAGCTAACAGCTCCAGCTAACCGCTCCAGCTAACAGCTAACAGCTTGTTACCAATCAGACCCTATATACTTGTGAAAACATAAATTATAACAAAGAAACCTCAGATCTACAGTTCAACTTGTGTCTGACACGAGTTTCTATACGATAAGATCAAACATGTATACCAGGAGACTTTTCTATAGATGAACTGATATAGTAATAAGATCCAAATCGGGAAATAAACAACTTGGAAACCGAACAGGAGTTTGCGTTCTTTAAGAGAAAACCAGTTATAGAATTTATTTTTTAGATTTGGTGTTTTTTTTTATTTTGTTATGAGTCACAATAATTGTTTTCCAAAAGATACTGTATCTTTTTACTCTCTTGAGAAGCACAGGACAACAACGAGCAATGCTGACTTGTCGGGGTCAGCAATTATTTAGTCACCGAACGAAAAAAAAAATTTGGGTTGGCGCCAAAAAACGGGAAAAAAAAATATCTAAGTGGGGACTGAGGGGCATTATTGTTTTATCACCAAGGAAAAGTAAACACAATGGCCCATTTTTACTGTTTCGATAAATTGATCTTTAAAAGACGAAAGTACCCCTCAACTGTAGGCAGCCATTATTGTGCATAACACACGCAGTTTCACTATATATACTTTCATAGAGGATCTCAACACTCTCACTAAACCAAAACCTCAAAAGCATTATTTGGGGATCGTCAACTTTCTTTCATCACCATGGATCCTTACAAGGTATATATCTCCATATTCTTCTTTCTTCTTATTTTAGGCGTATCTTGAATCGATCATTTTTTTTTTTCAAAGATCTTGAATCGATCATGTTTGTTTAGTTATGCTCGTTTTTTAACTGTTTTTGATGAGAAAAATAAATTGAAATTGGATTTACGTTCGTAAATCTTAGCGTTAAAATGTTTTTTTTTGCTCAAAAACTTACTTAAATTCTATGATCGCCTGAACTCTAAGTTGATGATGTTGATTTTTGTTTTGGCTGGCTATCTTTTCTGAAAACGTTATGATCTATAAACAACCACTGCATGAGAAAGACACGCCACATGTTGTTTTTTGTTGTTTTTTTCCTTAGATTAGAAATTGTTTTTGTTGTTTATGTTTTTTTCATTACACATGTGTTTTAAAATCGGAGGTTCCGATGATTTAATCGATTGTTTAAACGTCCGACCGTATATAATTTTAGTGATTTTAGCCAAATCATCAACTAAATGATTTCTGAGATCTACTAAACACCTGAGTAATCAAATCTACACGTTTGATTAATCAAATTTAAATAATCGATTAAGTTAGATTAAACATACGATTAATTTTTTTTAAAACATTCGGTTAATCATTGTCGGTCGATCTATCAATACAAGTATTTTTTCCGTACAACAAATAAATTCTCTCACAAACCGACGAAAAAAAAAACAAAATTCTATCAGTTTATTTTTTCGTACCATTAAAAGTGTTATGTAGAGTAGATCCATCAATCAAGACTTGAATCTACGTAAAAGCCCATTAATTGTCGAATAAATATAGTACTGTATTATCTACAAGTCTACAACCCTTATCTCCGACATGTTACTGTTTTCGTCACTAAATCTAAAGACTTCTTCGCTAAATAATAGACTTTGGTCGGGATGGACCACCCGGCGACCCGGATCCGTCCAGGAAACCGGGTTTTGATTTGTTCGGGTTGAATCATAAAATTAGGGCTTTTTACAAATTTTGTGGATTGTTCTTGTCGAATCCGTTCGATTGTTGCTTCCGGATGATAATCGATCGAATTATGGTGATTGCAGTATCGTCCTTCGAGCGCGTACAACGCCCCATTCTACACCACAAACGGTGGTACTCCAGTCTCCAACAACATCTCTTCCCTCACCATCGGAGAAAGAGGTATTTGTAATCCTGAATTCAAAGTATCTAACCATAAGAATCGGAACTGTAACCTTGTACTTGTTGGATTTATGGAAGAGATGAAACTGAGATATAGAGTCTAAAGCTAGGATCTTGTTGATGGAGTCTGATGTGTTTTTTTTTTTTTAAAGTTAACATGTGTTGCTTCGTATTGAGCAGGTCCGGTTCTTCTTGAGGACTACCATCTGATCGAGAAGGTTGCCAATTTTACCAGAGAGAGGATCCCTGAGAGAGTGGTTCATGCCAGAGGAATCAGTGCTAAGGGTTTCTTTGAAGTCACCCATGACATTTCAAACCTCACTTGTGCTGATTTTCTCAGAGCTCCTGGTGTTCAAACTCCGGTTATTGTCCGTTTCTCCACTGTTGTCCATGAACGTGCTAGTCCTGAAACCATGAGGGATATTCGTGGTTTCGCTGTCAAGTTTTACACCAGAGAGGTATAAGAAAAGATTCAAGTTTCCATTTTTAATTTAATCAGTCTTTTAGCTTCTTTAGAATCAGTACTGATTTGTGTCTTGCTACTGTTTTGATAATTTCAGGGGAACTTTGATCTTGTTGGGAACAACACTCCGGTGTTCTTCATTCGTGACGGGATTCAATTCCCCGATGTTGTCCACGCGCTGAAACCAAACCCGAAAACAAATATCCAAGAGTACTGGAGGATTCTGGACTACATGTCCCACTTGCCAGAGAGTTTGCTCACATGGTGCTGGATGTTTGATGATGTTGGTATTCCACAAGATTACAGGCACATGGAGGGTTTCGGTGTCCACACCTACACTCTTGTTGCCAAATCTGGGAAAGTTCTCTTTGTGAAGTTCCACTGGAAACCAACTTGCGGGATCAAGAATCTGACTGATGAAGAGGCCAAGGTTGTTGGAGGAGCCAATCACAGCCACGCCACTAAGGATCTGCACGATGCCATTTCATCGGGCAACTACCCCGAGTGGAAACTTTTCATCCAGACCATGGATCCTGCGGATGAGGATAAGTTTGACTTTGACCCACTTGATGTGACCAAGATCTGGCCTGAGGATATTTTGCCTCTGCAACCGGTTGGTCGTTTGGTTCTGAACAGGACCATTGACAACTTCTTCAACGAAACTGAGCAGCTCGCTTTCAACCCGGGTCTTGTGGTTCCTGGAATCTACTACTCAGACGACAAGCTGCTCCAGTGTAGGATCTTTGCTTATGGTGACACTCAGAGACATCGTCTTGGACCGAATTATCTGCAGCTACCAGTGAATGCTCCCAAATGTGCTCACCACAACAATCACCATGAAGGTTTTATGAACTTCATGCACAGAGACGAGGAGGTACGTCTTAGTACCACTTGAGCTACCATTGTTAGTCTTTTGACTTGGAATCAAAATTCTTATAGGGTGTTTGCTTTTTACAGATCAATTACTACCCCTCAAAGTTTGATCCTGTCCGCTGTGCCGAGAAAGCTCCTATCCCTACAAACTCCTACACTGGAATCCGAACAAAGGTCTGATTCATGCTTTAAATCTTGAAAACCTCAGACTCAATATATTCAAAACTGTCTGCTAAGAAAACCTTGAAACTGCTAATGTTGCAGTGCGTCATCAAGAAAGAGAACAACTTCAAACAGGCTGGAGACAGGTACAGATCATGGGCACCAGACAGGCAAGACCGGTTTGTTAAGAGATGGGTTGAGATTCTGTCGGAGCCACGTCTCACCCACGAGATCCGCGGCATCTGGATCTCTTACTGGTCTCAGGTGAGAACCACTCAGTGAAATCTCTGCTTCCTTTTTCACCAAATATTCAGCAAACTAAACATTATAATCTCTCTATCTTTCAGGCTGATCGATCTCTGGGACAGAAACTTGCAAGCCGTCTGAACGTGAGGCCAAGCATCTAGAGACCAATCTCGAGATAAGCTCAGTCTATGTGAGGTACAGAATCTCATCGATCCATCATCGCTTGGTCGTTTAAATCCCTGAAAAAGATATTCCACCTGTGTTGTTGTTTCATGTCAATATAATAATAATGCATATGCTTGTAATCCTCCCATAAAACTCTTGTTTCCTTCGGTTTTACTCTCACTGTCTCTGTAATCTCTTTTACAATAAATCAATGTTTCTTATGGTGGTCGTATACATATATTATTAATTCAGTTTTAGATTACAAAAAAAAGATAAAAATATTTGGACATGTAGAATCCAGAATTGGATCAACAATTGTCTATTAATGGTATAGTATCTGGCGTAATTAAAGACGATATCATCCACACGTAATTAGTTTGACTATTATCATTTGGATAAGGATAAACAAAGAAAAAACACATACGTGTTTTGGTTGTATCGCGAGATTTGTCTCATTTTATCGCGGCGGGATTTTGGGTTGAGCTAAAATAAGATATTTTATCTATTTTTTTGCTCGCTATAAAAAAAATCGACAACAGTCAGACACACGCCGATTTGCATAGAGTCTCACCAAAAAAAATCGCAAAGGAAAATTTGGGATCAAAATTGTCTTCCTGCATCATGGATCCATACAGGGTACATCGATCGATTCTCTTTAGGCTCCTTTTTTGTAATCTGTAATTTTGCCTTACTTGATTTCGTATCAATTTGGTTTTTGATTTCGTGTTGAATACAAAGTATACGATCTCTCTCGGTTAGAAATGATGCAAAATTGGGGTGATTGTTCGACTTATTGAGGTTTTTGTGGGGTCTTTAAATCAATTTTTTTAATATTTAGCAGAGATCGGGTTTGAGACTTACATGCGTTGAATTTTAGAAAAGAAAACTTATATATTTAGGAAAATTCTACATGTTTTCTTCGTCTATTGATTGTTTATTTGTCCACATACTCATGTTCTAATCAACAAGTCTTAAGGCTGACGTGATCTGTCATACTCGTTGTAGATCATCTCATGTTTTTTGTTATTTAATCACTGTGTTTGATTGTGAGTATCATTGTAGCTTATATATCAGCTTGGAAATGCTAGCGTTGCTTCCTAGTTTTCGCGATTTGTATTGTCTTTTTTTTTTAGTTGAATTTAAGTTAATGGATCATATACTTTGTGTATCAACTTACAAGTATCTTATTTGTTAAAGACGTTTCTCTTATTTAAGGGAATTTGGTTTTAAAAAATGTGATCCATTTGCATTTTTTGTTCTTCTGAATTTATTTGTTGGGTGCAGGTTCGTCCTTCAAGCGCTCATGATTCCCCTTTCTTCACTACAAACTCGGGTGCTCCTGTCTGGAACAACAACTCTTCTTTGACTATCGGAACTCGAGGTGCGTCTCTCTTTCTTATCTCTCGAATAAAACTTATAGCGATAGGTTGAACCAGTGGTTGTCAGAACTGTCCTTGAAGGTAATGGAAGCTAAAGATTTGTAATAAATGTTTAGATAAGAATGTCATTAGTGTTTTTGTGGACTTGCGTGAATCAGCTCTCTTCCTTCAGTTATATGCCAAATCTGATATTGATTCTTCCAATCTTTATTCTTGAAAATTTAGAAATGTGAAGCGATGATATTGTATGTTGTCAGGTCCAATTCTTCTGGAGGACTATCATCTGCTTGAGAAACTCGCCAACTTTGACAGGGAGCGGATTCCTGAGAGGGTAGTTCATGCCAGGGGAGCCAGTGCTAAGGGTTTCTTTGAAGTCACTCATGACATTACTCAACTTACTTCTGCTGATTTTCTTCGAGGACCTGGTGTTCAGACTCCTGTTATCGTTCGTTTCTCAACTGTCATCCATGAGCGTGGCAGTCCCGAGACTCTGAGAGATCCTCGTGGTTTTGCTGTTAAGTTTTACACCAGAGAGGTTAGCTTTTGTCTTATCTTGCCATTGTCTCTCTGTTTTCTATAATCAATATGTATGTGTTTACTGATATTGGAACGTTCATTAGCTTATCTATTTCGTTTCACCACCTATTTCATTAATTGTGAATCATATCGTACTCTACTGATTCTTCTTACCCTCTGTTTGCAAACTCAGGGGAACTTTGATCTTGTTGGGAACAACTTCCCTGTATTCTTTGTCCGTGATGGAATGAAATTCCCTGACATGGTCCATGCATTGAAACCGAATCCCAAGTCCCACATTCAGGAGAACTGGAGAATACTGGACTTCTTCTCCCACCACCCAGAGAGTTTGCACATGTTTTCGTTCCTCTTTGATGATCTCGGTATCCCACAGGACTACAGGCACATGGAAGGCGCTGGGGTCAACACTTACATGCTAATCAACAAAGCTGGAAAAGCTCACTATGTGAAATTCCACTGGAAGCCGACTTGTGGGATCAAATGCCTGTCGGATGAGGAAGCTATCAGAGTTGGAGGATCCAATCACAGCCATGCTACTAAAGATCTCTATGACTCGATCGCAGCCGGTAACTATCCACAGTGGAATCTCTTCGTTCAGGTGATGGATCCTGCTCATGAAGACAAATTCGATTTCGATCCGCTTGATGTCACAAAGATCTGGCCTGAAGATATCTTGCCTCTACAACCTGTTGGCCGCTTGGTCTTGAACAAAAACATCGACAACTTCTTTAACGAGAACGAACAGATTGCTTTCTGTCCTGCTCTTGTGGTTCCAGGCATCCACTATTCAGATGATAAACTACTCCAGACCCGGATCTTCTCCTATGCTGATAGTCAGAGACACCGTCTTGGACCAAACTATCTGCAACTACCTGTCAATGCTCCTAAATGTGCTCACCACAACAATCACCATGATGGTTTTATGAACTTCATGCACAGGGATGAGGAGGTAATCATCTCTCTCGGCTCTGGAACCTCTCAGATACTTAAATTCACAACCATTTTCACATTTATATGAAGTGAATTTGTTACTTTCCAATTCCAGGTCAATTACTTCCCTTCAAGGTTGGATCCAGTTCGCCATGCCGAAAAATACCCTACAACTCCTATTGTCTGCTCTGGAAATCGTGAGAAGGTCAGATTCCTCTACATGCCTTAATATTGATCACAAGTTTTTCCACGTAGTTAAACTCAAATGTCATCTTTATATCACAGTGCTTCATTGGGAAGGAGAACAACTTCAAGCAACCAGGGGAGAGATACAGGTCTTGGGATTCAGACAGGTAAACACTATAATAAACTCAGAAACCACTTTACAAAATCAACAAATCTTACACATGAACCACAAATGTCATTAATTCATTCTAATTGTCTTTTGTCTGCTACCCAATAGGCAAGAGCGATTCGTGAAGCGTTTTGTTGAAGCGCTTTCGGAGCCTCGTGTCACGCACGAAATCCGCAGCATTTGGATCTCTTACTGGTCTCAGGCAGACAAATCACTGGGACAGAAACTAGCGACTCGTCTTAACGTGAGGCCAAACTTCTGAATGATATCATCTCTAAAAGACTAAGTGAAATCCTCTAAACCCAATATTCGCCTCTTGCGCTTTGGTTTCTAAGTAATCTCGTTTATTGAACAGTGAAATGCTTAAAGAAGGGTACTAGTTCATGTTTGTAATCTTCTCTTCAAAATATTAACTAATATTTTTCTAAGGCAAATAATAAAAAGCTATGACTAAATAATATAGCTTATTTACTTATTTTCGCTATCACCCAATAAGTAAAATTTTATTTGTTTTTTTTATTATCTTTTTTGCCCTCACTGTAGTTTGTAATATAGTATTTAAATTTCCCGATTTGCATCTATGACGTGAGCTTATAGTTGGAATTATATTGGGGTCTAATGTCAGACGCACGATCTTGATAAAAAGTTTAATGTCTTTGTCCATATTTTGATAAAATTGGTATAGTCATCACGTCAGACCTTTTAATTGGTCATCGTTATGATGCGATATCGCATTCATAATTTATAATTTATATGTAAGTGGGGGTGGAGTATTTGATTATTCCGCTCCTAGTGGAAATGAAAAAGAATAATGAGAGCAGACTAACTTTTTAAAAAATTATTTTTATACTTTTGTTGCGCTTAACTTTTTATTAGCTAATACAGTCTGACTAATCTGATGTATCAGCTAGTAATTTGTTTTCTTAAAGAGAACCCCAGCTCAAATCAGAAATTAGACGCATGGAGCCACATAAAACCTTAAAAGTATTAATCACCAATAATTGTAGTTTTGAGTTTTTAAGGTAAACACCATTTTTGTGTATTAAAAAAAAGTTGGCCACAAATTCTGAGTTTTCTAAATAATGTCTATATACTATTCATATTTAAAAATACAGTTTTTAGTTTTACGAAAAAATAAAATAAAATAAACAACTTCTTAAGTGGGTAGTGTGTGCAAGATTTTAGATCGAAGTTACGCATCTTAAGAGATTGTTTATCCAATGAAATGGTATAGTAAATTGTGTGTTGCTAATGGTCCAGGGATTTTTATATATTTAAAATTCATAACTTTGCAGTTTAACGAAAGGAAAAAAACAAATTTAACGTGTTTTGGTTGTCGTTAAACAAGATCTCGGATCCATTTAGGAAAAGTCAATATCTTGATGACGAAATCAAGAAGACTTTACTTTGATTGCATGTGACGGAACTTAAGCACTTTACAAAACGATAAAATTGTAATTATGTAAATATCTAAGTTTTGAGGTGTATAATGCAAGAGTATAATTTCGTGGGCCTGTGTCTTATGTCTACCAACAAATGTACTCAACATAAATAATATCGTCTCCGTACCCCAAAAAAAAGGTATATAGGTTTTATACCTAACCAAGACGTGCAAATATTATCACATATTATTTGACGTGGCAGTTAATGATTCGGCCAACCTTATAATAATTCGTTTCTCTTTATTTTGTTTTGCACTTAATGGGCTCATTTTTGCGTATTATATTAAGGGATCTCTTATATCATTGTCCGAAATTTTAATCATTTTTTATACGTTTCAATGCCCTATGAAAAGAGATTCTATTTGCCCGGATCATAATTTTAAATTGTGAAGTGAGAATCTTCTTTTGTATTTGCAAAGTTTTCTATTCATTGGTTAGCCCAATAAAGTTTGTTTTCTTTGCAATTCTATAACATTTTGTAGAATTATTTGGCTGTTTATAATTATATTTTTATTTGTTTGCGAAACTGATTATTGGCTGTTTAGGCTATAAACTATATACAATTAAAGTAGTGCAAGATTCCAATTTACCCGTTGGGACTTAAAATCTCAACAGCTTGAACAAAAGTAATGAAAGATTCATGTGGATGTGACCATTATTTGTGTTCGGCGGATGTGATCATTATTAAAGCTCAAGTATCATGGTATCTAGTTTATATAAGTGGATAAGATATATAAACACCATATTTTGTAACCCATAGTTAGTTTTGTATTGTTTGTTTTTCTAATATCCTATGAAGTTCAACAAAACAAATCACACTCTACTACATTGACGGGATCAGTAATCAGTTCAACGCCTTTATACCATATGTTAGATATTGATGGGATTTATACAAATTTCAACATTGCATTGCTAAATTTTGACATGAGATCTTATGTTCTAAAATTGGATGTCTAAGTGTTTACCTAAGCATTCAAAATCACCCAAACTTTGATTTTAGTCGAAAAAAGATATTAACTTTATTCGTAATCAGAAATCAAAAATCTAAAATCTAACCGGACACCACATACAAACATGATCGAGGATTCGAAGTTAAAGAAAGTCTTTTCACATAAAAACAAAAATCGAAAAATAGTCAATTTTAAGATCGTTTTTTTTTTTGGTCTCAGATTTCTTCACAATGAAGGAAAATATTGTGTATGGGAGGAGTGTTGCATTTTGTTTCATCAAAATATATAAAATTCCCAACAGCCCATATGAGTGACCTAACGAAAACTTTTTAATGCTGACTTATCATATTCTTCAATCCATTCTCAAATAAATATCTTTTTTTTTTTAATTTATAAAGCTCTATATAATTCAGTCAATTAGAAACCAAGTTGACCATATTTAAAACTAAAAGATGATATTTAGATCTTAACTACGTGTCATCTATGAATTCTGAATATTTTCGAATTTGAAATAGACGAAAAAGTTGGTCATTAGCTTTATCCTGCTGTGTAAGTAGAAATTTTCAAAAAGGTAAAATGTTAAATTTTCTTAAATAAATAAATAAAACTCTTTACCCAAAAGGAAATTATAGTATTTAGGTAGTCCATTAGTTAAATAGATATAGTAATATTAATCAAATCCATGTTCAAGATCAAAATCCAACTTCTTTTATATAGTTGGACCGAAATAAAAATATGTACAGTGTGATACACTTACTATTGGAAAAAAGGGAGAACTGAATTTGATTGAAATTGGAAGTCATGAGTAAATATATTTGAAGTAGTGTGTACCTAATTGGGATTACGTGAGACAAAACCCAAGTGGAGGAAACGCAGTCATGTACCACTTGTTTCGTCTTTTTAGCTTGTATTACTTGCGTGTATACTTAAAGCTTAAAGCTCGTTATGTTCCATTCTGTTTTGTTTCTGATTTTAGATTTTTCGTCACGTACAAAAAAACTTGTTCATATGAGATATGACTTTGAATTTTGATTGAGATTACCAAAGTTAATTGATGTTACATATCATCTGCCAAAAGCTATTTTGTCTTACAATCAACATTATCCAAACAATATTTTCTTAAATTTAATTTTATAAACAAGTCTATAGCTTTTTCTCTTATTTGAGAGTTTGGATATGTATTTGGAATGACTCCAACGGTTGAATCGCTTTCCACAACCTTTACCTAAATCTAACAATTTTGACGTCCTTCGAAAAACATTATCCACATCGATTAACCCGTCCCGCAAATCCACAAAATTCGTCCATTTTCTTATACTGTGGTTACTAAGTAGAAACGTATATGTTGAAAAGTTGAGACAGGAAAACTATATTAATGACCAATCAATGGTTTGGCCTAACAAAATATTTCTATATGTTAGCGGTGGAATCTATTCACGAGGCGAAGATGGTATTGGCTACACAATACCCTCCACTATATAGAAACTTTTGTTTCACTGAACTACTTTATATTGTCAATTTGATTAGATTAATATATTTTTCTGATCAAATTGAGGGAAGAACCTACTCCCCCACTCGTTTATTTTTATTTACTTTATAACTTCTCCAAATAAGCCTATAGGCTATAGGAGTATAATAATGGCCTTTAAAGATTCTTTAATCTTTTATAATTATAAAAAATTATACCAACATGTAACAAAATTGAAAATTGTAAACGTTATTAAATATTAAGTTATCCTCTAATAGCAACAAGAGTCTAAAAATGGAAAACGATTCGCTTTGGTCATCACCACAATAAAATGTTGAAGAATCAGTCTCCAAATACAATAAGCTTTTGAAGAACAAATTGGCGAAATCAGATATGGTATATTTTAAAGATACGTACAGCCATTATATTTGATTTTTTCAAAAAAAAAATTAGGATCTTATTCTACCACTGATTGTATTTAACAATTTATAAACAAATATGTATTTTATGTTAAAAGTCAACATGAAAAAAACCTTCTACCAAGCTTTTGTCGATGATTTTTATTTTCACATGTAAACTCATCGATTACGGACGACTCTCTCTAGAACAAAGCCTTAGAAATTTGACAGATATTATAATATACTGAAGAAAAAAAAACAATGTTAATAGTCAGTGTAGGAAAAAAAAAAAAAAAAAAAAAAAAAAAAAAAAAAAAAAAAAAAAAAAATCTTAATATTAATGAAATAAATGCTTTTACTATTTCAGTCATAGTTATAGTTTTAAATTCTTGTTATCAATTGTCAAAATGTATACAACAGATATTCCAAATAATCATTATGTGATTATAATTGGTGAAATTCTATTTGCTAAAACAAAACAAAAAAAAGGTTTTGACTTTTTTACATAAATAGGAATTCACTGCAAGGAGACATGTTGTTGCTCATTTGTTTATTCCCTCTGTGTCTGTAATCTCTCTCTAGAAAGTGGAGGAATCTTCTATCTCTCCTCCAGTCAGAAAAACCCAAGCAGCCTGGAAGAGAGAGAGAGAGAGAGTAATGTGAGAGTTATATGAAAACAAAATTCGCAGTAAGGTCTCGCTATGTCCCGATGCATAGAGGAAGATAACGATCCACAAATTTTCATTTTAGAAAGTTTTTAAAATTTTCTTCTTCTTTTTTGTATTCATCTTCCGTGAAGAAGTACCACATAATAACCCCATCAGAAGCTTCCTTTTGGTTTGAGATTTGGGTTTTTTTTTTTTCTCGTCTGTTCCTTCTATCTCAGACAACAAATTGCAACAGAGGAAACTTTAAAACCCCACTTGAGGAAGGAATCTTTAAGAATCTCTCTCCGACTTGTGAGTTTTTCCTTCTATTTTCTCTTTTAAAGCTTTAAAGGTTTGATTTTTCGTTGAGAACGAAGCTGATTAGCTCGAAGTTCGTTTTTTTGGGTTTCATTGAGCCATTTTGTTTGACCAGCTTGAAGGAATCAAATAAAAAGTTCGTTCTTTTTTGTTTTTGTGTGTCTACTTTGGATTATTTCATTTTGTCTTCATGAATTAGATTTAGACAAGATTTGTGTTTGATTAGTGTTTCGTTAAATGTTTTGATTTGTGCCCTTTAATTTCCTACTTTATCGGTTGGTGATTTCTATACTCATGAGTCCTATCCTTTTCTGAAAAACAATGGACGCTGACTCAATCTCGATCTCGACCTTTTGTTTGTTTTGTTTTTGAAAATGGATGCTTCGTTTTTTCAGATGTTGCTTCATTGATTTTGGAGATATATCCATGGAAGATAGTTTTCTTCAATCTGAGAACGCGGTTATGGACGCTGACTTCATGGATGGATTGCTACTAGATGGTTGTTGGTTAGAGACAACAGATGGATCTGAGTTTCTTAACATAGCTCCTTCAACTTCTTCCGTTAGCCCTTTTGATCCATCTTCCTTCATGTGGTCTCCAACTCAAGATACATCAGCTCTCTGTTCATTAGGAGTTGTATCTCAGATGTATGGTCAGGACTGTGTAGAAAGATCGAGTCTTGATGAGTTTCAATGGAACAAACGATGGTGGATTGGACCAGGAGGTGGTGGTTCTTCTGTAACTGAGAGATTGGTTCAAGCAGTTGAACATATTAAAGATTACACAACGGAGAGAGGCTCGCTTATTCAGTTATGGGTTCCGGTTAATAGAGGCGGTAAGCGAGTTTTGACCACAAAGGAACAACCTTTTAGCCATGATCCGTTGTGTCAAAGACTTGCAAACTATAGAGAGATCTCTGTGAAATATCAGTTCTCTGCTGAGCAAGATGATTCCAAGGCCTTAGCTGGTTTGCCTGGAAGGGTTTTCTTGGGGAAGCTTCCTGAATGGACTCCTGATGTTAGGTTTTTCAAGAGCGAGGAGTATCCGAGAGTACACCACGCTCAGGACTGCGGTGTCCGTGGAACGCTGGCGATTCCGGTGTTTGAACAAGGTAGTAAGATTTGTTTGGGTGTTATTGAGGTTGTAATGACCACTGAGATGGTTAAACTAAGACCTGAGCTTGAAAGCATTTGCAGAGCACTTCAGGTTTGTGTCCTTCTCTAAAGCTTTCAGCTTTTGCTATTGAAGTGGTTTTTCTGAGAGGGGTGAACGTGTTTCCTTTTTGCAGGCAGTTGATCTTAGGAGCACCGAACTTCCGATTCCGCCTTCTCTAAAGGTAATCAAAGAAACTATATGAGTTCTTTAAGTTCCGGTTTGTGGTATAAATCAGATTGCTTCTTCTTTACTCAGGGATGTGACTTATCCTACAAAGCTGCATTACCTGAAATCCGAAACCTCTTGAGATGTGCTTGTGAGACTCATAAACTACCTTTAGCTCAGACATGGGTCTCTTGTCAACAGCAAAACAAAAGCGGGTGCCGTCACAACGATGAGAACTACATCCATTGCGTATCAACCATTGATGATGCTTGCTACGTTGGTGATCCAACAGTTCGCGAGTTCCACGAAGCTTGCTCTGAGCATCACCTCTTGAAAGGCCAAGGAGTTGCAGGTCAAGCCTTCTTGACCAATGGACCTTGCTTTTCGTCTGATGTATCTAACTACAAGAAATCAGAGTACCCTCTCTCTCACCACGCTAATATGTACGGTTTACATGGCGCGGTTGCAATTCGCCTGCGCTGCATCCACACGGGCTCTGCTGATTTCGTCTTAGAGTTCTTTTTGCCCAAAGACTGTGATGATCTGGAGGAACAGAGGAAAATGTTGAATGCTCTTTCAACTATTATGGCTCATGTGCCTAGAAGCTTAAGGACTGTTACAGATAAAGAACTAGAAGAAGAGAGTGAAGTGATAGAAAGGGAAGAGATAGTAACGCCAAAGATAGAAAACGCATCGGAACTCCACGGAAATTCCCCATGGAACGCCTCTTTTGAAGAAATCCAGCGGAGTAATAATACTAGTAATCCTCAGAATCTTGGATTGGTATTTGATGGAGGAGACAAACCAAATGATGGGTTTGGCTTAAAAAGAGGTTTTGACTACACCATGGATTCTAATGTCAATGAAAGCAGCACTTTCTCTAGTGGCGGTTTCAGTATGATGGCCGAGAAAAAGCGTACAAAAGCAGATAAAACCATCACTTTGGATGTTCTTCGACAGTATTTCGCAGGGAGCTTGAAAGATGCAGCCAAGAATATCGGTGGTAAGCAGCATTTTTCTATCTACTCGATTCAATTTATTGGAAAGTCCTAAGACTGATCTCTTCTTTTGCCTTTTTCTTGTCTTGGAAAATTTTCAGTTTGTCCAACGACCTTGAAGAGAATATGCAGACAGCATGGTATACAGAGATGGCCTTCAAGGAAGATCAAGAAAGTGGGACATTCTCTGCAGAAGATCCAACGAGTGATTGATTCAGTTCAAGGTGTTTCTGGTCCTCTTCCCATAGGCTCCTTCTACGCAAATTTCCCCAATTTAGTCTCACAGTCACAAGAACCATCACAACAAGCCAAGACCTCGCCTCCTCCTCCGCCGCCAGTGCAGCTAGCAAAGTCCCCTGTTTCCTCATACAGTCACAGTTCAAACTCTAGCCAATGTTGCTCCAGTGAAACCCAACTAAACAGCGGTGCAACAACTGATCCTCCTTCAACTGATGTAGTAGGTGCATTGAAGAAGACAAGTAGCGAAATCGAGCTTCAAAGCTCGAGTCTTGACGAGACAATTTTGACTCTCTCCAGTTTAGAAAACATCCCTCAAGGCACCAACTTGTTATCATCTCAAGATGAGGACTTTCTGAGGATTAAAGTTAGCTATGGAGAAGAGAAGATCAGATTACGGATGCGGAATTCGCGCAGGTTAACAGATCTATTGTGGGAGATTGGGAAGCGGTTTAGCATAGAGGATATGAGCAGGTATGATCTAAAGTACTTAGATGAAGACAATGAATGGGTTTTGTTGACATGCGACGAAGATGTAGAAGAGTGCGTAGATGTTTGCAGAACCACACCAAGTCATACCATTAAGCTTTTGCTTCAGGTTTCTTCTCATCATTTCCCGGAACGTTCTTTAGCTACAGAATACAGTTTATGGCACTGACCTCAAATCAGAGAAAGAAAAAAGAAAAAGAAGCGTTTTAGGACATGACACAGAAGATAATAATACCTTTGTGTTCTGTTACAATTGTTCATAATTTTATCTTTGGTTTTTTTTTGAAAGAAGAGAAGAGGTGCTTTGGGTTTTGTTTTTATAAACGCACCAGAGACAAGAAGAGAAGAACATGTAAAGATCTTATCTTCCTGAGATATTGAAGATGGTTTTTTTTTGTTTTCTGAAATTCCTTTGTAATGCTGTTTTCAAATGTAGATACATATAAAAGACTTTTAATTGTTTCCATAATTGTCATATACATCATAGACAGGAAACAAACAAGTAAACAAAACTAAAAAAACAAAACATTTACCAAATATATATTGTTTTCTGAGAAAGAAACAAAAAAAAAAACATTTTTACAGAACATCAAACTGAAATTCTTAACAAAAGCTTAAGACTGTTTTTGTGTGTTTTACAAGTCTCGTCGCGGCGTTCTTGTAACCTCTGGTGATGGGGATGAGACGTTTCGAGCTTCATGAGATCGGCTCTGTGCGGCTAAGTACTCAAGTGCCACAACTATGTCACCTATGAACGGTCGATAATGAGCTTCTTCGTTAAGACACATTGCGATTATCGCAATCGCATAGTTTAAACACCGTCTTGGGTATTTTCCTCGAAGAGACGGATCCACTAAATGTCCAAACTTCTTCTGATCCTTGAGGTATGGACGTGACTGCAGAGACAAGAAGATTTTGGTTATAACTAGAGTAGAGATTTTTGAATTACGGCTCAAGCCGGTTTAGTAGGTTTCTTACCCAAGTAACAAGATTCTGCTCGCCTTGCTTTTGACTCAAATCAATAGCTTTTCTCCCAGTAATCAGCTCAAGCAACACTACACCGAAGCAGTAGATATCCGATTTAACAGTTAATTTCCCACTCATTGCATATTCGGGAGCACAGTAACCGTAAGTTCCCATGACACGAGTCGATACATGAGTTCGATCACCTACTGGACCGAGTTTCGCCAATCCGAAATCCGAGAGTTTTGGACTGAACTCTTTGTCTAACAATATGTTTGCAGATTTCAAATCGCGGTAAATCACTGGAGGGTTAGCTGTGCAGTGAAGATACTCTATTCCGCGAGCTGCACCAACCGCGATTTTCATTCGAGTATTCCAGCTTAATGGTTCTTGATTGGACTCAAGATCTGAAAATCAAACCAAAAAGTACAACATATGAAATTGAAAATCCTTGAGATAATAACATCAAACAACAATGGAGTAAAGTAGTAACTAACCAAAAAGGTGATCTTCTAAGCTTCCCATTGGCATGTATTCATAGACAAGAAGTCTCTGATCACCAGAAGTACAGTAACCAATCAATGTAACGAGATTCGGATGATGCAATAAGCTAAGCATAAGAACTTCTACTATAAATTCCCGGTTCCCTTGAAGCCCATCTGGATTCAATTGCTTAATAGCCACTACCTGCTTTCATCAAATTACATCAAAATCTCATAAAAACAGAGTTGCTCTTTAAAAGGGCTTGAAGAAGAGAAAGAGAGAGAGAGAGAGAGAGATCTGACTTGTCCTGAATCTAAACGTCCCTTATAAACTCTGCCAAAACCTCCTTCACCGAGCAAATTCACTTCCCGGAAGTTTCTTGTGGCTGCAGCTAACTCCTTGAACGTGAAGCTCCGAGCTCCACCACCAGGTATCGGACTATTCACTTTACCGTTAACTGTTCCAAATTCCGACAGAAATTAACCCAAAAAATGTGTGAAAAAGACAATAAAAGGGTCATAATCAAGAAACAACTCATGACTCACCTAAAATACCCGAAATCGACTCTGTTCCTGTTGTATCACTTCCATGAACTGAAATCACAAAGAAAAACATTATAAACAAAAATGAAAACTTTAGAGATAAAAACAATGAAAGTTTTCGAATTGTGGAAATGAAAAAAGAACCTGATGAATCGGTTTGGTAACGAGAGTTGCATCGAGCGTTATCAATGTCGACTCTTGTATCCTTGGTTCGAGGATTCAAACAAGAGAAACAACAAGTCATCTTCTTTTTTTCTTCAAGATTACAACAATGGCGATTAAAGAAGGGATTTTAGAAAATGGAGCTGGTTTTTTGAGAAAACCAAGCTCCGAAAAATCCCAACACCAGACACAAAAACCTGACAAATTTACTAAAGAAAAAAAGATCAAAACCTAGGATTTCGGTTCTGAAACTAAAAAGAGATTGATTTCTCTGTTTCTTCTCCTTGGATAATCCCAGAAAACAAAAGAACAATCTTTTTTGGCAGAGTAAAGCGAATTATTGAATCGGCGATAGATTGCAGGAAGACAGAGAGAGAAAAATTATTATTAAAAAAAAAAAACTGAAGAGTTACTAAAATTATACAAATTCCATCTAATCACGACAAAAAATGACAAGGATCTTAAAACAAGAAAAAAAAAAAAAGGTTTAAACAGTAGAGAAAAACCAGAAAATCACGGGAGAGACTTAAATTTGTAACAACTGAATTTTTGTTCTTCTTCCTTATGTATTTATTTTCTACTCTTTTCTTTTTTAGTTGGAGCTACTAATATTTAAGTGGTAGAAGACGACGAGTTTCGTTTTGTTCTTTTCCAACTAGGTCCCATTTTTCCAATAAAGAAAAAATTTTAATTTTTTTAACTCATTCTATCTTCTTTTCTAAAATCAAAATTTAAAATTTTTCCCCCAAAATTAAAATCTATATCATTATCCCCCTTCTCTTCTTCTCTGGCATTTAAACCGGTTTGGTCCCCTCTTCGTGCTTTAAATTACGACTATACCCTCTCCGATAACCACGCTTGGACGAATTACTATAGTAGCCTCGACGAACAGTACAGTGTTTTGAGAGAACACCCATGAGGCCGACAGTGGATTTTGAAGTTGAGATTTTGACAAATGGACGGTCCAGATTAGATTATCTTGACCTTACGTATTTCAGTGGGTCACACTCACTGTCCTCTGCCTTCCCCGCATTGACTTTATTTACCGTTTTAGTAAATTCTGTTCCTGTCATCATAAGAATAATAATGGCTACTTTATAATCTATCAATTATTAGCTGATATGTTTGGAATTTTTCACCTATCTTTTTCTATCATATCTTTGCTTCTTTTTTTTTTTCTTTTTATCATCGAGCTGTTTTTTTTTGTTTTTTTCTCGTATTTATGACATTATCGTTGATCTTGTTACCATTCACACATCTACAATTTAAAGCATGTTAATGGAATTAAAATTTTGAACCAATGAGAATTATTATGAACGTTCTTTTACTTTTGAAACTCTTTTTTTATGTGTCCTCCATGGCTCCATAATTTTGAATAACTTTATTGTGAATTTACTGTTACTAATGGCTAATGTGTTGCCATTAAATATTACTTTTAGTTTCCATTGCTATTTAAAAAAAAAACTATAACTACAACTATTGTTTCCCCTGTTCTAAAAATCGGCCGCCTAGCCGCCTAGGCGGCCGCCTAGCCGCCTAGGCGGCCGCCTAGGCGCTGATCGGAGGAGCACCGCGGCGATTTTGTCCAAATCGGTGAGAAAAATCGGAGATCCGATTTTTTGTCCGCCTGGACCGCCTAGGCGGCCGCCTAGCCCGCCTAGACGGCGCCTAGCCCAATTTTTTTTTTTTTTTTTTTTTTTTTTACTTTTTTTTTTCATCTAAAATTCAAAACGTCCTACTTATGTTCGTAATTTGTATAAAAATCATAAATTTGAAATTAAAATCTTGTTTTCATGTGTTTAATACAATTTTAAAAACAATATTATATAAATTTCTTAATTATAATGGATTAATATGTTTTTAAAATATTAAATAGCCCTAAAACTAATCCCCGATTAATCCCCGTGTAATCCCCGATTTTCTTCCTAGGCGCTAGGCGCACCCTCACCGCCCGACTAGCGCCTAGCGATTTTTTGAACACGGATTGTTTCTATGGCGACAATACAATATCACCCGTGTCACTCGTTCCAACAAATCGTAACTTTGTCTCTTCGATTATATTCTTCCAAGGAGGAGGCAAAACGTAGATATAACTCGACCATTGATGTTTCTCGACATCTTCTAAAACCCATAGTTGAATTCCTGTATATCGTATTAAGCCAGGACCAATGTTCGGCTGGAGTTTAGCTATTTTACCCTTGTAGTTTACAAGAGTTGGTTGAAGCTTACCTCCTGAGTTAAGTTTCATGCCATGAGCTTTCTTTATATAACTAAACTTCTCAGATTTAATATCAAAGCAAACTATATCAGGAAACCCGTCTAAGTCATCACAGACTTGGGCTAAGTAATATAGCTCTTTTTATCTGGATTGCGAAAGAGAAAAAGAGCTGGCTGTTGAAAACGAAGTCGTTGGTGATCTTCTCTGCTACCTTCGCCGGAGAACTCTGTCGTTTCTAGCGACTTGCTTGGCACGCAAGTTCTTATCATAGGGCTATAATCTGTTTCAATTCTGTAAATATCATTTTATAACTAAGAACATTTACGTCATTTTGCATGTCTTCTATAATTATAACTGTGTATTCAACAAAAAAAAAGTAAAACTAGTATATATTATTATTACTTTTTAAATAGGAAACAGAGCAAATTTATTATAAACCGTGAAAGCTATATATACATTAATACATACATGTAAAATCGAAATCCAAGAACATTTGCTTCATCTACATAAAACGGAAAAAAAAAAATACATAAAACGGGATAATTTATTAATGTTTTTTTTTTACGATATGATTATTATTGGTGAAGAGATAAACCAATGGTTAGAGAGCAAAATAAATATCACGAGACGTCGAGAAGACCCACCAAACAGAGACGTTCACGTAAATCCCGTGATGCCGTGAGCTCCTCTCTTGACAAAATTCAAATTAAGACCATTGATGAAGGCATACGATCGAATCGAATACCTTTAATGAGTTATAATACTTTACAAATTTGAGATATTCAGATTTCTAATGTAATTTAGAATTTGATGGTCAATCATACACTAAGAAAATTGCTTTAAATAGTAAAATTCATTTATATTGTGTTTTCTGATTAAGCACATGACTGGTTAAGCATTTGAACTTCTTAGCAAAAAACAGTCAGAGTTCCCATTACCAAGGAGCTTGAAAATCGAAGCCGGCAAAGTCTTCCAAGAAAGAAACTGACAACTCTTACATAAGGTCAAATGCCAAGGACACAAATCTAACATTACTTTGTTTATCTTCCTTTTTTATGGCCAAGGTTAGAAGAACATAACGAAAATATATCTGAAAAATTCTGGGAAAAGAAAAAATTATATATTCTACAGCCTGCGTGACTCCTGTGGTTTTTTTTTTTTTTCTTCTTGTTTTCTCTTTTTACCCCTAAAAAAATTATGGAAGTTGCAACAATCTGTACAATAGAGAGAGACTTGTCCCATATATTTTCATGTCACAACAAATAAGCCATGACTTTCCACAAGATTTCATTCCAGAAAATCTATGGCTGAGATAGCCAATGGAAAATGCCTCTTCTTCTTCTTCTTTCAAATATCCATACTCATCTTCAGAGCTGTAATGCCAGATCCGGATGCTGTGACTGAGGACGAACCAGTCTGCTGATTAGAGCCCGGGGAGTTTGGTGAGACGAGCCTCGCGTTAAGGTCCGGTGGAAATCGGTGGAATTCCTGTTTGGTGTAAGGAAACAGTGACCCTTGTTGTTGCGAGCCCGGTGTGGCCTCATTGCTTACGTTTGGTTGTTGCTGTCTCGCAATTCCTAGCATCTGATTTGCATTATGGCTGAATCCGCGGATGAGGCCGTTGCTGCTCTCAGTTTTGATCAGCAGTCCTGCCTGGTGAGAGGAGGATGATGGGTGATCTGTTTCTGGATTCAAGACACTAGGGGGTGGTGGTGCGGTTTCTTCGATGGCTTGAGAAGAAGAATGTCTGTTTCCTATGAAAGCGCTAGAGACTGAAGCGGTTGGAGACAGGATTCTGTTTGAATGATCATCAGAAGCTAAGTCATTCGAACACTTTTGTTTTCCGGACGACATTAGTAAGTTTTGTTTCTGAGAATCATCCTCTTCAGGTCCTGCTGGGTTCTCTCCAACCCAACCTTGACCAAATTTGATTCCAGATGGCAATACAGTCTCGATTCTCCTCGATGCAACTTTCCAAGCAACAGGACCAAGATTTGCAGCATATCGTGCTAGACTCTTCGCGTAACCGTACTCCATGTTCAGCCCAACCTGATGAATAAGGAAAACAATGGTCAGACTCTTGCTTCTCTATACAAAGGATATAATAGAGTTGGCAACTACGTACTGGAATTAACTGTTTTAACTCGTCTTCAAGCGTTGTCAAAACCGACGGTTCTTGGGTAGAAGTCGAGAGATGGTTGTAGGTATCGCGTCTGTTATCATCGACATTGAAATGTTTCATCCCATACTTGTTAACCGCCTTCACAACCGAAGCTACAGAAAAAACAAGAAAATGGTTCATATTGGCAAAAAAAAGAAAGTCTGAAAGAAGGTAATAAGCAAAGGCAGAGATTATTTTACATGGAAATTCGTTCTCCCAGTCTACCGACCAACCACTTTGGGTTTCGCTGTTATGATTGATTCTAACTGATGATTCTGCTTGACGGAATTTGTATGAAGGAGGAGCCTTTCTTAAATTGTAAGCACCAGAAAACTTATTAGAGCTATCTCCAGGAATGAGCGCATCAGCTGAAATTTCAGAAGCAGTACGGTCAATAGAAGATGGTTCAGGCTGTTTCTTTGGCGGACGGCCTCTTCTGGCAACTTTTGGTTGCTGCTGTTGTTGTTGTTGGCTTTGTGGTTCTTCATCATCACTGTCTTGCCTTAAATTCTCAAAGTCCTTTTTTGCCAACTCTTGTATAGCCCGTGCCTATAAGCCACATTACACACTATTATCAGAATCCTGGAATGAAATATCAAAAGAAAGAAGAATAGGGACATACCTGTCGATAATATACAGTGTCTGCTGAATTGTATTCCATTGCATTTGTACATATTAAAAACACATCTCTCTGCAACAAGAACAGGGCGAGAAGCGATATATATCAGAGAGGGGAAAAAAAAAAGCTGTTCCAACACCAATCTCTTCACAAATTCACATATATTCAAGCTGGGAGACAATTTTGAGTCTAAACAGATCAAAAGTTACTCTGAGTTAAACACAACTTTTGAAACAGCCTTAGATCTGCACCCTACACTACATGTATCTTCATTGGTTAGCACTTTAGCAGTTAGCAGTGAAAGGCCTTAAAATCTCATAACTGAAAGAAAATGCACGCAAACAACAACAAGCAATGGTTCTCCATAAACCAAAAGAAGCCGTAAGAAAGCTTGGAAATGAAGATGCCAAGTAACAAAACTTTCTGTAGCTATCAATCAAATGTGGAACCAACTTGAAACCATCAAAACTATCAAGGATAGAACCTGATCCAAAGTAGAAGCATCAAGATATACCTCAAATTGTTCTAAAGTGGCATATGCTCCAGAGTCTAATTTCTTCCGCAATGTGCTAAAATCCATTGGATTGGTAATAATCTCATGATAATCAGGAAGCTGCAAACAACATACCGAAACACAGATAAGACAAACAGAATCTCGTAATATTAAGGAGAGCTTAACATCAACAAGAGAGACATTGCACCTCCTCAGGATCAACTGGATCTGAGTAAACGCCATAAGTATCCTTCCTTCAAGTGTTTGTAAAACAACAAACGATCAGAAAAACCAAAACCCAGTAGTTGCTTAAACCAAAGATACAAGAAACGAGAGAATGACAGAGAAGAAGGAAATGAACATACTTTTGAAGTCTATCGAGGATGAAGACTAACAACTTTTTGTCTGGCAAAGGTGTAGTGGGGCCAGACTCCACGGGAGACCCTGTCCACATGTAATCCAAAAAATTCCTTTAATTTAATCCCCGCAGAAAATTCCTCTACGCTTTATCCTCGTACGAATTTTATCAGTTTATTTGCCTTTTTCAAGAATTAAAATAAAGAGAGAATTAATATATATATAAACCTTGAAGAATGTCTGTCGCTTTCGATCCCTTTTCTCCCTGCAAGAGTAGTATTAACCAACAGATCATCATCATCATCAACTCCATCAAAAAGGTAAGCTTTCGTAAACTCACAGAGAAAACAAAGTACACATGTGTTTATGTTTCACGTTCAAGTAAGGAACTGATAGTAAGTGAGGAAAAGACAAATTGGAACTTGTTTTCAGACATGATGGTTTCAGTTTTCAGTGCAGAGAGAGGCATCTTTAATTCAGAGGAAACTAACACTTTTAATCACCAGAAAAAATCAATATTATATTAAAGCAAGAGAATAAAATCCGAAACACACAAAAGAATTTTCTTAAGCCGAAGACAAAAAAGGGAAAATTTAATTTACAGAGAAAAAGCAGAATTATGAATTCTAATTCCCACCAATTAAAATCCAAGGGGGAAAAATGACTCAGTCAAACTCATTCCCACTAACTATAATTCAAGCAGAGACGAAGAACACAACAAACGCGCGAATTTATTTAAAACCTAATTTCTCATAATCAATTTGGGGAAAACGAATTCGATATCCAAAAAAGGAATTGAATTTCTACCGTATAATCAGATCCGCCGCCGTCGATCTTGCGTCTGTCAAGATTCAGATCGGAAGCACCGGATTGAGAATTAGGAGAATGTCGATGAGAGTGAGAGTTCAATCCATGTAAAAGCTTATGTTTCTTCTCTCGCCGCTCGTCATCGTCTTCCTCAGCAGCTTCGTCTTTGATCCAAGGGGAATCGGAAGATACGCCGTTTGAATTAGGGTTCCGGCGTTTGGATCGGGAGGCGGAGTTGGGATTGTGATTGAGAGAATTAGGGTTTTTGGAGCCGGATCTATTGTTGTGGTCATCGTCTTCTTGATGGTTCTTGTGTTGTTGCTGTTGTTGTTGTTGTTGTTTGATAGCTCGTTTTTGAAGGTCTAATAGAGATGGCCTTCCTTTCTTCTTCTTCTTCGTCATTGTATCTGCTACCTCACCCATTTTCTCTCTCTCTCTCTCCTCTATTTCCCCTTTCTCTCTCCTCTTTCTCTCTCTATCTCTTCTCTCTCTCTCTCTCTGTTTCTCCTCCTAAACAGGCGTTTTGGTTTTGTGTTTTCTTACGTTTTTTTAGAAAAAAAAAAAAAAAAACTCTACATGTGTGTGATTGTGAACTCGCACGTGCTGAGAAATTCGTGCTTTTTTCCTGATGATTACTGGACAAGTTTGGGCTAATAATTATATGGGCCGTACTAGGCCCAAATATGAGTTACATATCAAAGCGATATCATTTCTGACTTTCTTCCGTAACGTCTGTTCATATATTAGGGTTTATTGTTTGGTCTTCAAGGCAGTTCTGTAAAACGAGTCTTCTCTTTTTATTTTGAGAGCTGTTGAATTGGCTTCCCTGTTTCTTTTCATGCCTCAGGTTTATATATTGAGTTACTGCTTTGTTACTTCTCCTAGGGACCATTCTGGTCGATTTATTATCTATTTGATTATGGGTCTTGGTAACATCATCTCTGGTCTTTCCTCTATGGGAGGGTGACACAGTTTAAAAGAAGGCACCAACTAAGAAAACACTATATAATCATCACTAAGAAAAAATCGAACATGACTAAAACCAATTTGAACATATATAAAATCAATCATACAACCATCAAAAATGGCCATAGCTGCCACCTCATCATCTCCTTTGTGTTTTCTCAAGTAACGTCTTCATTTCAAGTTTACTCAGATTAGTAAAAGTATTTTCTAACTGGTTCCACATACAAATGACTCCTCCTTACTCAATCAGCACTAGCTAGAGCCAATAGAATCGGACTACCAAAGCTGATTAAGACCAAAGAGTAGTTGGATTTGAGTTTTAAACTTGTGTGCTACCAGAAACCACTTCTTGTATTTTCTTAGTATAGTAAAAGTTAATTCTAAATGGTTCCCACATAGACATTAGTCCTCCTTACTCCTTACTCAATCAGCAAAAAGTGGAACAATTTGAGAAATGTTGAAACAAAGTGTCTTCCATTGTACTTAGTATGGCACATTGAGCTACTAGAAGCCACTTTTGTGGTTTTACATACATGAATCTGTAAAAGTGAATTGCATCACATAGACACGGCTTCTGGTGGTTACTAAATGAAGGAGCGAGTATGATGGTGACATAAAACAGCAAAAGCTATATCCAAAAATGGATAAAGAATCTCTTAAGCGCGTGGGGTAGTTGGGAGAAGAAGAAGAAGAAGAAGAAGAAGAAGCAAAGGAAAAAGTAGAGCAGAGAGACTCATCTCTCGGCTATAAAAACAGAGAGGGGGTCACAACACAAATCACTACAACAGAACAAAACAGAGCAAGAGATCAAATAGCAAAAAACTTATAATATTCTTTCAAAAGCCAAAATGGGGATCGTAGCATTCAACTGGACAGAGGGAAACAACAACCAACTCACGCTGCTGATGAACAGAGACAATTGGGAAAACAGGCAAGTTTAATATTCATTCTACGTTTTTGGTTTTAATTTTGTGCATCAGACATTGTTGTTGAATACTTTTTTGATTCTTTTTTTCTTTCTGTGAGTGATTAATAGGGTCATAAGTGGGGCATCTTGGAGTCGAAACGGCCAGATTTTGAGTGGTCGGTGCAAAGCTAACAACGGAACATGGTTTGGTATTACTAAACGAGGCCGAGTCGCTTTTCTCGTGAATACATCGTTGTTGTTAGACCGCGTTAAGGCAAACAGCGGCTCGGAGTTGTATCCCGTTCGTTTCTTGGAGGTTTGGTTTGTTTGCTTTTCTTCTCTTCATTTATATCCAGACTCTTTCGATCTCTTTGATCACGGGATTGCTTTTGATTACAGGGCAACATGAGTCCAGACCAGTTTGCCAACGAAGTGAGACTGCATGAAAAGCAGAGTAATGAAAGGCATGTGTATAGTCTTATCGTTGCAGACATGACTTCGAGTTCAATGGTTCATATCCTGAAACCCTTGGATACTAAGTCGGATGTCATAATAGAGACCGTTCCGTTTGGTGTGCATACACTTTCTTCTTACGAGGGCCTCGATTCCACAGAATCTCCCAGGGTATTTTTATCTACAAGTGTCTTGTAATAGAGTAGAGTTGTTACAACCATTTTGCAAATGTTTTCGTGTAGTTTCATTTTTAATGTCTAAAATCAAATCCTCTGTTTTGTTTTGTTTTTGGTATCATGCAGGATTTACGCCTGAGAGGCTTGTTTAGCCAGATGATTGGTGATTTGGGAAACATTGAAAAACCACAGATGGAGGGGATTGCTGGGAGGTTTATGTATGATGCTGCAGGAGGAAGAGACGCGGTGTTTCTCCAAACTAGAGATGAGCATCCTTCTGGAAATGTAAGATATTGATCTACTGTTGTTATGATCCTCACTATATATCCCTTAATAACTCTCCTTTTTTCCCATTTCTATTCAGCTTGGAAGCCAACGCTTTGGAACAACAAGTACGACAGCATTGGTTGTGAAACGCACGAAGGAAGTGATGCTCTTTGAGAGGTACATGGAGGAGAATGGTGCATGGACCAAGCACCACTTCGCTTTCAACATCCAGTAGAGTTACAAAAAAACATTGTGCAGCATCCGAATATTATAGTAAATAATCTTGTTGATGCTGTAAATATATATTTTTTTATTACCCTTGTTAAGATTCAGGGAAACTTATTTCCTTGGTTGTCTATGAACATTATGCTTGATATAAATAAATAAATAGTTGGTTTTGTTAAAGTTGACTTTATATTTTCCATCTATAAAATTCTTGAGCTATTTTCCAACTTAATATATGTATTTCTCAATTTCAAACACCAAGCCATAGTTTGCAGAGTGAATGCAGACAATTGGGCTAACTTATATTCTTTTTGGAAATCCTAATTAAGCAATTTGAAGCAATTCGTCAAGAACCGTTGTTACTTTTTAAAAAGCGTTGACACCACATCGTATTTTCCATAGTGACTCTAGACTCTAGCTAGTACTTCTGAAATAGTAGAAACGTAATTAAGAAATGAACAAAAACATTGAAATCAAGAAAAAGCAAAGAACATTTATGGGTATTAAGCAAGAAAAAAAACAAGAACGTATGAGTTTAGAAAAGACAAGAACATATAGAAATTAAGAAAAAGCAGACGCACTAACATTTATCATAACATTGAAATCAAGAAAAAGCAAAACTCCTAGAGAAATTAAGCAGACTTGTCCCTGTTCTTAATTTCACATGTCCATGACGAAAGTGATCAAGTTTTTAGTATGAATATTATGCAAATCTTCATACTTGTGTCACAAGAAATCTCTTTTCTCTTATTTTTTGGGTATGCTAAGTCTTGATGATTCCACATGTACACATAGATGATCATTATACAAGAAAATTAAAACAGATCACATAGCTACTAGTCTAGGATTACAAAAGCTAAGATCAAATAATAGGTGGATCTGAGTCTTAAACTAGTGTGCCACTAGAACCACTTTTGTATATTTTTAGTATAGTACAAATATTTCTAAAGGGTTCCACATACACATGAGTCCTCCTAACTCAATCTGCATCTTCCATTTTACATATTATAGCACATTGTGCTACTAGAAGCCACTGTATTCGTTTTACATACATAAATCTGTAAAAGTAAACTTCATCACATAGACAAGACTTCTGGTGGTTACTCGATGGAGGAGAGAGTATGATGGTGACAGAAAACAGCAAAAGCTATATCCAAAATTGGATAAAGAAGCTCTAAAACTTGTGTGCTATACAAGAAACTACTTCTTGTATATTCTTAGTATAGTAAAAAATAATTCTAAATGGTTTCCACATACACATGAGTCCTCCTTACTCAATCTGCTCGAAAGTGGAAAAGTCAAGAAAATGTTGAAACTCTGCATCTTCAATTTTACTTATTATAGCACATTGTGTTACTAGAAGCCACTTTATTCGTTTTACATACATGAATCTGTAAAAGTAAATTATATAACATAGACACGGTTCCTCGTGGTTAGTGAATGGAGGAGAGAGTAAGTATGATGGTGACAGAAAACAGCAAAAGCTATATCCAAAAATGGATAAAGAAGCTCTTAAGCGCGTTCGTGGAACTTACGTTGGAAGAAGTTGACAAGTAAAAGAAAAAGCATAGCACAGTGAATCATCTCTCGGCTATAAATACAGAGAGGGAGTCACAATACAAATCACAACAAGATCAGAAACAGATTCCAATAGTGAAAAACTTTAAACTAATCCGACTAGTGAAGAATGGACAGAGACACAGTGATGTTTCTATATGGCGGTGACGGATTGGTGCTCCTCGTGATGACAGACGGCAATGAACGTGGGCAAGTCTAATTTATTCGACCTTTTGGGTTTAGTTTGTGCATCAAAATCATTATTTTATCTTATTTTTCTATGTGATTAACAGCACACGCGAACGGTTGGCTTGGTCGGACGCTGATGGTTTAAGCTGTAAGAGGTGTGGCGTGGTATGGTTTGGTTATAAAGATGACCGAGTTGTTTTTCTTTTCAATAGCCATGAGCATAGTATTGACCCTAACCTGTTGCCCAGTTTCTTAAAGGTATATATAATTAGTGTGTTTCTAATACATAAATAAATGTTATAAAAGTTTATTTCTCTGTTAAATGATTTGGATGTCTTTGGTTACGCAGTGCGAAAAGACTCCACGTCGATTTGTAGAGGACTTTACCCAAGAGGAAGTTGAAAATTTTGGGCCTAACTTGAAACTACTTGTAGCAGACATAAATACAGAATCACTGGTTTATGTCTCGAAACAGTCTGGAGATGAAAAAAGACTCCGTGTAGATGATGTTGATCATGGTGTTCATACAATTACTGAAAAAGGATTTGATTCCGACGTTTGGGAGGTATTATAGTAAAAAAAAGTTGTTACGAAAAATCTATTTAAGGCAAATATTTTCTGAAAAATCAAACCCTCTTTTTGGTCTTATATGCAGGATGATTTAATGAGAGGAAAATTTCAATCTGTTATTTTTGGACTTGCAGAACTGCCGCCAATTAAGAAACTTGTTGAGGATCTTCTGAGCAATTCTCCATTTTTTCTCGGCAATTCTCATGTAAGAAAATTAAATCACTCAGCTTACACATGCATGCATTGATGTTTTCTGGCTCAATCCTCTCATTCCACTTTACTTTCTATTCTTCTTTCTTTCTATTTAGGGCGCTCGAAGAACAGTTCGTATATTCGGAATGGACATAGAAGCCAACAGACTACCAGCGCGGTTCTATGAGAGTCATTTGAATGATAAAGGTGAATGGGAAAGCTAGGTGCGACAAGTGAACCGTGTGATGCTGATAACTAGATAATAGTATAATACAAATCTCCCTATTATTATTATCAATAAGTTATTATCTAGTTGAACCTCCTGTTATAAATCATATATTAATTGTCGAATCCTTGAGATCTATAGTCTTAAAATTAATAAATAAATGGTTGGTTTTACCAAACTTTCTCATGATGGTCGATGACTTAATATTCCTTTGTATCTCGTTCTATTCAGTCCAATGGATGGGTTTTAATTTGTTCTCTTCCACTTTAATTTCACCTTGACCTTTGTATTCATGTATTTCTCAATCGAGCAACTTCTCACGCATACGTCAAATACTTTGTCGTCAAAAGCACTTGGACCACATCGAATTTTTAGATTTTGAACAATATTTCCATTAATGCAATATTCATATGTTTTTTTTTTTAAGAAGACATGTTTGATGGGGGAATATCTAGAGAGTTTTTCCGTAAACTAAGTTTTTTAAGTTCTAACTTTCATTCAAAAATAAAAAAAAACAAACTAAGTTTGTAACAAAACCAATGCATGACGTGTCATATTCATATATATCTTGGAGATTTTGGGAGTGTTATCCGATTATTGTGAATATTAAATCAACTTTGATAGAGAACTTTAATCCATTCTTATTTAAAAATTAATTTTCAAAATTGTGAAAAGAAATAAATTTAGAATTTAAGAAATAGTAATTATTATTGAATGTATATTTTTGACCTTTTGTTGAAATCAATAACTATATAATATCTTCATGATTTCATCCAAGACTATCTAGAGTTTTAAATCATCTTTTAAAATCCATCAAAATTTAATTAAAATTGGTAATTTTGATTTTCTTATAATGGGGAGATTGTCTCTTGAAATGATCATTAAATTATATTTTGTTCTCTATTTAAAACCTCCTTAGTAATAACTGGAATTGACAAACAAAAATAATCGAATCAACAAGCTAAAAAATCTTGCTTTGATTCAACTATGATCATGAATGATTTACCTTTGCATCTTCTCGACGAGATTCTCTTCAGATTAGAACCCAAATCCATGGCGATGATGCGATGTACGAACAAATCTTTCAAATCGAATTTAACTGATCCAAGATTTGGACCTCAATACCCTTCATGGGTCAGACCCAATTTGATTAGCCTTTCGACCTCTGACATATCTCTCGTCTTTTGCAAGCCTTTGGTCTCTTCATGTGATTCTGTGTCACTAGAATTCAGAGCAGGGCTCATCAAAGACCGATGTTACATTTTTGGCTCATGCTCCGGCCTGCTCCTAATATACATTGGTCATCTCTTCGTCGCAAATCCCTTGACAAAGAAGTTTCGAATCCTAAATCACTCTGGTTCAAAGCTTCTGCCTCACATAGTTGGTGGTGTCGAAAAGCATGATCCTTATGACCCCAATGATCCCCTTGTTCGTCGTACAGAGAGAGCGATGTGCGTTGGTTTCGTGGTAGATCCATCTCGAACCACCAAGAGATTCAAGATCGTCTGCATACTTGAGATGGAAACGAAGTACATATTCGAAATCAGCGACGGAGATTCTTGGAGGTTATCGAAAACGACCCTAACGACTAGCTCCAAAAGTGGTCTCAAGACGCGGATAAAACCTGTTTACGTAGATGGCAATCTTCATTGGTTGAGAAACGACTGGAGCCTCATAGCGTTCAATCCCGAGACAGAGCAAGCACGACTGATTCCTTGTAGCTTCCATCCAACACCGGACACCAAGGTTCTTTTCGCCGCAAAAGAAAAGATCAACCCCATGACCTTGATATCAGGGACGATAAAAGAAATCTCAATCTACACACTGCTCGGGAATCACAAGTGGGCACTCGAAAGGCAGATCAAGAATGTACCAATGGAGAAATTAAGGTTTAAATATTGGAACGTAGTTGCATATGACGGCAAGTGTCTAGTGGTGTTGGATAATGAAATGGTGCATCATGTGGACAGTTGGCGAGTTTTGGGGGGAATCGAATATTGGTCCGAAGACTTCTATATGTTTACGCCCTCCTATTTCTCTATTGAGGAGGATGAGCAGACAAAGGTGATTGTAGCTTCTGATGACCAACACATCTCCTATCTAACTACACTTATGGAAGTCATTCATACAACCAAGTAAACTATCTCATTGTTTGATTATTTTTTGAGTCAATATATTATTCTTGAATCTTAATCATCGCACTCACTCACTACCTGATTCCTTAAACCAGTCAAAGAGACGTCACAAAAAAGATGAGTCCAAGCTTCTTCACAGGGATTTTCCATCATTTCCATTGCTTTCAACTTTAAAATGTAGTGTAATCTACAACAATGGCGGAGGAGGTGGATTTAAGTTTCTCTTAGGCAATTCATCAAACATATTTGATGCATTTTCTAAATATCAAGTTCCAATGCATTATGATTAACTTCATACATAATAAAATCAATCGTTACTCTATTATACGAGTTGCTTCTATAAATTAGGTATCAGAGCGATACCAATACTATACTCATGTTTAAACTACACATCAAATTCTTCAACACTTAATCAAAGCAACGTCTCACATCATCAATCTCAGGAATAAAAACCTCAATCAGGTGCAGAGTGTGAGAGATAGAGAGAGCATCAGCAGACCAGAAGTTATCAACAAGCAAACTTACCTGTAAAAGTTCAGAGATCCCATCATTTGCTCTCTCTCTCTCTCTCCCTCTTTGCACCATAAGTTCTAATCCTAACTCAGAAAAAGACTGTAATCAATTCAAGCAATAACACTACACAAACATCAAAAAACCTTAATCTAATTGAACAATTGAACATCTAAAGACTACAAAGCAAAGCAAGAAGATGATCCATGGACGATGTTTTGAAATATAAAAATGTTTTCCTTTCTGAAGGAGCAGCTCATATATACCACAGCAATCTCACCCAAACCGAACATTTTAAATCAGAAGCCCTAGCAAAATTAACAAATCTAAATTGAACCGGATGACCGACGCAACAAACCGAACCGGATCCTCGAGGGGAATAAAATATTATCCGTAATCAGAACGTGTACTCGTGCTGGTAGAAAACATAATGTGAGTAAAGATACTTATACCATGATCACACCTTCTTTGAAATGCTTGGAAATTGGTCTTTTGGGGATTATTTCAACAAGGAAGCCATTGAACCACATTGTATGTCACTATTCTGTAAAATGAGTCTTCTCTTTTTATTTTGAGAGCTGATGAATTGGCTTCCCTGTATCTTTCTTTTCATGCCTAGAAACAATATCTAGCTTCAGTTTCAAGGAACCCTTATAGTTTAATATACTCTGTTTCCGATTTTAACGTCATTCGGTTTGATTTATGTTTAGACATGATTCCAGTTACATATATTAAGTACAAGTGTCTCGTAACCGAGTAGAATTGTTACGATAGTCCATTTTGCAAATCTTTTCGTATGGTTTCTTCTTTTTATTTCTAAAATCAACCACTCTGTTTTCTTTTTGGTATTTCGCAGGATTCACGCCTGAGAGGCTTGTTTAGCCAGATGATTGGTGATTTGGGAAACGTTCAACAACCACAGATGAAGGAGATTGCTGGGAGGTTTATGTATAATGCTGAAGGAGGAAGAGACGCAGTGTTTCTCCAAACTAGAGATAAGCATCCCTCTGGAGAAGTAAGAAATTTCTCTGCTGTTTTTTTATGATCCTCACTATATATCCCTTAATAAATATCCTTTTTTCCCATTTCGATTCAGCTTGGAATGCTACGCTTTGGAACAACAAGTACGACAGCATTGGTTGTGAAACGCACTAGAGAAGTGATGCTCTTTGAGAGGTACATGGAGGAGAATGGTACATGGACCACCCACGACTTCGCTTTCAACATCCAGTAGAGTTACAAAGAAACATTGGGCAGCATCCGAATATTAGTATCTAGAGTAAAAAATCTTGTTGATGCTGTAAATATATCTTTCTAATTAACATTGTTAAGATTCAGGAAAACCTATTTCCTTGGTCACACTATATCTCTAGTCTATGAACATTATGCTTGATTGGTGCACAAAAAAAAAAAGAACATTATGCTTGATATAAGCAAATAAAATAGTTGATTTCTAAGACTTAATCCTATGGCAACTTAAAGGTCACTTTATATTTTCCATATTATACAATTCTTGAGCTATTTTTCCCAACTTAATTTATGTATTCTCAATTCCGGTGATAACACCAAGCCATATTTTGCAGAGTGAATGCAGACAATTGGGCTAACTTATAGTCTTTTTGGAAATCCTGATTAAGCAATTCGTCAAGAACCGTTGTTACTTTTTAAAAAGCGTTGACACCACATCGTATTTTCCATAGTGACTCTAGACTCTAGCTAGTACTTCTGAAATAGTAGAAACGTAATTAAGAAATGAACAAAAACATTGAAATCAAGAAAAAGCAAAGAACATTTATGGGTATTAAGCAAGAAAAAAAACAAGAACGTATGAGTTTAGAAAAGACAAGAACATATAGAAATTAAGAAAAAGCAGACGCACTAACATTTATCATAACATTGAAATCAAGAAAAAGCAAAACTCCTAGAGAAATTAAGCAGACTAGTCCCTGTTCTTAATTTCACATGTCCATGACGAAAGTGATCAAGTTTTTAGTATGAATATTATGCAAATCTTCATACTTGTGTCACAAGAAATCTCTTTTCACTTATTTTTTGGGTATGCTAAGTCTTAATGATTCCACATGTACACATAAGTGATCATTATACAAGAAAATTAAAACAGATCTCAATACGGAAGTGCCTTGGTTGGTCGTTTCTTAAAGGTATAACTAGTGTGTTTTCTGATACATAAATGTTCTGTTTTTTTGTTCTCTGTTTTTCTGTTTTGGGGATCTCACGGGATTTTCTTTGGTTATGCAGTCCACAATGGATCCACTTCAGTTTGCAGAGAAATTGGAGGAAGAGGAAGGTAGATCATTTGGGTTGAAGTTGCACCTAGTGTTTTGGCTTCTGAAACAATGGTTCATGTCTCGGTAAGTCCTGGAAATGAGGGATCACTCCATATCATAAATGTTGGCCTAGGGATTCATACCTTTTCTGAAGATGGATTTGATTCCAACATTCGCAAGGTAATATATATAGCTGAAGAAAAGTTGGTAGGATAATCTATTTAAGGGTGTGCAGTTTCAAATCATCTTTCTTTTTACTTTATTTTTTTTGTCATATATATTTGTAGGACGTTGATCTGAGATGATTTATTATCCTCGAGGACAAGACCAGTCACTTTTGAACATTGCTAATAATGTGATGACGACTTATCCTGTTTTAAGGCCATAACAGATGATTCGGTAAGAAAAAAACTCACCAATTTAGCTCTCACTTCAATTCATTTTTGGGCTCCTCTCTCATCCCATTTTTCCTTTCTATACTTTTTGATCTGTTTTTAGGGAACCTTGGTCGTACCGCATACAAAACATTTTGTAGGAATGGAAGTGACATTCAGTCCAACAAAATAGCACTTCTGTGAGACGTTTCGGCAATTGAATACTACGGTGACTGATGCTGATGACTAATACACTCATACAAACCCCCTAATATTTATCACAATAAGTTATCTAGTTTTGTTTTCTTTCTGTTGTCCACTTTTTCACCTTAATTCGTGTGTATTTCTCAATTGAGCTATATACATCTTTTTTATATTATTTCTCAATCGAAATAATAATTTGACGGTCTATCTGTAATTTTCTATCTAGACAGGAAAATATATTGCTCATAGTAGTCATTTCTTCCGAGCATGTGATTTAATATCTAGAAAAAAACATTTATACATGATTCCACATTTTAACTTCTGAGGATGTACTTTTTTTAAGTTCAAAAAATAAGGATGGGATGTAGAACATGCTAACGTGTCTAACCTTAATTTACGGAATTTCACCATAAAATCATTCCAACAAAGAATTTGTACAATCTTTCCATTAATGCCAATATTCATATGTTAAAAAAAGAGAGAGAGAGAGAGGCAAATCCTAATATCTAGAGAGTTTTACCGTAATCAAAATTCTAACAACCAATGACGTGCCATGTTCACATGTTGGAGATTTTGGGAGTGTTATCCAATTATGTATTGTGCTCTGTCCAAAAATAAATAAAAAAATCCAATTATGTATTGTGAAATATTAAATCAACTTTGATAGAATTTCACCTTTAACTTTAATCCATTGTTATTTAATCATTAATTTTCAATCTTTTTTAAAGAAATAAATTTAGAATTTAAGAAATATTTCTTATTATTGGATGTTACAGTTTTGACCTTTTGTTGAAATTAGTAACTATATAATAGCTTATTTGATAAGAAAACTATAATTATATAATATCTTATATCTTCATGATTTCATCAAAGACTATCTAGAGTTTTAAATCATCTTTTAAAATCCATCAAAATTTTATTAAAATTGGTAACTTTAATTTTCTTATAATGGTGAGATTGTCTCTTGAAATGATCATTAAATTATATTTTGTTCTCTATTTAAAACCTCCTTAGTAATAACTGAAATTGACAAACAAAAATAATCGAATCTTTTTTTTTTCCTCGAAATAATCGAATCAACAAGCTAAAAAATCTTGCTTTGATTCAACTATGATCATGAATGATTTACCTTTGCATCTTCTCGACGAGATTCTATTCAGATTAGAACCCAAATCCATGGCGATGATGCGATGTACAAACAAATCTATCAAATCGTATTTAACTGACCCAAGATTTGGACCTCAATACCCTTTATGGGTCAGATCCAATTTGATTAACCTTTTGACCTCTGACAGATCTCTCGTCGTCTGCCAGCCTTTGGTCTCTTCATCTGATTCTGTGGCACTAGAATACATAGCAGGGTTCATCAACGACCGATGTTACATTTTTGGCTCATGCTTCGGCCTTCTCCTAATATACATTGGTCATCTCTTCGTCGCAAATCCCTTGACAAAGAAGTTTCGAATCCTGAATCACTCTGGTTCAAAGCTTCTGCCTCACATAGTTGGTTGTGTCGAAAAGTATGATCCTTATGACCCCAATGGTCCCCTTGTTCGTCGTACAGAGAGAGCGATGTGCGTTGGTTTCGTGGTAGATCCATCTCGAACCACCAAGAGATTCAAGATCGTCTGCATACTTGAGATGGAAACGAAGTACAGATTCGAAATCAGCGACGGAGATTCTTGGAGGTTATCGAAAACGACCCTAACGACTAGCTCCAAAAGTGGTCTCAAGACGCGGATAAAACCTGTTTACGTAGATGGCAATCTTCATTGGTTGAGAAACGACTGGAGCCTCATAGCATTCAATCCCGAGACAGAGCAAGCACGACTGATTCCTTGTAGCTTCCATCCAACACCGGACACGAAGGTGCTTTTCGCAGCAAAAGATAAGATCAACCCCATGACCTTGATATCAGGGACGATAAAAGAAATCTCAATCTACACACTGCTCGGGAATCACAAGTGGGCACTCGAAAGGCAGATCAAGAATGTATCAATGGAGAAAACAAGGTTTAAATATTGGCACGTAGTTGCATATGACGGCAAGTGTCTAGTGGTGTTGGAGAATAATGTGGAAGCTGACAGTTGGCGAGTTTTGGGGGGAGTCGAATGTTGGTCCGAAGACTTCTATATGTTTACGCCCTCCTATTTCTCTATTGAGGAGGATGAGCAGACAAAGGTGATTGTAGCTTCTGATGACCAACACATCTCCTATCTAACTACACTTTTGGAAGTCATTGATCCAACAAGGTAAACTATCTCATTGTTTGATTATTTTGAGACAATAGATTATTATTAATCATCGCACTCACTCACTACCTGATTCCTTAAACCAGTCAAAGAGACCTCACAAAAAGGACGAATCCAAGCTTCTTCACAGGGACTTACGGATCCGGTCATTTCCGTTGCTATCAATTTTAAAATGTAGTGTAATCTACAACAATGGCGGAGGAGGTGGATTTAAGTTTCTCTTAGGCAATTCATTCAAACATATTTGATGCATTTTCTAAATATCATGTTCCAGTGCATTATGATTAACTTCATATATAATAAAATCAATCATTCCTCTAATTATACGAGTTGTTCTGTCCTCATGTTCAAACTACACATGAGATTCTTATACACTTAGACACAGCATACCAGAAGTTATCAACAAGAAAACTTACCTATGAAGTTCAGAGATCAAGTGTATCCCATCACCTGCTCTCTCTCCCATCTCTTTGGGACCATAAGTTCTAATCCTAACTCAGAAAAAGACTGTAATCAATTCAAGCAATAACACTACACAAACATCAAAAAAACCTTAATTTAATTGAACAATGGATATAATTGAACATCTAAAGACTACAAAGCAAAGCAGGTCCGTACCGGACTAGTGATTTGGACAAATGTGTCCCGTGTGTTTATGAATAAAATGTTGGAATCTCAAGTCATGCGTTAGCATTGTGACATTTTGATCTTATAATGTTACCGAATAATAATGGCTATATATGCCTAAATAAATTAAAATAAAACACACGACCAACAAACTGCCACCTCATCATCTTCATCTCCAACGTGTTTTGTTTAACGTCTTGGTTTCAATTTTACTCAGATTAGTAAAAGTATTTTCGAAGTGGTTCCACATACAAATGAATCCTCCTTACTCAATCAGCACTAGCTAGAGCCAATAGAATCGGACTACCCCAAAGCTAAGCTAAGACCAAAGAGTAGTTGGATTTGAGTTTTAAACTTGTGTGCTACTAGTAAACCACTTGTTGTATTTTCTTAGTATAGTAAAAATAATTCTGAATGGTTCCCACATAGACAAGAGAGTTCTCCTTACTCAATCCGAAAAAAGCTATAGAACAAAAGTGGAACAATTGGAGAAGTGTTGAAACAATGTGACTTCCATATTACTTAGTATAGCAAGTTTATGCTACTAGAAGCCACTTTTTTCGTGGTTTTTCATAACATACATGAATCTGTAAAAGTAAATTGCATCACATAGACACGGCTCCTGGTGGTTAGTGAATGGAAGAGAGAGTATGTATGACGGTGACAGAAAACAGCAAAAGCTATATCCAAAAATGGATAAAGATGCTCTTAAGCGCTTTCGTGGAACTTACGTTGGAAGAAGTTGACAAGTAAAGGAAAAAGCAGAGCACAGTTGAATCATCTCTTGGCTATAAATAGAGAGAGGGGATCACAACTCACAAGTCACAACAAGATCAAAAACAGATTCCAATAGTGAAAAAAATTAAACGAATCCGACTAGAGAAGAATGGACACAGACACAGTGGTGTTTCAATGGAGCGGTGACGCATTCGTGCTCCTCGTGAACACAGAAGGCTATGAACCTAGGCAAGTCTAATTTATTCGACCTTTTGGGTTTAGTTTGTGCATCAAAATCGTATTTTATCTAAATTTCTGTGTGATTAACAGCACACCCGACCCTATGGAATGGTCGGAAGCTTATGGTTTAAGAGGTACGCAAGAGAATTGGGGCAACGTATGGTTTGGTTATAAAGAAGGCCGAGTTTTTTATCTTTCCAATAGCCATCAGCATTTTATTCACCTTGACCTGCTGCCCAGTTTCTTCGAGGTATATATAATTAGTGTATTTCTAATACATAAATCAATGTTATAGTTAAAAGTTTATTTTTGTTAAATTATTTGGATCTCAAGGCCGGATCGGATTTGCTTTGGTTATGCAGTGCGCAAAGACTCCACGTCGATTTGTAGAGGACTTTCCCCAAGAGGAAGTTGAAGCCTTTGGGCCTGGGTTGAAACTACTTGTAGCAGACATAAATACAGGATCAATGGTTTATGTCTGGAAAAGGTCTATACATGAAAAAAGACTCCATGTAGATGATGTTGCTCATGGTGTTCATACCATTTCTGAAACCGGATTTGATTCCAACTCTCAAAAGGTATTATACTAGAAAAAAATTTGTTAGGGGTAATTAATCTATTCAAGGCAAATATTTTCTGAAAAATCAAACCCTCTTTTTGGTCTTATATGCAGGATGATTGTCTGAGAGAAAACTTTAATGCTATGATTGCTGGACATGCAGAACTGCCGCCAATTCAGAAAATTGTTGAGGATCTTATGAGGGAGCCTCCATTTTTTCTCGTTCCTTTGGATATTCCTGTAAGAAAATTAAATCACTCAGCTCACACATGCATGCATTGATGTTTTCTGGCTCAATCCTCTCATTCCACTTTACTTTCTCTTTTCTTTCTATTTAGGGCAACAAGTATCGAACAGTACGTACATTCGGAATGGACATAAAAGCCAACAGACCAAAAGCGCGGTTCTATGAGAGGCATTTGAATGATGATGGTAAATGGGTAGGGCTAGGTGCGACAAGTGAACCGTGTGATGCTGATGACTAGATAATTACAAATCTCCCTATTATTATTAATAAGTTAAATATCTAGTTGACCCTCCTGTTATAAATCATATATTGTCGAATCCTTGAGATCTATAGTCTTAAAATTAATAAATAAATGGTTGGTTTTACTATACTTTCTTACTTTTTCTCTACCACTTTATTTTCACCTTGTATTCAAGTACAGTATTTCCAATGGAGCAACTTATTAACGCAACGCTTAACTTGAGTGATTAGGTAATACAGAAGTAAAGTGAATTAAAGGAGAATGGTCGTTTCTTTATGCTGATCTAATAGTAATCTCATTGTTGAAGTATTTAGTCTAAAAATTAAAATCAATGGTATAAGACAATGTAGTATAAACCCAAGCAGAATCTCTTACAATAGCAGCAATGACGCAGAAGAATAGTCCAACCAAATCAACAAACACGGGTTTATCATACAACTTGTCGAACCATTGATGTCTATTACAAGGGTAGATTAAAAAAACATTTGAAATTTGAATGAAACGCAGAGATAACTCATCGAGAAACTGGTGTTAAAAAGGCTAAGCAACCAAAAACTAAGAATGAATATGGAAATATAGGTTTGATTCGAAGCTTAGCAAAAGGAGAAGAATAACAAGTTCTATAATTGTACAAATTCAGTGATCAAACCTCAAAACTAAACATATGACAGTGTCGTCTCACTGTTCTTGCCAAGTCAGTTCAATGATCAAGAAGACAGCTTGATGCTTCTATTTCCCAAATGAAGCTAATTGGTGCTTTAGGCTCCGAATTATCGCTCTCACTTGTTCCTCTCTCACTACCAGATTCCTTGAATCAGTCAAAGAGACTTCACAAATGCTTCAAAATCCACAGACTTTGACATTTAAAATAAAGTGTCATCTACTTCAACAATGGTGGATATCAGTTTCTTCTCTCAGGCAATTCATCAAAAAACATATTTGATGCATTTTCTAAATATCATGTTCCAATGCATTATGATAAACTTGATATATAATAAAATCAATCATTACTCTAATTATACGAGTTGTTCTGTCCTCATGTTCAAACTACATATCAGATTCTTATACACTTAGACACAGCAACGTCTCACATCATCAATCTCAGGAATATAAATCTCAATCCGGTGAAGAGAGTGTGTGAGAGAGAGAGAGCATCAGCAGACCAGTAGTTATCAACAAGCGAACTTACCTGTGAAGTTCAGAGATCAAGTGTATCCCATCATCTGCTCTCTCTCCCATCTCTCTTTGCACCATAATTAAGTTCTAATCCTAACACTAAAAAAAAAGACTGTAATCAATTCAGGCGATAACACTACACAAACATAAACAAAATCCACTAAAGACTAGAAAACAATGCGAGAAGAAGATTCATCGACGAATGAAAGATCAATTGTTTTCCTTATTTATGGCGGCGTCGCGGCGATGCAATTGATCCTCAAATCCCCAAACCAGAAACCCTAGCCAAATTACAAATCCAAATAGAACCGGATCCTCGGGGAGATATTAAACCGAACCGGATGAATCTCCCTCACAAACACGTTCAATTCCTTCTCTCTCTTGTTATATGATAAAAGAATTAAAATGGCCTGGCCTTTCTTTATAGGGCCAGTTGAGCAAGCCCACTCAAACTCTTAATTATTTTTGAGTAAAAAGAATACTATAGAACCTCTCGTTTACTGAAAAAATAAGTATTACCCCAAATAAAGGCCCAACTATAAGTAACTTAAAAATAACAAGAGTAAATATCGAAGCTTGGGAAATAAAATCTCATGTAAAATATTGAAGCATAACCCAAATAAGGCCCAACTAAAATCGATGTGAAAACACCCTCAACATATAAAATCACATAACCACAGAAGTCCCCCTAGCTATCAATCACCTCATCATCTCCATTTCAATTTTACTTAGATTAGTAAAAGTATTTTCTAACTGGTTCCCACATAAATATGACTTCTCCTTACTCAATAAGCACTAGAGCCAGTAGAATCGGACTACCAAAGCTAAGCTAAGACCAAAGAATAGTTGGATTTGAGTCTTAAACTTGTGTGCTACTAGACATGAGTCCTCCTTACGCCATCAGAAAAAAGCTGTAGAGCAAAAGTGGAAAAATTTGAGAAATGTTGAAACAATGTATCTTACTCATGACTCTCCTTAGTCAATCAGTAAAAAGCTAGAGCAAAAGTGGATCAATTTGGAAAATATTGAATGAAACTCTGTTTCTTCATTGTACTTAGTACTTACTAAAGCACATTGTGCTCTAGAAACCACCTTTTTTTTTCTATATATCTTTGTCAAAAATAATTTGTATCACATGCACATGACTCCTCGGTACTCAATCGACGAGATTCTTAGTAGAGCATGATGATGACATAAAACAGCAAAAGCCATACTAAAATAAGATAATTAATCTCTTAAGCGCGTGAAGTAGTTGAAGTAGTAAAGGAAAAACAGAGCAGAGAATCGACTACAAGATCACAAGTGATTCATTCAATAGCAAACAAAATATGTGGGCCTCATCATCTCCATCGTGTTTTCTTTAACGTCTTCATTTCAATTTTACTCAGATTAGTAAAAGTATTTTCTAAATGGTTCCACATACACATGACTTCTCTTCCATCACTCAATTAGCAAAAAGCTAGAACAAAAGTGGAACAATTTAGAAATGTTGAAACTCTACGTCTTCCATTTTACTTAGTATAGCACATTGATCTACTAGAAGCCACTAATTTCGTTTTACATACATGAATCTGTAAAAGTAAATTGTATAACATAGACACGGCTCATGGTGGTTACACGATGGAGGAGAGAGTATGACAGCGACAGAAAACAGCAAAAGCGAAACCCAAAAATGGATAAAGAAGCTCTTAAACGCGTTGGAAGAAGTTGTAAGTAAAGGAAAAAGCAGAGAACAGTGAATCATCTCTCGGCTATAAAAAGAGAGAGAGGGGGGTCACAATACAAATCACAACAAGATCAGAAACAGATTCCAATAGTGAAAGAATTTAAACAAACCGGGCGAGAGAAGAATGGGGACAGCGGCAGTAGAATGGAGAGGAAACGAATTCTTGCTCCTCGTGAACAGAGACAACTGGGATCATTTGCAAGTCTTAACTTATTCAAATCTTTTGGATTTAATTTATACGTCAATACTAATATGCATCCTTGATTAATTTGATCAAAAGGGAAGGAGAGGCTGCGGATGTGGAGGGTTCTACATTGCAATGTAGCGATGAGATGTGGGGCGGTTCATGGTTAGGTTATAAACAAGGCCGATTTGCTTTTGTTTTGGACAGCGATAATTTAAAACACAGCACTACCGTGATTCCTAGTTTCTTCAAGGTATAATTAGTGTGTTTCTAATACATTAATGTCATTATAAAAGTTTATTTCTCTGTTAAAATTATTTGGATCTCCCAAGATTTGCTTTGGTTATGCAGTCCACAATGACTCCAGGTGGGTTTGCAGATTACTTGGCCCAAAAGGAAGCTAAATCCTTTGGGTTGAAGTTGCACCTAGTGTTAGCAGACATAGGTTCTGGATCAATGGTTTATGTCTCGAAAATGCCTGGAGATGAGGGAAGACTCCGTATAATTGATGTTGCTCATGGTGTTCATACCATTTCTTCTGTAAACGGATTTGATTCCAGCTCTCACCAGGTAAATATAGAAGAAGCGTGTGCAGAAGTTGCAAATCTTTTTTGAAAAAATGAAACCCTAATTTTTTGGTCTTATATATATGCAGGATACAATTCTGAGAAATTCGATTATTGCGATGATTGATATTGCTGACATTGAAAAAACAGAAGTGTCAATTAAGAAAATTGTTGAGGATGTGATGATGGATCCTCCAGTTTTCATCAACATGTTTGATTCTTCTGTAAGCAACTCGCATGCATATTGATATTTTCAGGCTCCTCTCTCTCTCTCTCTCTAATCCCACTTTACTTTTCTGTTGATTTTTTGAATTTATTTAGGGCAATGTGGTGGTGCCGCGTACAAAACACCCAGTGGGACTGGATGTGAAAGCCAATAGACCACACGCACACCTCTATGAGAAGCGTTTGAAGTCTGCTGGTAACTGGGTGAACCGCTTTAGACATTTCGACAAGTGAACCGTGATGTTGATGACTAATACAAACCTCCTATCATTATTATTATTTATCATAAGTTATCTAGTTTACGCTATTATAAATAAAAATTTGTCGAATCAGGGAAACCTATTTTCCCGAGGTTAATACTCTTAAAAACTAATAAATAAATGGTTAGTTTTTCTAAACCTTCTTATGACGATGACTTAAATTTCGTTTGTATCTTCTTCAATCTATTAATTCAGTCCAATGGATGGGTTTTGCTTTAACTTTTCTTACTCTCTCTTCCACTTTACTTTCACCTTTGTATTCATATATTTCTCAATCCAGTAACTTCACGCATTCGTCAAAACCAGTTTAATTAAGTTACTTTGTCGATCGTCAAAAGCACTTGGACCACATCGACCTCATCGCATTTTTTTGTAATGACTCTTTTCTTTTTATATATCAAACATGCTAACGTATCTAATCTTAATTTACGAAATTTCACCATAGACTTATTCCAACAAAGAATTTGTATAAACTTTATTAAAATTTTCTTTTGAAAAATTAATCTTTCCATTAATGCAACATTATTGTGAACATTAATCAACTTTAATAGAATATTATTCATTAAATATTTAAAAATAATCTTTCCATTAACTTTTTAATCCAATGTTATTCATTAAAATATTTTTAAAAGTTTACATATAGATATATCTAGAAATTAAGAAAAATCTATCATTATTTGTTGAAATTAATAACTAATTGGTCATTTGACAATCTAAAAAAAACTATAAATATATAGTATTTCTATATCTTCATGATTTCATCAAGATAATTTCTTATCTATAAATTTAAATTATCTTCCAAAATCCATCATTTTTTTGGGTCATCGGATACATCAAATCCATCAAAATTTAAAATTGGTGAGATTTTCCTTGCATTGATCATTACATATTTTGTTTTTTAAGTTAGAATTTGTCCTCTCTATTTAACAACATCATCTGTAAATAATTGAAACAAACAAAAATATTCGTATCAACAACAAGCAAAAACAGACGTAGGGGGAAATTCTCACGTTGTACAACTATGATCATGAATGATTTACCTTTGCATCTTCTCGACACGATTCTCTTCAGATTAGAATCTAAATCTATGGCAATGATGCGATGTACGAACAAATCTTTCAAATCGTATTTAACTGACCCAAGATTTGGACCTCAATACCCTTCATGGGTCAGACCCACTTTGATTAACCTTTCGAGCTCTAACAAATCTCTCATCTTCTCCCAGCCTTTGGTCTCTTCATGTGATTCTGTGTCACTAGGAAACAGAGCAGAGTTCATTAACGACCGATATTACATTTTTGGCTCATGCTCTGGCCTTCTCCTACTTTACATTGGTTATCTCTTCGTCACAAATCCCTTAACAAAGAAGTTTCGAGTTGTAGATCACTATGGGTCAAAGCTTTTGCCTTACATAGTTGGTGGAGTTGAAAAGAATGATCCTTATGACCCCGACGGTCCCCTTGTTCGTACAGAGAGAGCGATGTGCGTTGGTTTCGTGGTAGATCATTATAGAACCACCAAGAAATTCAAGATTGTCTGCATACTTGAGATGGAAACGAAGTACAGATTCGAAATCAGCGACGGAGATTCTTGGAGGTTATCGAAAACGACCCTAACTACTAGCTCCAAAAGTGGTCTCAAGAAACGAATGAAACCTGTTTACATAGATGGCAATCTTCACTGGTTGAGAAACGACTGGAGCCTCATAGCGTTCAATCCCGAGACAGAGCAAGCACGACTGATTCCCTCTAGCTTCCATCCAACACCGGATACGAAGGTGCTTTTCGCAGCAAACGATAAGATCAATATCCTGACCTTGATATCAGGGACGAAAAAAGCAATCACAGTTTACACATTGCTCGGGAATCACAAGTGGGCACTCGCAAGGCAGATCAAGAACGTATCAATTGATGATACATGTCTTGAATGTTGGAACGTGGTTGCATATGACGGCAAGTGTCTAGTAGTGAGGGAGAAGGAGAAAGGTTGTGAAGACATTGGGCTTCATGTGTACGATATGGAAGCTGACAGTTGGGGAGTTTTTGAGACAACCAAATGTTGGTCCGAAGACTTCTATAAGTTTACGCCCTCCTATTTCTCTACTGAGGACGATGAGCAGACAAAGGTGATTGTAGCTTCTGATGACCAACACATCTCATATCTAACTACACTTATGGACGTCATTGATACAACCAGGTAAACTAATCTCACTGTTTTATTATTTTGAGTCAATTTCTTATTCTTAATCATCGTAGTCACTGGCTCATCTCTTACTAACTGATTCCTTGAAGGCTTGAACCAGTCAAATAGACTTCACAAAGATGACTAGTCAAACAATCTTCAAAAGGAGTCACAGATCCCATCATTTCCTTATCTTGGCGGGGGAGGTGGATAGGATTTAAGTTTCTCTCAGGCATTTCATTCAAACATATTTGATGCATTTTCTAAATATCATGTTCCAGTGCATTATGAGTAACTTGATATAAAATAAAATCAATCATTACTCTAATTATACGAGTTGTTCTGTCCTCATGTTTAAACTACACATCAAATTCTTCTACACATAATCACAGCAACGTCTCACATCATCAATCTCAGCAACAAAAACCTCAATCAGGTGCAGAGTGTGTGAGAGAGAGCATCAGCAGACCAGTAGTTATCAACAAGCAAACTTACCTGTGAAGTTCAGAGATCAAGTGTATCCCATCATTTGCTCTCTCTCTCCCATCTCTCTTTGCACCATAATTAAGTTCTAATCCTAACTCAAAAAAGCTGTAATCAATTCAAGCAATAACACTACACAAACATCAAAAAACCTTAATTTAATTGAACAATGGATATAAGTGAAAATCTAAGACTACAAAGCGAAGCAAGAAGAAGATCCATGGACGATTGAAATATCAAAATGTTTTCCTTTATGGCGGCGATGCAGGAGATCATATATATCCAACAATTTCTCCCAAACCGAACATTTTAAAACCACAAACCCTAGAAAATTAATAAATCCAAATCAAACCGGATGACCGACGCAGCAAACCGAACCGGATTCTCGAGGAGATTGATATATTAATGAGAATAAATATATCCGTAATTACTGCTATGATTTTAAATTAATTATTTAGGGACCAAAATAAGGGCAATGAGTCATATCGCTTGCCGCTGAATTCTCACGCTGAGAAGAAGCACAAGAGAAAACACATAACCAAAGGCCAAGGATCAAAACTTGAGAAGATAATAGCCAATAACGTGAAACCACACGGATCGATGACCTGGCAAAATATATTTGAAATCCCGCCTAAACCCCTCTGATTTTACATTTCGTGCGAAATTTCAATTTTTTCAATATCCTTTATTGATTGACCAAAGATATTTTACAAGCCTTTCTCCACTAAGCCCTTCTCTCTTCTCTCTTGGCCTCTCACTTGAATCTCTCACAAAGCGATCAATCACAAACTCTTTCTTCTTCTCTCTCTCTTTTCGATCCCTACGATTTTCCTCGCCAAGGTAATTTTCTTCGTTTTTCTTGTTTGAATTTGTGTGTTCGATCTGTTTTCGTGATGGTTTTTAGCTATTCATGTTGAATTCTACGTTTCGTAATTTGAATTTCATGTTCTGGATGTTTGTGATTTATGCTTGACTTGCTTAGTTTCTGTAGCATCTATCTCGATTTTGTATGTGTATCGATCTGTTTAGATGTTAATTTTTCAATTATCGCTTCTATGTATAGAATCGAATTTTCTACAGCTTGCGATAGTTTCTTCGCTGATCTTGTGATATGTTTGCAGAATCAATTATGAAAGGAGCTAAATCAAAGACTGAAACCAGGAGCTCCAAGTAAGTCTTAGCTAGATCTATTTGTGAATTTTATTGTTAGATCTCTGGAATTTAGATTCGTTTCCATGTCGTTGTTTGTTTTTCTGAAGCATTTGTTGCTTAATTTGTTGTTGTGATAGGCTCTCTGTGACCAAGAAACCTGCTAAAGGAGCAGGACGTGGCAAAGCAGCTGCTAAGGATCCAAACAAACCAAAGAGGCCAGCCAGTGCCTTCTTCGTTTTCATGTAATCCTCGCCTCAAATTCTCTGTGTCCAGTAGTTTCCATGGATAAAACTTTTATTACCGTACAAAAGTTTTTTCATCTGGTTACTACCAATCTTTATTTAAAGGTGAGATTAATAGAGAATCATTTGTCTGTTATCGTTGAGTCAAAAAGAATATGATAATAGTCCAACGAATCTGTTATTATCCTTTGTAATTATTCTCATTATTGAACTGATTGTTGATGGTTCCTTTATCCTGTGTGTTAATACTTGTGTTGACTTTTTGTGATATGTAGGGAAGATTTCCGTGAGACTTTCAAGAAGGAAAACCCCAAGAACAAGTCTGTTGCTACTGTGAGTGTTATTTGTGATTAATTTAAAACTTCTTGTACCTTAATCTTTGGATTTATAAAGTTGTACTGATGGTGAATTACTTCAATGGATTACAGGTTGGAAAAGCTGCTGGAGACAAGTGGAAGTCTTTGTCAGATTCTGTACGTTCTCTTTTTGATCAGTTTGACCAGAATTTAGTTATGATTTAGAATGTCACGTTTGTTAATGTAACAATGAAAGTCTGATGATGTGTGTGGTGGGTTTTACAATATTTCAGGAGAAAGCTCCTTATGTTGCTAAGGCTGAGAAACGCAAGGTTGAATATGAGAAGAACATTAAAGCTTATAACAAGAAACTGGTAAATCAAATGTCAATCATATATCAATTTTTAAAGAGACTGATAGTTGTCTGACCAATCATGATATGGCTGTGGTTTTAGGAGGAAGGTCCAAAGGAAGATGAGGAATCTGACAAGTCAGTGTCAGAGGTCAATGACGAGGATGATGCTGAGGATGGTAGTGAAGAGGTTAGTGGTTGAGTCTTTTAATGTTATTTTTACATCATTGCATATATAAAGATCTTTGTTTTTAACTCTTGTTACTTTGGTGTGTTATTAAAATGCAGGAGGAGGACGATGACTAAAGAAGTTGAAGCTGTGGTAGCATTAGTATAGATGGCTGCAAAGATCTCACTGGGCGATTATCCTTTTTTATTTTATTTTACTTGAAATGTTGATGGGGCTGATTAAAAGGGTCTTTCTTTTATCTTGTATTTCCAGTATCCCTCTAAAGCGCTTTGGATGGAGAAAGTGAATTGTAGAATGTTTAGATGGTGAAAGTGAGACTTGCAGCTCTGTACTCTTTGCTCTATAAAACGATTTAGTTTTCTTTTCTCAGTTTATGATATAAAATCGTTAATGATGTTGGTTAAATCTTTTGTCAGTTTGTTAAAAATTGGCACCTTAGTGTTATATATGCCTTGAGCATTATTCTGTCAGAAAAAATTGTGCCTTAAACTCTAGCATCGTTTAATTATCCACAAATCATGGTGTGTTGGGTTGATGTGGGTTAACTACTAAATCGCTCTTAATCAAGGTTTTTCACAAACTGTGATTAATGGCTAAATTGACTTAAATTTCGCAAGCTTGTAAAATATAACGAGGGCATGTTGACTTAGTTTTCTTCAGAAAGAGTAAAAGTAATCCTGATCCATCTCTATTCTAGAGATCAGTTTTCTTTTCATTTTGCTTAAAAGGAAATTAAACATAAAGATTAAAGAAATTAATTATGTGAATTGATTAGTTAATCATACACAGATATGGAAAGTATTAATAATATTTTAGGAAAGAGAAGATTCGAGTATGATTCTGTCATTAAGCCTCGCTTTCGAATTTGACCTAACCGATCTCTTAAATAAATAAATAAATACAAAAGTAAATAAGTACAAATTTACGAAACACACAAGAAAACACAGAAGGCGAGAGAGAGAGATCAAAGGATAAAAAAGGCGCGAGAATGTGAAAAGCCAGTGAAGAGAAACCACTCGGATCGATGACGTGGCGAAATAATATTTGAAATCCCGCCTAAACCCCTAAAGAATTTTTGACATGTCGTGGGAAATTGAAATATGTTTTAATTGTTTCATCAGATATTTTAACATCCCCCACTTAACCCTCTCATCTCTCGGCCTCTCACTCGAATCTCCTTCACAAAGCGTACAATTCACAAACACCTTGTTATTCTCTCTTTACTCTCTCTATTTCTCTCTCTTCAACCCCTACGAAGATCTTCTTCAAGGTAATTTCCTTTGATTTTTTCCAGTTTCCGTCTCTAATTCGTCTTGATTCTCTGCGTTTCGATCTCTAGATGTGATAATTTCGTCTCCTTAATTGTTTTTCCTCAGCCTAGAACCGAGTATTCTCTCTACTGATTGGTTTTTTCTCTGTTTAATTCCTATTTCTACTTTTGTTTCTGCAGAATCGATCATGAAAGGAGGTAAATCCAAGACTGAAACCAGGAGCGCAAAGTGAGTTTTTCACCTAGATCGATCAATTTGTTTGTTTTCTAGTTAATTCCTAGATCTCTGGATTCAGATCCGTATTCAAAACTCGTTGTCGTTTTCTGACTTAATTTTTGTGGCGGTGATGGATGATATAGGCTCTCTGTGACTAAGAAGCCTGCTAAGGGAGGCAAAGGTGCTGCTAAAGATCCAAACAAACCTAAGAGACCTTCCAGTGCCTTCTTCGTTTTCATGTAATCCTTCGATTCCTTCAATTTTCTCTCTGTTTAGTACTTCTGTTTTGTTTCTATGGAATTACTTTATTCTGGTCAAAAGTTTTGAGTCTGACTCGTACGAATCTGTTTCAAAAGTGAGATTAGTACCATTTTTTGTTTGCTATCATATTATTGATGTTATTGTTCATTCCTAAATGTTCTGGAACGTTGACTGCATAATCCAATTAGTAAACTGATTCTATTTAAGTGTGCTAAAACTTGCGTTGATTTATGATTTGTAGGGAAGATTTCCGTGAGACGTACAAGAAGGAGCACCCCAAGAACAAGTCTGTCGCAGCTGTGAGTTGTGATTTGTTACTCCTATTCCAAAACTTGGTTGATGTGTTTTATTGCCGTAGCTTTTGTGTTTGAAGCTGTTACTAACAATGAATTTCAATGGATTTTAGGTTGGCAAAGCTGGTGGTGAAAAGTGGAAATCCTTGTCTGACTCTGTACGTTTTCTAAGCTAGTTAGCTAAAGTTGTGTGTTAAGTCAATTGTTTCAAGCGTGTTATTAACCTGTGGGTGTTATAATAATGTAGGAGAAGGCTCCTTATGTGGCTAAAGCTGACAAGCGCAAGGTTGAGTATGAGAAGAACATGAAAGCTTACAACAAGAAACTGGTAATTGCTTATTTGCATTCAGTTCGTAGAAGGATGTGTTATGTTTATACGGATCACATTATTGAGTTTTCTGCTTTCTTTATACTAGTCAGTAGTAACATTATTGAAAGGCTTTTTATACTAATATCATATGATTGAAGTGAGAGTTATGTTTATTCTAAACAATGATGATACAAGCAACTGGTAATTGGGTTAATGGTAGTGCTTGAATAACAGTGGTGTGTTGTGTTTTCAGGAGGAAGGTCCAAAGGAAGATGAGGAATCTGACAAGTCAGTCTCAGAGGTGAACGATGAGGATGATGCTGAGGATGGGAGTGAAGAGGTAAGGGGTTGATTCTATTAGCTGTTTTACATCATTGCATCTAAATAAATATCTCTGGTATGAAGAAGTAAATCATTGTATTAACTCTGTTATATATGTTATGTAGGAGGAAGACGATGACTAAGAAGTTGAAGTTATGGTAGCATAATATAGAAGGCTGCAAGGAATCTCTCGGATGTTTTTATCTCTTCTCTTAAAATGTTAATTCGGCTGGTTAAAGTGGGTCTTTTTTTTTCTTTTTTTTTTACTGATGTTTCGTTTTAGTAAGCAATCACCTATCTTCCCACTGATTCTACGGGTAATGGAAAAAGTATGTAGAATGTCTAGATGGTGAATGAGAGATTTGCAGCTTTATATAATGAATGATTTAGCTTTTTAATTCCTCTACGTTTGTTATTACCTTAATGCTCTTTAAACTCTGTTTGTAGTTGATAACTTGATAATTGTCTCATGTGGATTTATAACCCTGAAAAAATTATTAGTGTAAACCATGGTTTTACTTTAATCATATTGGGGTTGTAACGATTGCATAATCACGCTCTTAATCAATGTGTTCCATAAAGTGTAAACCATGTTTTTACTTTTTGTTTGGTTATTTGACTTTAGACAGGTTGGTAAAATTGGTTTAAGGCCATACTTTGAACTTTCCAAATGACCAACGCCATGATCATTTGGTTTTCTTTTCATCTTTTGAGAAAAAAAAAGGTTTAGAGTAGATTAGAGGTTTCTCTATGGATGTATTACTTCGTTTAACATAAGAAATGAGTTAAAATTTTGATCATTTTTGACAAAAGTGAAGATTTGAGTGAAATCCGCGTAATAGCAGCAGAATAGTCTCACTTATGTTATAATCAATATCTTTATATTAAAGAACCTTTTTGGTCAAATTCATATATTTTCTTCTAAATCAACTAACAAAAGAAAGCATGCTCTTCTTTATTTTCTCCATAGTTTAATCATTAGTCATAAGTCACAACGATAATATTTTATATAATGCTGTGATTAAGCCTTGCTTCCGGCTTTACCTAACCACTAAATATAAAGTAAGATACACAGTTTGTGTTCCTCTACGGATACAAGCTACTGATGTAACCAATACCTGGAATTAATTAGGTTGTTTTTATATATTAGTGTGGTGTCTTATTATGTCATCAACACATAGGATTAAGATATTTTTGGATTAACACATTTTTCTTTTCCAAATGGTTGATATCTTGACCCGTAAAACTCGATTAAAAGTGTTGAAATTCTAACACAAAATTGTGAACACCGTTGACCAAAATCTATCCTAGTTATAGCCATAATTTTCCAAAGTTTTTAGTTTGTGACCAAATATTTGGATTATTTACAGAATAATAATCTAATTTAATCATTTACAATTGTATCTCTAGCTACCCTGTAATAAACTGGTAACAGACAAGATTAAATCGGACCAATTGATCATTAGTCAAGACATCTTTTCCAAAAAGTGTTTAATTTAACGGTAACAAATAAACAAAAGATCCTTTATTCACTAAACAAAAGAATATATATATCATTCACTTTCTCGTTGTCTTGTTCATATGGTAAAAAAAATGGAAAAGGAGAAAAGCAAATTGATAGAAGAGATGGAGAGGGAGACGCTAAACGGTGCGTATAATGGGAGAGTGATGACGGAGGAGCAGATGGAGATCCTCCGTAAGCAGATCGCCGTTTACGCCGTTATTTGTGACCAGCTCGTCCTCCTCCACAACTCTCTCTCTTCTTTCAGTCCCCTCTCATCAGGTAACACTTCTCTCTCTCTATGTGTGTGTTCTTCTGATTTACAACGATCACGTTATTATATGTCTTAGATTTTTACAAAAAGACGACCATTTGAGCTTCTTTGCATATGGTAGATGAAGTGTGTATGAAGAAAGTGTTTAAACGCAGCGTTTTTTGCGATGCAAACGTTGTTTCCATTCATATACTTGATTGACCCATTGAGATTTTAGTTTTATAAAGTGAAAACTGTGTTTGCTGTTTGGTATACAACTAACGAACTCAAAACGCTTTTTTTAGTGTTCGATGCATAACTTTGAATCAAAATTCATAATGTTATAGACATTCCAAGACAGTCTACCTACCGCTTAGATATCGATTCATCAATATTGCTAAAGAAATTTGTTATTTAATTTTCTTTATAAAGTATTGCTATTTATAAATATAGTTTATGATTGCTTAGATCGAACAATTCGATCTACTATTAATTGTTTTTTCTGTAAATTTAATCTGATTTGAGTATAATGATATCATGTCGTGGCCGATTTTTTAGAAGCTTGGTTTGAATTAGAGTTATTAGTGTTATGTGGTTTTGATAATACATATTTTGTACTTGCAAGAAACTTAAGAGTCACGTCACTGATTTTTTTTCTAATAATGATTTTGAGTATAAAAAGGAATGAGGCCAATGGTTGGTGGATACTTTGATCCGATGGGGACGTCGTCAAGTTCTCATAGGATATCGACTAGGCATCGGTGGACTCCGACTTCAACACAGCTTCAGATACTTGAGAGCATTTACGAGGAAGGAAGTGGAACACCGAATCGACGGAGGATTAGAGAGATTGCAACGGAGCTGTCTGAACATGGACAGATCACGGAGACAAATGTCTACAATTGGTTTCAGAACCGGCGTGCTAGGTCCAAACGAAAGCAGCCTCAAACGACCACGGCTGATGGTCCGGCTGACGATTTGGCGGTGACAACGGAGGAAAGGAGGAGTTGTGGAGATTCAGGAGGATTAGAGTCTTATGAGCATCTACTCTTCCCAAGTCCTGATTTAGGTAAAGATCATTTTTGAGTTTTGTTTACATTTTGTTAGGTTTAATTTTTGTAAAAAATTGGTTTGAGGTTGGATCGGTGGTGCTTTTTTGTGGTTTCAGGGATTGAGCACTTGTTGAGTATAGGGAAATTTATGGAGAGTTAAATTCGTAGACTGACATAAAGAGTCGATGAAGAAGATCTCTAATCTCTTCTATTTTCTTTTCTCTGTTTTCATAAAACATTATTGTGTGTATGTGACATTAACAAGTCTTTTATTGTAATTTTTGTGTTCCTCAAATTGATATGCATATGCCCACATCTTCTTAAGCATATATCAGAAAGAAAAAGTGAGGCCATAAAAAACTCGGTTGATATATTGGCCGGTAAATCGCGATTAAAATGACACTAAACAGTGGAAACAATTGACAAAAACCGATCCTAGTTATGATAAATAGCTTTTTCCATTGTTACTAAATTTATTGTCATCTCACAAAAATCATATAAAATCGGATATTGGTTATATATGACAACAAAATTAGAATATAATTATATCAATTATAATCTAATTGTATCCCAAAATTACATCAATTAACTGGTAATTGAAAAAAAAAACAAATCGGACCAATTGATCATCTTTCCAAAAATGTGTTTGAAGTTAACGGTAACAAATAAACTAAAGATTTCTATCAAAAGAAAAGTATACATAACTCATTCACTTCCTCATTGTCTTCTTCATATGGTAAAAAGGAGAGAGGAGAAGACAAAGTGGTGAAAGAGGAGATGGAGCAAGAGAGCCTAAACGGTACGTTTGATGGTAGAGTAATGACGGAGGAGCAAATGGAGACTCTCCGTAAGCAAATCGCCATTTACGCAGTTCTTTGTGACCAGCTCGTCTTCCTCCACAACTCTCTTTCTTCTGTCCCTCTTCTCTCATCAGGTAACGTACACTACTACATAATTGGATTTGGAAGAAACTTAAGGGTCACGTAACTGAATTTTTATGGTAATGATTTGAGAATGTACAATAGGACTGAGTTCAATGGGAGGCGGATACTTTGATCCGATGGTGGCATCGTCAAGCGCTCAGGGAATGTCGACTCGGCATCGATGGACTCCAACGTCAATGCAACTTCAGATTCTCGAGAACATTTACAAGGAAGGAAGTGGAACACCAAATCCGCGGAGGATTAAAGAGATCACGATGGAACTGTCTGAACATGGAGAAATCACGGAGAAAAGTGTCTACAATTGGTTTCAAAACCGACGAGCTCGGTCCAAACGAAAGCAACCTCAGACAACGACAATTACCTCTGGTCAGGCGGATGATGCGGCCGTGACAACAACTGATGAGAGAGAGAGTTGTGGAGGAGATTCTGGAGCGTTTGAGTCTTATGAGCATATACTTTTTCCGAGTCCTGATTTAGGTAAATATCTTACTATATGATTTTTATGTGTCTATGCATCGTATTTTGGTTTAATTGAGTCAGAAATGAAAAAATGTGGTGAACTTTTTGTTGTTTCAGGGATTGAGCATTTGCTGAATAGGGACAAGTTTATAGACTGAGAGTGAAACAAAGATGAAGACCTCTCCTCCCTCTGTTTTTCTTTGGTTTTCTCAATAAATTGATATCACCGTGTGAGAGAGACCTTGAACAATTTTTTTTTAAAATTGTAGAATTTATTTTTCACAAATTTCTGGTAAAACATGTATATAAACCTTGACCTTAGGGCATGGGCAGTGGAGCATCTTCACGGGTGTAAGTGGTAATAAAAAAAGCAAAAAATTGTCTCTCTCTTCACACCCGGGTGTAAGTTTACACTCGGGTGTAACACTCACTCTCTCTCTCTCTCTCTTCTTTCTCTCTCTCTTTTCTCTTTTTTAGACAACTTTTGCATTAAATCAGTTTTTTTTTAATACTTACACCCCCCCAAACAAATGCCCCACTGCCCTTGGTCTTATACGAATATGTATATACACGTACCTAACTCATCATGAGCTACTCGAATTAACAAGGGATTGCCACTACCTGAACATAAATTAAGTTCTGAACGAAGCTGGCCATGTTTAGAGGCAAAAACCAATCTTTCTTCGGCCACATGAGCAAAGTTCTTTGGTTCACATTGGTTTATGACAACTTGGTGCTGGTTTGGCTGTCTTGACTTATTCCTCATTATGAATCAGACCGCTTCATCTTGTTGATGCATCATTTCTCTAGGTTTTCTTGCTCGTTGGAAAATTGCGTTTTGGTAGTCTCAACTGCACAGAATCAAGATTGAAGTGTGGGATCAGACTAACAATGTAAACAGAAACCGGAATGCATGGTATTATTGTCTTTACAGACCTTTGATTTTGTAGTCCTCCAGCCTCCTGAATCTTGCTGCTGATTTGGGGAGTATGCAAATCTTTCTATTGACTTTAACACATCACTCTTGTCCACAGCTGCATTAGTCTCAGCAAGTGGTTCCTACAATATTCATTAGGTTATTATTATTTATGCACACAGTGTAATTGATACCACAAGCTTTGTCCTGAAAGAATTAAAACAAATTCAGTTCTGTTTCAAAATCTTTCGCATCTCCATTTGTCCCAAACTGAAGCCTCAAATTGCTTCTAACGACTTAAGGGTATGCAAGAATACCTTGTGCTTTAACGTTGAATCCTTGCTTGCAGCTTCATTGGTGACTTCTAGATGATCAGCAAAGAACAAAATCTGCAAACAAGTAAAATTAGATCTTGATATTAGCGAGAGCTCAGGACAATAAACCCAATCATAAATGAGAGTCTTGAGCACTCAAAGGAATCACCACTAAAGTCAGCTTACTTTGCTCAAAAACTGGACATTTGATGAATCAGTAGCCATGACTTGCACTCCGAGACATGTGTTTGGGATACTGCAGAAAGGGCAAGAGATAGTATTGAAAACACATCCATCTTGCTCGCACCAAATACCCTGACCTTTTGAGCCTTCAAATTTTCTGCAGAGTCTCTGATTAACCATTGAGCAATCTGTCATGATAATTGAAACACTTGTTGGCATTTCTGCAGCTCCAGTTCTTGACGTTTTTTTCAGAAGAGACAGCAAATACTTTTTGGAAGACGAAGTCAACAAGCAATTGAGATATGAGTGATTCTCAGGTAGACCTAATGGACTTCTGCAGAGCGAACAAGATAGCTGCACTTTCTGATTCACTTCTGGAAAAGAATATATGTTGAAGTTTTGGGATCTTGGTTCCGTAATCCCAAACCCAAACTCAATTTTTCTTGTTAAAGTCGTGTGATCCGAGGGTCTAGTACTAGGAGCATCGCTGTTTTCGTCTTCAAGGTCAATGACAGGAGAGCTGGTAAACTTTCTTCGCTTCAAAGCTTGAGAATTAACGCTCATGTTGAAAGATGACTCTGCTTCTAGAGTCAAACTACGGGTGTCACCAAAGGAATATCTCTCAGAAGTTGCTACTACGGACGACTCAGCTCCAAGAGGAGATTTTCTGAAATTTGGAGTAGATATATGCTGCTTTAATAATTGATCAGGAGACCTCGGAGATCTCCGACCTATTGTTGTTGGACTAGAGCATTCATTCACCGAGCAAGAACATGGACTGGCAACTGAAATACCATTGATCATTCCAGAGCTTTCCTTGACAAAAGATGTTTCTGGATCTTCATCACAGTTGGTCACCGATGATACCTCACAATACCTGCACATGAAGGTTGTTAAGTTTTCTTAAGGATCTGCATAATATAACCTTACATTCTGCGGTATTTCAATTCAAGGTCCACATGACATGCTACTCTTCTAGTTGAAGCTAACACTAACAAACATGCTACTTTAGGACAATTTATCAAGCATTACACGTGAGATAGAAATGGTAGAGATCTAATTAGATATTTCTTAAGAAAACTTGTCTGATTTATTTACCCAGGCTCAGGTTGGACACCACACTCAAGGTCAATAACTTCTCTACAGCATTCAGCTTCCTCTTTAACTTGAACAAATGTCTGCGTCGAATGCCCCATGTATCTCAAATCTTCAGCTATTTTTGGTTTCACATCTCTGTGATCCCCAAAGGCTTTGCTTTCATACATATAAGGATATTTTGGATTCGAATTTGTGTAGTCCTCCACGTCCTCCACCTGCACACAAATTCATTATCAATAACAAAATGAATTCATAAGAGAACACCACAACACAGAATAAATTGTTTGCTTTAAAATGTACTTTTGGTTCCACTTGACTAGATTTGTTCTGAATCTGATTTTCCTTCCTTCTGTATTCTTTGCTTTGGTTTTCCGAGGAAAAGTTCTTCTCAACAGTATCGTCCTGGGACCCTAACATCTTACTGTCAACTTGCTCCTGCATGCAATTTTCAGAGAATTTTAATGACTATGTAATAAAGTTTCAAGGAAGGGAATGAGATTGTTTTGAACCTTGACACTGTTGAAAAAATATCTCAACCCTTCCATAGATGCTTCAAAATTATCATACACTTTGATAGACTGCCTTAGCCACTTTGAAATAGACGCTCTGTTCCTTTGTTCTTTGTATCGCTCATCTGGACACCAAAACAAGACAACCTCAGAGCTATCATAACTGAATTGATCAAATTTTTTTAATAAAGTTGAGTAATGAAATCTTATAATTACCTAAGAATATGATGGCACCATAATCAAACCTATGCCGGATACATCGTCCTGTAAATAAATATACCATGACAGAATAACCTGTTACAGTATTAAAATTGACTGGAAGAACCAAGTGACAGAATGCAAGTTATCACATTGCACCTGCAGCTTGATTTAGAGCACGATAGGCCTGTTGGCAATACCATTCACTCCCTCCAAGAAGACTTTTAGATGACTTGTAGGTATCATTATATTTTTTCTTCAGTCCGACTTGAATATCATGTCTGGCAAGAAAGTGATTAATTAGAAAACTGTTCCCCCCTAAGATGGATTGGAACAAAGCTGAAAGATTTTAGAGGAATTCTTACAAGTTTGGAAATGGAATGCCAACAATTATCTGTATGTAAACATCAAGGTTTAACAATCCATTCATAAGACAGTTCGAGCAGTATAAATCTTATTTATTAAAAATATCCAAGACAATGCAGCTAAAAAGGATACCACTGCCCTGGCGTTGTCATCAGCAAAGTCAATCCCTTCTGAAACCTGTTAGAAGCATAGACTTTAAACTCAAACCTCAAAGTCATTAATTTTTTTAAACACACTATATTCTTTGAAAGATAAAAGGTACCCATGTCATGCTCATAGGATCCAATGACACCCAATATCTTGAGATTGGATTGCTTTGTTTAATAATTAATAGAAACCAAGACAAGAGCAAAAACAAAAACAAACCTTTCCTCTACATACTGCAAGAAATGCAGCTCCCTTCTTGGAATCATCTTGAGTCTCAGTTTTAATAGGCCCTGCTTTCTTAGCTCTTCTATTTCTTCCAATTAATTTATTCTTCCCGCGTATAGAATCATAATATCCCTTCAGAACAGAATCGAATTCGTCCTGGGCGCCTCCTCTTGGTTCTGCAATCAAGGACACTTATTCTAGATTTTTGACAAGAAAAAAGAAAACCATCACAATAGGATTTGTTGCAACAGTTACTCACCAACAAAAAGGTCCTTTTTCAAGCAGAGCCGAGACCACTGCCCAGTTTCACGCCAACGCGTGCAGAGTTTTTCCATCAACTTATAGCTTGGAAAGAATATCAGAGAGCCTCCTGGTACAATAGTGCAGATTTCTTCCAATGATTTCCCAAGAGCATCCTTCAAAGAAAAGTAGAGCATTGCATTCACGATACACAAAAACAATGCATCACAGTACAAGATGAACACATTTACAAGCAAAAAGAGCTTGACCCAGTGACTAAAAATGACCGGTACCTGGAATGAATATGTATCAGCTGTTTTATAACTTGCATTTAGAGGATAATTACTAGGACCATTGGAGATTGCGCCAGCCCACACCTGGAACGAAGATATTGTTAAATCACACATTCAATTCTCGAAACTGTTGCTAAGTGGAGAGCTTTAGTCAAAACCTGCATATTAGGATCAATAACATGTGGAGCCTCTAAAGAAGTGCCAAATTGCATCCCAAGTTCAGATGAGAAAGAATTCATTGGTGACAAAGTCCTATATTTTACAACCGCAAAACTTAATCATTACTGAACGAGATGGCTCAAGAAATAATAAAAATTAAGCTAACCATTACCAATGGGTTAAGGAGGGGAGTAGAACGCTATGCACATATAGAATGTGAAGCACAAAAACCAAATGTGTGGTCAAACTTAACAAAAAAATGATGTGTATGATCATTGTACACTGAAGACGTTGCGGTTTTAAACAAGACTTATATAACAGGCCGTTTTTACTTGCAAATATCAGATGGAAAAAGGTGTAGGTGACTTTGTACTGGATAACATAATTTTTTGCAGAAGCAATAGTAAGCAACAGCAAACTACAGCTTACCCAGATGTTAAAATGATGGATAAAGATATGTCAGCTAAGTCTTTGAAAACAACAGCAGGATTCATGCACCACAAACTGAAAGTATGCGTCCAGGTACCAGAAGGATCTCCTGCAGCCAAGTAGAGCAACAATGAACACCTTTTGTTTTTACAGACAGGTAAAATTTTCACACATACGGTTAAAAAGGTCTATCAAAATTCAGTTCTACCTCTTTTAGTAGAGCGTTGTAAACCCAGTTGGTAATCTAAGATGTGACTTCCATTTCTTGAAAAGAAGTATGTAAGTGAAGAGAACAACTCTGCATGAATATAGTGCAATAAGCTCTCATCCTCAAAATGATTTTACAGGGAACAATGCTTAAAAAAGTTAGGGAGACGCAAAAAACCTTCTAGTGTCAAGACAGATATCCCGCTCAAATAAAGCATATCTGATTCCATTTCTGCCTCCTTTGATGTTCTGATAGCCTAGAACAGTAATCACAATTGCACATTCAAGCATCATATAAGGCCTGTGGGCCTAGCCAGATAACATTGAAGGAATGACTAACCTTTGTAAAGCATTCCAATAAGATTGGGAAGCATTCACGAGTGATATTAGATTCCTCAAGCTCTCTTAAAGCTTTGTCTCCAGTCCAGCTGCAATCATGTCATTGTAGAACTAAAATGATACTTGGTTACTGTTTTACAAACACGGTTTCCCTACTTAACTTTGACATGTTTTGGGAAAGAAAGTTATACCAATGGCAGGTGAATTATTTCTGGTAACACTAGATTATCTGATAACTACATATACAATGCAGATTATGCCTACATGCAAGTGCACAAAATTTTCTGGTGGGTTATCACAAGGTATATATCTAACCACATTTTAGACACCGATGCTACATAGAGTAACAATGTATTCAGCTGTTAAGAGTTGTCCAGACAAGACCAGTTCTCATGGAAAATAAGAAAACCAAAACTATAAATACAGTTAAAACATTTAAAAATTTTAGAAGTAATGCACATGTTTAAAAGAAGAGTATCAACGTACCTAGAGAAATAATGCTGAAAATCACGTTTTGCTAATGAGTCCTTTTTTCTTCCAATCCAGCTTATCAGTCCCTAAATACATAGAACACTCAATATTAAAAAGTTATCAGCAAAGATACATCTGAAAATTATCTTGCAGTTAAAATGACTTACCTCTACTACTTCACACAAGGGTTGATAAATCATTGGCTGCGCCAAGCTCATCTGTTCTAGTTCATTCTGTAATTCTGCATAACACTTAAACCACATTAGTAAAGGAAACGAAGTGAACAAAACCATGAATATCTGCAAGGATAGTTTGAGTGGTACATACTGAAAAGAGTGTCTTCTTCCAAATTAATGCTACCTGCTTCACGAGCAATGTCTTCCATATTGCTGTGGACAGTGTAAGATTTAGTAGACGGCCTTATCATCAACATCACAAGCATGCTAAGAAATCTACAAACTTATGTTTCAACCAGCAAATTCTAAGTGTGAATATATTAAAAGTAAGAAGGTTCTGAAGCTTACTGTGCTTCATCAAAAATTATAATCGCTCCTTTCAGATCTACTTCAACTCCTGCTCGAATGACAGGATTAACTATATAGGAATAAGGGCAAAAAACCAATTGTGCGTTCTCCGCCATTGACCAGGAAGCAAAATACGGGCAGCCTACAAGAAAATTATTAGAGCTTAAGAAATAGAAAAATACAATCAATTAAAATTACAACTTAAACCAGTTCTAACCTCTAACATTTTTTCCAACTTTTACAAGATCTTCAATATCATGAACCTCATTGTGACCTCTGGGCTGAAGCGATGGATGAGATGTGATTTTATTGACGTTCCTGGAAGTTAAGGAAAACAGTTACATAGTTTGACGAGCTAACAACAAAAGGGGGAAAAACAAAGAATTAATATTATCAGGAAAAAAAACTCACTTGAATTCAGAACATTGTATGTTTGCCTTATCTTTTAGGAGTAACCGACTAGAAAAAGATTACAAGTTAGTATAGAGGGTAAGCCGTAGCTGAAAAGAATAGTAAGATGGTACGAATGTGGTAATAACATACCATTCATCATCTACATTGTCTTTCCCAAGTACATGACGATTAGTGCAGTAATGTTTTCTTGAAGCCTTGCACAATGAAGACGGCCCGTGAGATATGAAATATGATCTTGATTAACCATAAATAAGCAAGTCCACAGAAGAAAACAAGTCAAGTTAACATACCAATACAGCCATGGGCACTCTGTAACCAGTTTTCCTATACTCACGAATCACTTGAGTAATCTGAGAATGAGTTCGTCTTAAAATGAACAAAAACAAACAATCAATCAATAAGAAGAAAGCATTATTAATTTATTCACAACATTGCCAAAATTGCTTATGTAAAGCTTACGAAGCATAGTATATGGTAGGAATTTTGGTTCTCTTCTTAGTTGCAGTTTCAGCTTTCTCCACATTTGTAGAAGCAGGAGTATCTATTCAGAGATAACCACGATTTTAAAAACTAATTCTAATTCAATCATAAATGCAATTTCGTTAAGAGTCAATGACGAACCTGAGGGTTGCGTTTCTGGTATGAATCCACCTCCGTGATTCAATGGATCGGTGGCTGCTTCAGGGGCAGCTTTCGAATGAGATAAATTCCCTTTTAGAAGCCGAGATTTATAGTTCTGTTGCCAAGCGAGAACTGAGCAGAGCAATGATAGAGATTTGCCGGTACCAGTGGGAGACTCGAGCAAAGCGTGACAGTGACCGTCTCTCTGGGCACGATCAAGCGTAGATATGACCCGGCTCATGAACGCAAGCTGGGTTCCGTACGGTTGATAAGGGAATTCAACTTGAAGGCCTCCGATTTGGTAGACATTTTTAGGGTTTTTGGAGTTTAGGGTTTGTTTCACTTCTTCCTTCGAATCCGATTTGCTGGTTGTGGAAGCCATCTTCTTCGTCGAGAGTCGGTGACTGAAGAAAAATGAGAACTACGAGAAGAGAATTTCGAGCATTTCGCGTTGTTGATAAATGGGCGGGAAAATTGGACCCCTTTTCGAGTTTCTCTTCTTTTGGCGCCCGCCATTGTTTTAGTCTCATTGTCTGTGGTAAACTGGTATTAGCTGAGCCATTAAAACGACGTACAGTTCTGATTGTTTAAGAGAGAACGGCAATACTTCCGTATTCATTGAGATATTGGACCAAAATTGGGCTTATTTAAGCCCATTTGTGTGGAGGCAATCACATAATTGAGATTGTGTCATGATTGTTCAATTGTCTTCTCTCCACTTTCATAATCGTATATGCAATCTTTTTTTCAAAACATATTTCATAGGTAAGAGTTTTCAAGCTTCAACTGTTCAACACATGATGTTGTAGTTCGAATGCAACAAAAGAAAAAAATCCCTCATTAGTTTATTTTTTCTTTACAAAACACCTATATAATTTTCTAAACATTATAATTTCTACAAATATAAATAAATGAAAAAGTTTAAATAAAATTTAGAAATCTAAGGCCACATTTTAATAAGTTTGCTTTATAACCGGAATGTGTGTTATTGTCTTTATATGATTATGTTTTCACAAAATGAAAAATTGATCCAAGATTGTATTATGCCACATCATATATGATGCTAGATTTTGTGGAATTTCCTGTCAAGCTTTGTCCGGAAATAATTAAATTAACTTCAGTTCCATTTCAAAATCTTCATTTATTCCAAACTGAAACATCAAATTGCTTCTAAAGACTTAATAAGTCGAGCATGAATAAAACTGATTTGAACATATATTAAATCAATCACAGCACACAACCAACAAAAATGGCCCTAGCTGCCCTCCAACGTGTTTTCTCAAGTAACGTCTTCATTTCAATTTTACTCAGATTAGTAAAAGTATTTTCTAACTGGTTCCACATACAAATGACTCCTCCTTACTCAATCAGCACTAGCTAGAGCCAATAGAATCGGACTACCAAAGCTGATTAAGACCAAAGAGTAGTTGGATTTGAGTTTTAAACTTGTGTGCTACTAGTAAACCACTTCTTGTATATTCCTAGTATAGCAAAATAATAATTCTGAATGGTTCCACATAGACAAGACTCAAGAGTCCTCCTTACTCAATCAGAAAAAAGCTATAGAGCAAAAAAGTAAATTGTGAGAATCAATGTACCGATGGCGCCAGAAGTTGGATTATACCTTGATGAATGCTTCTTCACGTCTTACAACAAAAGGTTTAAAGGCAGTCATGAGGAGGTGTCAATGGAAGAGTACAAGGAAGTAGCTGAAGAATTCAAATGGAAGCATGTTTACTCACATATTGGCTCAGCTGAAGAAAAAGATGGAGCTGTGGCTATTTGGTTGCATTCTCTGAACCAGAGAAACTATCCTGATCTACGATGCAATGAATACAAACCGGATGAAGTCATTGTCTATAAGACGATTGGTGAAGCCTCTGAAGAAAATATCCATGAAGAGAAAATTACAGTGAAAGAGAACACTAATGGCACTGCAGAGTTATTCGTTGCCGATAAGTTGAATGATGAAACCTCTGAAGGAACGATCATGGAAGAGAGGACTACAGTAGACGAGAAGGCAATCGGGTGAGGCCGCTTTTATCTACTGCGGATCACTGGATTCAAGCTTACCGGACTAGTGAGCCAGGTGAGTAACATGATGCCTCAGTTAAAAAATATATTTGGACATTTGTTTCACTGTGTCCTTTGAGTTTTGTCTCTCATGACAAAATTTTGGAAACTTAAGTCATGTGTTAGCATTGTGACATTTTGATCTTATTATAATTTTACCGAATTAAGTATTGGCTATGCGCCTATGCCTATATTGTTTTTGTCCATTTTAGGAATGCCATTCAAACACTAATAATCTCAATAATAATATATAACCTCATCTTGTTAATTGTAAAAAAGGATAATCATAATAAAGGCACCAACGAAGCACACGATCATCACTAAGAAACAGATAAATGGAGCATTACTAAACCGATTTGAAAACTCCCTAAACATATAAATCAATCACACAACCAAAATGACCCTAGCTGCCACCTCATCATCTTTAACGTGTTTTCTTTAACGTCTTCAATTCAACTTTACTCAGATTAGTAAAAGTATTTTCTAACTGGTTCCACATACAAATGACTCCTCCTTACTCAATCAGCACTAGCTAGAGCCAATAGAATCGGACTACCAAAGCTGATTAAGACCAAAGAGTAGTTGGATTTGAGTTTTAAACTTGTGTGCTATTAGTAAACCACTTGTTGTATATTCCTAGTATAGTAAGAAAATAATTCTGAATGGTTCCACATAGACAAGAATCCTCCTTACTCAATCAGAAAAAGCTATAGAGCAAAAGTGGAACAATTTGAGAAATGTTGAAACAATATGTGTCTTCCATGTTACTTAGTATAGCAAGTTTATGCTACTAGAAGCCACTTTATTCGTTTTACATACATGAATCTGTAAGAGTAAATTGCATCACATAGACACGGCTCCTAGTCGGAGGAGAGAGTATGATGGTGACATAAAACAACAAAAGGTATATCCAAAAATGGATAAAGAAGCTCTTAAGCGCGTTGGGGTACTTACATTGGAAGAAGTTGACAAGTAAAGGAAAAAGCAGAGCACAGTTGAATCATCTCTCGGCTATAAAAACAGAGACGGGGTCACAACTCAAAAACACTACAAAAGAACAACACAGAGCAAGAGATTCAAATAGCAAAAAAAACTTATATATTCTTTCAAAAACAAAAATGGGGATCGTAGCATTCCAATGGGGAGAGGGAGAAAACATACTGACGCTGCTGATGAACCGAGACAATTGGGAAGACAGGCAAGTTAATATTCATTCGACGTTTTTGGTTTTAAATTTGTGCATCAGACATTGTTGCTGAATACTTTTTTAATGTTCTTTTTTATTTCTCTGAGTGATTAATAGGGACATAAGTAGGGCATCTTGGAATGGAAATGGCGAGATATTGAGTGGTCGGAGCGCAGAGACCAATGGGACGTGGTTAGGTATTTCTAGAGGAGGCCGAGTCGCATTTCTTGTGTATGAAGGGCCCATTAGCTGCATAAACAGAATCATCGGCGCCGAGTGTCTTACTCTTGAGTTCTTACAGGTTTGATTGATGTTTTCTTTTTGTTAATTTTTTGGTTAAACTATGTGGATTCTCACGGGATTGCGTTGATTACAGAGCAACGAGAGTCCAGAGGACTTTGCAAAGTCATTGGCTGCAGATTCCGGACGTAACACGAAGATAGCCTATCATCTAATTGTGGCCGACATAGCTTCAAACTCAATGTTTCAAATCTTCAAACCTGTAGATGGCATTGTCCATACAAGGCCTGTTGGTCCTGGTGTTCATACCCTATCTTCATCTGGACTCGATTGCGAAGTTAGAGACAGGGTAATTTAGTACAAGAATCTTGTAACAGAGTATTTCTTTGCAAAACTTTTCACATAGAAATGTATAGCTTAAAAGCAAACCCTTTTTTTTTTGTCTCATGCAGGACTTACGTCTGAAAAACTCTTTTGGTGATATGATTAATAGAGGATTACCATCACAAATGGGGGAACTTCCTGAGATTATGTATGATCCAGTCAGAGCTGACGGAAGATCCCCACTGAGCTCTATTTTTATCGTCGACACTACGGTAAGAAACTCAAATTCCTTTTTTATGATCATCACCTTCATTATATTATTATAACCCCTCTTCTTCTTTTTTACCTTTTTGATTCAGTATGAAAAAGGAAACTATGGAACAAGAAGTACGACAGCATTGGTGGTGAAACCAACCAACGACGTGATGTTCTTTGAGAGGTACAGGGAGAAATTTAATAATAACTGGAAGGATCACGACTTCGAGTTCACCATCATCTAGTTACAATGAGCATTCCACAGCATCCGAATATTATTATCTATACTAAATAATCTTGTTGATGCTATAATTAATTAATACATCATAATCTTGTCGGTTCAGGGAAACCTACTTCCTTGGTCACACTATAAATCTCTAGTCTATGAACGTTATGCTCTAAATAAATAAAAACTAGTTGGTTTTCTGAAACTTTCCTATGTCGACTGTTCACTTTATATTTTTCATCTATTCAGTTCTTGAGTTATTTTCCCATAGTTTCTCTTTAACTTTACTTTCACGTTAAGTCATGTATTTTTCAATTCCTGTGGGAACACCAAGCCATAGTTTGCAGAATGAATATAATGCACACAACTGGGATAATTTATATTCGTTTTGGAAACCCTGATTGAGCAATTTCAAGCAATTCGTCAAGAACCCTTGTTGCTTTCTCAAAAGTATTGACACCACGTCGTATGCGGTAATGAACAAGAACAATGAAATCAAGAAAAAGCAAGAACATATATGGATATTAAAAGAAAATTCAAGAGAGTAGGAATGTAGAAAAGGCAAGAACATATAGAAAATAAGAAAAAGCAAGCACACTAGACATTTATCATAACAACTATAACAAGAAAGACAAGACATGAAGAGATTGTTCAGAGTAATGGAAAATGCAGAGGAGAGAGAATCTCTCGGCTATATAAACAGAGAGGAGATCACAACACCTCATCATCTCATTGGTGTTTTCCTGAACGTCTTGGTTTCCCTTTGTCTCAGATTAGTAAAATCAATCCGCAACCAAAAAAGTCCCTAGCTGTCACCTCATCATCTCCATCGTGTTTTCTTTAACGTCTTCATTTCAATTTTACTCAGATTAGTAAAAGTACTTTTTTCTAACTGGTTCCACATAAACATGACTCCTCCTTACTCAATAAGCACTAGAGCCACTAGAATCAGACTACCAAAGCTAATTAAGACCAAAGAGTAGTTGGATTTGAGTCTTAAACTTGTGTGCTACTAGTAAACCACTTCTTGTATATTCTTAATATAGTAAAAGAAATACTTCTAATTGTTCCCACATAGACCTGAGTCCTCCTTACTCAATCAGAAAAAAAAAAAAAAACTATATATAGAGCAAAAGTGGAACAATTGGAGAAATGTTGAAACAATGTGTCTTCCATTTTACTTAGTATGGCAAGTTTATGCTACTAGAAGCCACTATTTTCAACGTTTTTACATACATGAATCTGTAAAAGTAAAATGGCAACACATATTCTGGTGGTTACTGAATGGAGGAGAAAGTATGATGGTGATAGAAAACAGCAAAAGGTATATCCAAAAATGGATAAAGAAGCTATTAAGCGCGTTGGGGTACTTACGTTGAAAGAAGTTGACAAGTAAAGGGAAAAAGCAGAGCACAATGAATCATCTCTCGGCTATAAATACAGAGTATGAGTCACAGCACAAAATCACAACAAGCACAACAGAGCAAGAGATTCAAATAGCAAAAAAAACTTCTAAACTCTTTCAAAAACAAAAAATGGGGATCGTAGCATTCAACTGGGCAGAGGGAAACAACAACCAACTCACGCTGCTGATGAACCGAGAAAATTGGGAAAATAGGCAATTTTAACATTTTCATTCGACGTGTTTGTTTTAATTTGTGTATCAGACATTGTTTCTGAATACTTTTCTGATTTTTTTTTCTTTATTTCTATGAGTGATTAATAGGGTCATAAGTGAGGCATCTTGGAATGGAAATGGCGAGATATTGAGTGGTCGGTGTGAAGATAACGGCGGAACGTGGTTTGGTATTTCTAGAGGAGGCCGAGTCGCTTTTCTCATGAGTGCAGAGATACTGTTTGACCGCGTTGATCAAAACACAGGCTCTGAGTTGTACCCAATTGAATTCTTGGAGGTTTGTTTGATTTTATTTTTTTGCTTTTCATTATTGTTCAAACATCTTTGAATATCTTTATTTGATCAAGGGATTGCTTTGTTTGATTGCAGAGCAATAGGAGTCCACAGGATTTTGCTCTCCACCACGTGGCACAGCGTGAAGAGGAAAGACATTATAATGGAGAACTGGATGATCCGGCCGATGGGTGGTCCTATAGCCTTATAGTCGCAGACATGACTTTGAATTCAATGGTTCATATCAGGAAACCCTCGCAAAAAGTGCCAATTGTCATAATACAACCCGTTCCGTTTGGTGTTCATACACTTTCTCCTTTGGAAGGTCTCGATTCCACAGAATCTCCCAGGGTAATTAAGTACAAATGTCTTGTAATAGAGTAGAATTGTCACGGTAGTCCATTTTTGCAAATCTTTTCGTATAGTTTCTTTATTTATGTCTAAAATCAAAACACTCTGTTTTTTTTGGTATTATGCAGGATTTATGCCTGAAAAGCTTGTTTAGCCAGATAATTCCTGACTTGGGAAACAATGAACAAGCACATATGGACGATAGTGCTGGGAGGTTTATGTATGATGCTAACGGAGGAGCATACGGGGTGTTTCGCCAAACTAGACTTAACCATCCTTCTGGAGAAGTAAGAAACTTATCAACTGTTTTTATGATTCCTCACCATCCCTTAATTAATCTCTATTTTCCCCATTTCAATTCAGCTTGGAATGCAACGCTTTGGAACAACAAGCACGATAGCTTTGGTGGTGAAACGCACTAGAGAAGTGATGCTCTTTGAGAGGTACATGGATGAGAATGGTGCATGGAAGACACACGACTTCGCTTTCAACATCCAGTAGAGTTACAAAGAAACACTGGGAAGCATCCGAATATTAGTATCTATAATAAATAATCTCGTTGATGCTGTAAATAGATCTCTCTAATTTAGTTACCTTGTTAAGATTCAGGGAAACCTATTTCCTTGGTCACACTACATATATCTCGAGTCGTCTATGAACATTATGCTTGATATACATAAATAAATAGTTGATTTTCTAAGACTCCTATGACAACTTAAAGTTCACTTTTATTTTGGTTCCATCTATACAATCCTTAAGCTATTTATCTATAGTTTCTCTTTCACTTTACTTTCAACTTAATTTATATCTCTCAATTCGGCTGATGACACCGAGCCATGATTTGCAGAATGAATGCAGACAATAAGGGTAGGTTATAGTATTTTTGGGAACCCTGATCCAGCAATTTCAAGCAATTGGTCAAGAACCGTTAAAGTTCTTTGTCAGAAGCTTTGACACCACATCGTATTTTACACCAGCCTTGGTCTTTGTCGAGGGAGATGAGCAGGAGAAGGTGATTATAGCTTCTAGTGAAGATTGTGTATAATATATATCATAAAGATTTAAATTAAGAAAAAAAAAGTTATTGTTGTGTGAAAAAAGCAAGAGATTCCTACAATACCAATAGGTAATAATGACTATGTTTTCGCAGAATGAAATTGATCCCAGATTGTACTATGCCACAACATATAAGATGCTAGATTTGTCAAGAGTTGTCCTGAAAGAAATAAAATAACTTCAGTTCTATTTCAAAATCTTTTCATTTCCATTTATTCCAAACTGAAACCTCAGAATTGCTTCTAAAGACTTAATGGTATGCAAGAATAGAATACCTTGTGCGTTAACGTTGTTTCCTTGCTTGCAGCATCATTCGTGACTTGTAGATGATCAGCAAAGAATAAAATCTGCAAAAAAAGTAAAAAGAGATCTTAATATAAAAACAATGCACTCTGATGAATCACTAAGTTAAGCTTACTTTGCTCATAAACTGGACGTTTGATGAATCAGTAGCCATGACTTGCACTCCAAGGCAGGTGTTTGGGACACTACAGAAAGGGCAAAAGATAGTTTTGAAAACACATCCATCTTGTTCGGACCAAATACCCTGACCTTTTGAGATTTCAGAACTTCTGCAAAGTCTCTGATTAACCAATGAGCAATCTGTTATGATAACTGAAACACTTGTTGGCATTTCTGCAGAACCAGTTCCTGATGTTTCTTTCAGAAGAGACAGCAAATACGTTTTGGACGACGAAGTCAACAAGCATTTGGGATATGAGTGGTTCTCAGGGTGACCTAATGAACTTCTGCAGAGTGAACAAGATATCCTCATCACTCTCTGATCCACTTCCGGAAACCCAAATTCAATTCTTCTTGTGAAACTCGTGTGATCCTCGGGTCTAGTATCAGGAGCGCTACTGTTCTCTTCTTCAAGGTCAATGATGATTGGAGAGGTAGTAAACTTTCTTCTCTTCAAAGCATGGGAATTAACACTCATGTTCAAAGGTGACTCTGCTTCTAGAATCGAACTACTGGTATCACCAATGGAATATCTCTCCGGAGTTACTATTATAGACGACTCAGCACCAAGAGGAGGTCTTCCGAAATTTGAAGTAGATACATGCCGTTTTAAGAATTGATCAGGAGACCTCACAGATCTCAGACCTGTTTCTAGGCTAGAGCTTTCATTCTTTGAGCTACAACATGGACTGGCTGCTGAAATACCATTGGTCATACCAGAGGTTTCCTTTTCTGGATCTTCATTGCTTTGGTTTTTAAGGGACAAGTTCTGCTCATGGGACTCTAATATCTTACTGTCAACTCTCTCCTGCATGCAATTCTCAAAGAATTTTAATGATTATGTATGTAATAAAGTTTGAAGGAAAGGAATGAGATTGTTTAAAACCTTGACACTGTTGAAAAAATATCTTAATCCTTCCATAGAAGCTTCAAAATTATCATACACTTTGATAGACTGCCTTAGCCACTTTGAAATAGACGCTCTGTTCCTTGGTTGTCGGTATCGCTCATCTAAACATCAAAACAACAAGGTAACCTCAGAGCTATCATAACTGAATTGAAAACAAAACGTTTCATTAGATATTGAAGTCTTATAAATTACCTAAGAATATGATGGCACCATAATCAAACCTATGCCGGATACATCGCCCTGCTGCTTGATTTAAAGCACGGTACGCCTGTTGGCAATACCACTCACTCCCTCCAAGAAGGTTTTTAGATGATTTGTTGGTATCATTATATTTCCTCTTTAGTTCGACTAGAATATCGCCCCTGGCAAGAAAGTGGTTCGTAAGCAAAACTGTCCGAAGATTTCGAACGAAGCTAAAAGATTTTAAATGAAATAGAATTCTTACAAGTTTGGAAATGGAATGCCAACAATTATCTGTACGTAATAATCAAGGTTTAACAGTCCTATTCATAAGCCAATTTGACTAGTATAAATCAAAAATATATACTAAAGATTCTATTGCAGCAGAAGACTCCAATTCAAAAAAGGATACCACTGCTCTGGCGTTGTCATCAGAAAAATCAAGCCCTTCTGAAACCTGAGAGAAACATGTAGAATTTAAACTCAAATCATGTTATGCTCATAGGGTCCCTTTAAATAAACATCATTAACAGAAACTAAGACAAAAAACAATAACAAACCTTTCCTCTACATACTGCAAGAAATGCAGATCCTCTCTTAGAATCCTCTTGAGCCTCAGTTATAACAGACCCTGCTTTCTTAGCTCTGATATTTCTTCCATTCGATCTGTTCTTTCCGCTTATCGAATCATAATATTCTTTCAGAACAGTTTCGAAATCGTCCTTGGCTCCTCCTCTTGGTTCTGCAACCAAGGAAAGTTATTTTAAGGTTTTTGACAAGAAAAAGAATGCATCAGTATAGGATGTGTTGCAACAGTTTTTACATGATCACAGAAGATAGATGTTACTTACCGATAAAAAGGTCCCTTTTCAAGCAGAGCCGAGACCATTGTCCAGTTTCATGCCAACGCGTGCAGAGTTTTTCCATCAACTTATAGCTTGGAAAGAATACCAGAGAGCCTCCTGGTACAATACTGCAAATTTCTTCCAACGATTTCCCTAGAGCATCCTTCAATGCAAAGCAGAGCATTCGTTTTACAACACAAAAAAAATTATTGAATCACATTACGAAAAGAACAAATTTACAGGCAAAAAGAGCTTGAAGCAGTACCTGGAATGCATATGCATCAGCTGTTTTATAACTTGCATTTAGAGGAAAATTACCAGGACCACTGGAGATTGCACCAGCCCACACCTGGAACAAATATACTGTTAAATCATAATTTCAGTTCTTGAATGTGTTGCTAAGTGGAGAGCTTTAGTCAGAACCTGCATATTAGGATCAATCACATGTGGAGCCTCTAAACAAGTGCCAAATTGCATCCCAAGTTCAGATGAGAAAGAATTCATCGGTGACAAAGTCCTATATATATTTCATAACCAAGAAGGAGATGGCTCAAGAAACATAACTCTTTGCAGAAGCAATAGTAAGCAACAGGATACTACTGCTTACCCAGATGTTAAAATGATGGACAAAGAAAGATCAGCTAAGTCTTTGAAAACAACAGACGGATTCATACACCACAAACTGAAAGTATGCGTCCACCCATTATCTCCTGCATCCCATTAAAGCAACAATGAACACCTTTTGTTTTTCAAAAAATGGGTGAAGTTTTCACACATGTGGCTAATATCTATAAAGAATTCACTTGTACCTCTCTTCGCAGACCGTTGTAAACCCATTTCATAATCTAGGACATGACTTCCATTTCTTGAAAAAAAGTATGTTAGTGTAGCAAACAACTCTGCATGAAAATTGTTCAATAAGCTCTCATTCTCAAAAATTACATTACAAAAGATCAATGCTTAACAAAGTTAGTGAGACGCAAAAAAAAAACACCTTCTAGTGTAGAGACAGATATCCCACTCAAATAAGGCTTATCTGGGTCCATTTCTGCTGCCTCTGATTTAGTAATCGCCTTGACCAGTAAGCACAACGTCACATTCAAGCATAGTAAAAAAAGGCATGCAGGCCTAGCTAGATAACACAGAAGAAATGACTTACTTGGTTAAAACATGCCTTTAAGTTTGGGAAGTTTTCTCGAGTGATATTGAATTCCTTTAGCTCTTTTAAAGCTCTGTCTCCAGTCCAACTGTCACATTGATAAACAGAGTTGGAACCATTTTTCAATTCTAAAGTAAAGTAGAAGATTGGAAGACGTACTTAGAGAAATAGTGCTCAGAATCACGTTTTACTAGTGAATCTTTTTTTCTCCCAATCCAGCTTATCAATCCCTAAATACATAGAACATTACTCAATATTAAAAAGTAGACAGCAAAGCTACCACTTAATATTATCTTCCAGATAGATGACTTACCTCTACTACTATATACAAGGATTCATATATCTCTGGCTCATTCTCACTCATCTGTTCTAGTTCATTCTTCAATTCTGCATAACACATAAGCCACATTAGTAAAGTATATTTCAGTAAACAAAACTTGTGTTTTGAGTAGTACTTACTGAAAAGAATATCTTCTTCCAAGTTAATGCTTCCTGCTTCACGAGCAATGTCTTCCATATTACTGTGGACAGTGAAAGATTTTAGTAGACGGACTTAACCATCAACATCATGAAGCATGCTAAGAAAGTTCTGGAGCTTACTGTGCTTCGTCAAAGATTATAATCGCTCCTTGTAGATTTACTCCGCCTCGAATGACAGGATCAATTATATAGGAATAAGGGCAAAAAACCAATTGTGCGACCTCCAACATTTTCCAGGAAGCAAAATATGGACAGCCTAAAAAGAAAATTATCTGAGATTAAGAAATTAGAAAAATACAATCAATTAAAAGTGCAATAAACCAGATACTAACCTGTGACAGTTTTTCCAATTTTTACAAGATCTTCAATATCATGAACCCCATTGTGACCGTTTTGCTGAAGTGATGGGTAAGCTAAGATCTGACCGACGCCTCTGGAAGTTTAAAGAAATCAATTACATGGTTTCCACGAGGTAACACAAAGAACTTAGATTATTAGGGAAAACTCACTTGAACTCAGCACATTTTATGTTTTTCTTATCTTTTAGGAGCAACCGACTAGAATAAAAGAATAGATGTTAGTATAGAGGTGTTATGCTATAGTTGAAAATGATTAATGAGATGGTATGAATGTGGATACAAATTTACCATTTTTCGTCTACATTATCTTTCCCCTGTACATGACTATTGGTGCAGTAACGTTTCCTTGAACCCTAACACAATGAAGAAACAATGATAATGAGTATCTGCAAGTTAAACATAAATAAAACAAGATCCTGGAAAGAGAGCAAGATCAAGTTTTGACATACCAATACAGTCATGGGAACTCTGTAACCGGTTTTCCGATACTCACGAATGACTTGAGTGATCTGAGCATGAGTTCGTCTGAGAAACAAAAACAAACAATCAATCAATAACAATAAGAAAAACATAAACATTATTTGCAACATTTTCAAATTTATAATGATGTAATTCTTACGAAGCATAGTATATGGTAGGAATTTCAGGTTCAGGTGGCTCCACATTACTAGATGCAGCAGTATCTGTTGAGAGATATAACCTCTAATTAACAACTAATAAAAAATAATCTTCCTAATCATAGATGCAGTTTTATTAGGGTCATGACGAACCTGAGGGCTGCCTTTTCGAATGAGACAAATTTCCATTCGGAAACCGCGATTTATAGCTCTTTTGCCAAGCGAGAACGGAGCAGAGCAAAGACAGAGATTTGCCTGTACCAGTGGGAGACTCGAGCAAAGCGTGGGAGTGACCGTCTCTCTGGGCACGATCAAGCGTAGATATGACCCGGCTCATGAACGCAAGCTGGGTTCCGTACGGTTGATAAGGGAATTCAACTTGAAGGCCTCCGATTTGGTAGACATTTTTAGGGTTTTTGGAGTTTAGGGTTTGTTTCACTTCTTCCTTCGAATCCATCTTCCGTTAATCTAGATCGTTGGATTCGGTGAAGAAAAACAATAAGTAGGAGAGTATTGAGTTTCGACTTTCGAGTATTTTGCGTTGTTAAAATTAAGTGGGCGGGAATTTTTTACCCTTTTTCGCCATTGTTACAGCTTGTCTGACAAGCTAGATCTCAAAAACGACGTACAGTTCTGATCAGGTAAGAGAGAACGGCACTACTTTCGCTTCATTGACGAGGGAAAGAATTGGGCTTATAAAAGCCCATTTAGTAATTTTTTGTCGTTAGGCCTATAAAAGCCCATTTACCAGCAAAGCGAAAGAGAGAAAAAAAACTCAAAAAAAAAAAAAAAACAATCGTTAAGACGATTCGATCTTTTGCTGTGTCAGTCTATACGGTTTTTTTTTTTTAATTTTAATTTTAATTTTATTTTATGCGTTTTGTTCATTATTCATCATTTCATCTGTTGGAATCGGGCAATTTTCTTCTGGACAAGGAGAAGAAATCTAGAGATAGGATTTTGATTGATTTCTAAGCTCTGATCTAAGTTTTTGGGTAGCTCCGGTGATCCTTGAGATGGCGGGTCAGAATCCTAACATGGATCAATTCGAGGCCTACTTCAAAAGAGCAGATTTGGACGGAGATGGTCGGATCAGTGGAGCCGAAGCTGTTGGATTTTTTCAAGGATCTGGTTTGTCTAAGCAGGTTCTCGCCCAGGTAATCATTTCTTCTTGGATCTCTCTGCTTTCTCGCGAGATTTTTTTAGTTATCTGGAGAAAGATCTGATTTCGTTTTCTACGCAGCTGATTTGAATATCCAAAATGCCGTAATTTTGATTGTTCCATTTGAACTGCGTTTTATTTCCGAGATTTTGAATTGCCTATGAACTGAATAAGAAGTTAAGAGGCAGATTTGAGACGTTTGGATTTTCATTTCCTCCCTTAGAATCTTTCTAGGATTTCTTTTGAAGAAGTTATAAGTGTATGATAGTAAGATTCTATGGTTGTTGTCAATTCACATTATGGTACATTTGTGTGGATATAAGCTTTAAATCTTTGGTGTTCCAGTAATTATGCATTTGAATCTGGAAAATTTTCTGGCATACAGTTTTCTTGGAGCGGTTCTATTTAGCGGCGTTTGCTATATTAAATTGTCTACTGATGAGTTGTGTTTTGCATTTGTAGATATGGTCGCTTTCTGATCGGACGCATAGCGGTTTCCTTGATCGGCAAAACTTTTATAATTCTCTGAGACTTGTAACAGTTGCACAGAGCAAGAGAGATCTGACACCTGAGATTGTTAATGCAGCACTAAATACTCCTGCAGCAGCCAAAATACCACCTCCCAAAATTAATCTTTCAGCTATTCCCGCACCCCGACCTAATCCTGCTGTTACTGCGGTCGGTCCGGTTTCCGGGTTTGGAGGACCAGGGGCTCCAAATGCGAATGTCAATCAGAATTATTTTCCACCTCAGCAAAACCAGCAAATAAGACCAAATCAAGGAATATCTGGGCTGACTTCACTTAGACCAGCGGCTGGTCCAGAATATAGACCAAGTTCCTTACCAGGTCAATTCCAACCAGTTCCTGTTGGTAGTAGTGTTACGCGTCCTCCTCAGCCTGTTCCCACTAGTGTATCTGGTCCTGGTAGTTCAACGCTCAATCTTAATAATTTGTATGCTGTAGCGGGAAACACCAGCGGATACTCGTCAGGCTTTGGAGGGGGCAGCTTAGCAGCACCTTCTCCTGGCTTAAAACCAGATTCACAAATTGATCCAAAGGCGCTTGTTGTATCTGGAAATGGAGGTGACATGTTTTCCTCGTTCCAGCAAAAACATGAACCCACTCTAAGTAATTCTTCAATCAGTTCAGCCATTGTTCCCACTTCTGCTGGAATCCAACCTCCAACAAAGCCAAACGCTCTCGATTCCCTACAAAATACTTTCTCAATTTTACCTCCAGGAAATCAGCTTCAGCAGCCAAGGCCAGCAGCAAGCTCACAGCGTGCAGTGTCCTCACAAGGTCCATCCTCCGGTTTGCCACCTGGAAGTGCAGTTGGATCTGGCCATTCAACTCCTGCTGGAAATAATCAGCCTCCGTGGCCAAAAATGAAACCATCCGATGTCCAGAAATACGCAAAGGTATTTATGGAAGTTGATAGTGACAAGGATGGGAAAATCACTGGTGAGCAGGCAAGGAATCTATTTTTAAGCTGGAGGTTACCCAGGGGTAAGGATTTTCAATCTCGCAGTCCACTTCACATGAAGAATATAATTTTCCTGTTACTATGTGAAATGAAGTTGCCTCTGTTGTAATTAGATGCAATTCTGGATTGAAGAATCCTCTTAGAACTTATTTTCTTCATGGGATAGACCATGTACTGTTATGTTAAATTTATTTGCTACCCTCCTGAGGCTTATGTTCCTTTAATAACATATGCAAGTGATTATGCTATGAAGTGCTTATGCTAACATATTCCTTTTGCTTATTTCCAGAGGTATTGAAGCATGTGTGGGAATTATCTGATCAGGATAATGATACTATGCTTTCTCTGAGGGAGTTCTGCATTTCATTGTATTTGATGGAGCGGTATAGAGAAGGCCGTCCTCTCCCGACCGCACTTCCTAGCAGCATCATGTTTGATGAAACACTGTTATCTATCTCAGGCGCACCCACTCATGGCTATGCAAATGCTGGATGGGGATCTGGTCAAGGTATTGCTCAGATTTCATGCATTTTAGTGATGATCTTTTCCCTTTCCCTGGTTATTTACTTTAAGTCAAATTTCCCTATTGGAAGGTTTCGTACAGCAACCAGGGATGGGTGCGCGGCCAATTACTCCAACGACTGGTATGAGACCACCAGTTCCTGCACCAGGCCCTCACCCTGGCAGTGGTATACCACCTAATCAGCTAAGGAGTCAAGCGCCAGTTTTGGATGCTCCTTTTGCTAATCACCTAGGTAATGGATATTCTGCAAGCTCAAATCTTCCAGAAGCAGCAGCTGATGAGGAAAAGGTGATCAGGATATTTAAGCTTAGATGAGTTGCATTTCCATATGCATTTCCTTGGAGGCTTGTGAAACATAATTTTCTAATCTATGTAGGTTGATGAAAAGCAGAATGCCTATATGGACTCCAGGGAGAAACTTGAATACTACCGGACGAAAATGCAGGATATTGTGAGTACTCCATTATAAATTACTCTTGTTATTTAAGAAGTGAGAAATTACTTTGATCTGTCTCAGTTTTCTATATTTGGAAATAGTTAACTATTGTTATTGTTGATGTAAACTTTGATATATTTGTATTCATTAAATCCTTGAAGAAATTGTTAGCTCTTTTGAAAGAGGGAATCTTGATATCTAGTTGATTTTTCTCTGAAAAAGTGTGAAAGATTGTGTGTAAGATTAAGACCAATCTACTGGAATCTGACCATCTAGGCTAAGCTGCAGAACTTGAATGTTATCTAGGTAATGGTCTTATAAGTTTAAGATTGTTGTTCTCCCTGAAGTTCTGACCTTTTCCTATAGAAACATATTTCCTGTTTAAGGCTTTGCTAGAGCTACTTCTTCAGCCTGATCTATTATCTTATGTAGATTATATTTACATCCTGTGTGTCAGAGAATAAGGTTTTAGTGCTGATATCCAATTCTTATTATCCCACTTTTTCGTTCCTCTTTCTGTCAGGTCTTGTACAAAAGCAGGTGTGACAATAGATTAAATGAGATCTCCGAAAGGGCTTCTGCTGACAAGCGTGAGGTGCTTTTCACATAGAGAATCACTTTTCTCATTTGTTTAGAAGCAATTCTGTCTTATCCAGAACAATTTCTGCTGCAGGCTGAAACATTGGCAAAGAAGTATGAGGAGAAGTATAAGCAAGTTGCAGAAATAGGGTCAAAATTAACTATTGAAGAGGCCAGGTTCCGCGAGATTGAGGTATGACTAATTTGAAGTGGCAACACCTATGTACACTCAAGCCGTATATTTTTTCTCCAATTCTTCTATGTGCCTTTTCCCTTACTAGGCTTATTATTCTTCAAACTTCATCACTATTCTTTCTTTTTTCTTTCTCTGGCTCATGTTGTGCGTCTTGTCCTGTCCCCTTAGTCTATGGCCGAATGCTCCCTTCTTTCTCCTTTACTGGTGAAGGGGCTTTGAATAATTTTGTTACACATCTCTTACGGAAATCTGTTACTTATTGAACTTTTGCTAACACATCCAGGGGCGGAAGATGGAGTTGAGTCAAGCAATTGTGAACATGGAGCAAGGTGGTAGTGCTGATGGTCTCCTTCAGGTACATGTTATTCTCTATGCTTCTGGGATGCCGTAATTGTCGGGTATCTGCCGTACACGCCTGATCTGATGCTTTACTGGGCACATTTAGGTCCGGGCTGACAGAATACAATCAGATCTAGAGGAACTGATGAAGGCTTTAACTGAACGTTGCAAGAAACATGGGTTGGAGGTTAACTCGAAGGCCCTTGTAGACCTTCCAGCTGGTATATGATTCTGTCGCCTTTTGACTTCTTGCTTTCATTGTAGATGATTGCAAATAACATGTTTTGTAAACAAACAACTCATGTGGAATTTGTTATGTTGTGACTTACAGGCTGGCAACCTGGAATTCAAGAAGGGGCAGCTCTTTGGGATGAAGAATGGGATAAGTTTGAAGATGAAGGTACAATGGTTTTTCCTATTTTTGTATTACACTTAGATATCTATAGTTAAGCACATAACAAGGACATTGACTGATAATGCTCCCACTGTTAGGTTTTGGCAATGAGATCACTTTTGACAAATCAAAAGAGCAAAACTCGTCTGGTGAGAAGGAAAACGGTACGGTGGATGATGGTAGTGGGCTACCTGATTCGCCGACCCATATAGATGAAAACTATGGACCTTTTTCAGAAACCTCAGACCGCCACAGTGAAGATGAATCAGGCAGAAGTCCTAGAGACAGTCCTGTCTCTAGGACTGCTACCGAGATCCCATCTCCAGATTATTCTCAGGGGAAGAATTCTGAATTCTTTGATGACTCGAATTGGGCAAGTGCATTTGACACTAACGATGATGTGGATTCAGTCTGGGGATTTGATGCATCAAAAAGCCAGGTTAGTGCATAAACATAGTGTCTCTCGCTTTAACACATCACTCCATCCATCAAAATACTGAATCAAATCTTTCAGTTGTGATTATGGAATAGACATTGAAATAATCTTTTAATTTATACACGATCTTGAAAATCCGTATCTTGGTTCAGTTCATGCTTTCAGATCTGGGATGGTACATTTGCCTTCTGTATGCTGAATCATTTAGTTACCTATTCAGAGTCTTATCCAAGCTTAGCATTTTCAATGTCAACATTGCAGGATGGAGATTACTATGGATCGGGTGGCGATTTTGGTGGAAACACAGGAAGAGCAGATTCTCCAAGTTCAAGAAGCTTCGGCGCCCAGAGAAAGAGCCCATTTGCATTTGATGATTCAGTCCCCAGCACTCCACTCTCAAGATTCGGGAACTCTCCACCTCGGTTCAGCGATGCATCAGCAAGAGATAATAACTTTGATAGCTTCTCAAGGTTCGACTCCTTCAACACCAGTGAAGCAGGCGCCGGGTTTTCTTCCCAGCCCGAGAGACTGTCTCGGTTTGATTCCATCAACAGCTCCAAAGACTTTGGTGGAGCTGCCTTCTCCAGGTTCGACTCAATTAACAGTTCGAGAGACGTCACTGGAGCTGAGAAACTTTCGAGGTTCGATTCCATCAACAGTAGCAAAGACTTTGGTGGTCCCTCCCTTTCAAGATTCGACTCCATTAATAGTACAAAGGATTTCAGTGGCAGTCATGTATACTCGTTTGATGATGCAGACCCGTTTGGTTCCACAGGTCCCTTCAAAGTCTCTTCGGATGAAAGCCCTAAGAAAAGGTCAGATAATTGGAACTCCTTCTAGCCTCAGTTTATTATCATCCCTTTTTTTTTCCTCGCTTGATGAACTTATGGTTTGTTTTATAAAAATCTTATAATTTTTTCACCAAATTCTGGTTTTGGATGAGACGATAGCGTTAGACTATTTGTAATTTGTAAAGTTTGTTATTGTATGAGTTTCCTACTGTATCTCTGTTCTGTTCTTATGAATTCATTTTCTTTATATGAAAGAAATATTTGAGGATTTCGTCGTGGATACCAGCTTAAAGGACAATGAAATGATTTTATTTTTCTCCATTTTACTGATTCTCTTCTCCAAAATGTTTTATTATTTTGATCTATCCTTAGCTCAAGGTCCGTAAGAAATTCTGGTGACATTTAACCAGACCGAAACAGATACTGTGTTTTACACTGAAAGTGGTAGCTACAAAATTGAAAATCGAGCTAATGCATTGGTACATCCCTCTGACTCGAAGAAGATATGATTTTCGCATCATCAAATTGCCATTATCAACGTAACCTCAGTGTTTGAGGTTGGCTCCATTCTGCTTCCACTGAATCCATTGAGCACATTTCAGGGTCAGTCGTAACTTAGGAACTTCACTTCTCTGTGATTCGCTCAAAGGCAGATAGCATCGATGCACGCATGTTGGCTATTTCCACAAGAGTTTCAAGAGCTGTCCAAAGACGAGAAAAAAAATATGTAAGCTGTAACCTATCTGTGAGTATACTTGTGGTGATGATGATGTTACCTGTCTCAAATGAAAGTTGAGCGCCGCGTAGCTTAGGCGAGACTAAGCCTCCAAATACTGACAGAGATTTCGCTCTTTCTTTCTTAATCTGGAGATTAACACATTCAAATTAGTAAAACCCTCATTCTACATTTTGAAAACAAGTAGAGTTTGTGCAGAAGGTTAAATGATTGCTCTGGCTCACCTCTTCAGCAGCTACTAAAATGGTTTCATCCTTGGCTGATGGTTTCTCTTCTATCAAATTACATAAAGCAAGAGATGATGAGACACGGACAAACAAAGAGCACATAATAACCAACAGATAAGTCTGTTTTTACCAGAAACTCCTCGATGCCGTAGCTGTGGGCTGAGAGGTGAGCCTATCTCCGAATCTGTATCAGTAGACAAGTCTTTGCCTTTTCCGCTACCGCCCTTGGAAGCCCACTTGGACAAAGAAAAATGAGGTACTGATCCCAAAGATTCAACTACAACAGTCCATAAACATATACTGTATAAGCTGCTTCCCCGCAAAAGACATAAATTCATTGCATATAAATGTAAACCATTAAACAATCAAACGCTCAGAGCATAAGCCAAACTTACCATCTTGGTCTGAAACTTGCAATGTTGAAACAGCGGGATGATACTTAAGGTCTAAGAGAGTACTGTTGATACGTAAAGTTCCCATAGAATGTCGAGCACTAGCTAGATCAAACCATCCCTGCAAAACAACACATTTCAGAAAATTTCTATACCCAATAAGTTAATCAAAGCAGAAAATCATTATAAAGTTTCTTCCATTGGCTTCCACAGCTATCTAAATCAACGAAAACGTTCTCTACGTGATCCTTTTCAATCCCAGATTTCTAAATGTTAAACGAGAAAGCACGAAAATCTTACAACAGAAACTGTAGCCAAACTCATACAAAATCTAAAATTAGAGACCAAAATTAAAAGGAAGAGATCATTCCCATTACCTCTCGAAGCTTAGAATTCAGAGAATCCATAAGAGTTAAATAGCCATCCAACGAATCTAGAAACTGCAAAACATTCTCATCTCCTCCCTCTTTTCCCACCTCAGATTTCACTTCTGCTTCATTATTCACATCCATTGATTCATCTCCTTCCTCGTAAATCTCCGCCATCTGAATTTAGCTCCAACACACGAGAATCAACAAATCAAAGCTCACACGAGAAAAAGAACGTAGCACACAACAAAGTGATCGAGAGATCGAGCGAGATGAGATAGATCAATTCTCGAGTAAACGAGGCTATTTTCGTAGTATTTAAATTAATAAAGGCCCATTAAGCCCAATAGCCCAAGTCGAAATATTTTCATTTCCGGGTCAAACCCGGTTATGTTTGTGGGTGAGTAGAACAAGTCGAGTGTGTACAGCCAGGCTGTTTGTCTCTGTTTGTCAAGTTGGCGTTTGGTGGCTCCACGTCTCTCTCTCTTTCTCTCATGACTTTTCGATTTTAGTCAACCTTTCGTGCTTTTCTCTTAAAAACAAATTCGATTTTTTTTTTGTTTTGATTTTTTTCTTCGACACATCTTCTCTGTTATTTCCTCTCGCTTTTTAACCTGTCTCTCTCGTTCTCGCACGGAGATAAAAACAACTCTGTTGAATTTAAGCTCGAGATTTTAGTAGGAGTAAGCTCGATTGCTTCCAATTAGATCCATGGATGAAGAAGAACTCACACTTTGTCGCGCGTTTTTAGCTCAAGGAGATTATTAAAAGAAGTGGTCTTTTTTCGAATTGTCAACTTAGAAGAAGAATCAACTTTGGTTTTTTTTTTTTTTGAAGTACTGTTCCTTCTCTGTATAGCTTTGAGGAAACGCTTCTTCGATTGGAACTGGTTGGTGTGCTCTCTTTTGGTATTTTTGAAATGCTTTAATGAGATGTTTCTCTTCTTCTTTTTGCCGGTTTTGACGAATATTGCTAAATTTGGTAATCTTGCTATATTAGGGTTCATGTGAATGGTGATTTTGGGAGACTGTTACTTTTCGTATTTTAGGTTATAGTTTTGATTGAAAGTTTGAATTTTGGTTTCCTTTGGCTGTGAAAGAACCGCACTGTGAAGTAAATTAGCTAAATCTGGTACTATCCCCTTTTGTGTTTCCATAACTTTCTCATTCATTTACTATCAAATTTGGACACTTTCTTACCAGAGGCTTGCATTGATGTATCCAAGTGGGGATCTGTTTCATAATAATGAGGTATTTGCTTGTTATTTGCAGTGAGTTTGAAGGATTAAGATGGTTGGAAGCTCGGATGGTAATCAGTCAGATGATAGCTCTCATTTTGAGCGAGGAGTAGATCATATCTATGAAGCATTCATCTGCCCATTGACAAAGGAGGTTATGCATGATCCTGTCACTTTAGAGAACGGCCGAACATTCGAGCGTGAAGCCATTGAAAAATGGTTCAAGGAGTGTCGGGACAGTGGGAGACCTCCATCTTGCCCTTTGACTTCTCGTGAGCTGAGCAGCACTGATGTAAGCCCTAGCATAGCTCTGCGTAACACTATCGAAGAGTGGAGATCCAGGAATGATGCTGCCAAGCTTGACATTGCTCGTCAGTCACTGTTTTTAGGAAATGCTGAGACCGATATTTTGCAAGCTTTGATGCATGTGCGACAGATTTGCAGGACCATCCGATCAAATAGGCATGGTGTACGCAACTCTCAGCTTATCCATATGATCATCGACATGTTAAAAAGTACTAGCCATAGAGTGCGGTATAAAGCTCTACAAACTCTTCAAGTCGTCGTTGAGGGAGATGACGAGAGCAAGGTTGAATCTGATTTCTTTTCATCTCTGCTGAGAACTTAATATAGCATTGTAATGGAAAATTGAGCGGGTGCTAATTAATTTTTCAGCATCTTGCAGGCGATAGTAGCTGAAGGGGACACTGTGCGTACACTAGTTAAGTTCTTATCACACGAGCCATCAAAGGGGAGGGAGGCAGCTGTTTCCTTGCTGTTTGAGCTCTCTAAATCGGAAGCTTTGTGCGAGAAGATTGGTTCCATTCATGGAGCACTTATATTATTGATTGGTCTGACAAGCAGCAACTCAGAAAATGTTTCAATTGTTGAGAAAGCTGATAGAACCTTGGAAAACATGGAGAGGTCAGAGGAAATTGTTAGGCAGATGGCTTCATATGGTAGACTCCAGCCTCTTCTAGGAAAACTCCTTGAAGGTGATTAATCTCTAGTTTCGTAACGATCAGCTGAAAGAATTGCTTGTCTTAGCTTGGTTTTAATTTAGCGATTATTCTCTCTGCTTCATTTGCATAAAATATGTTATTATCTTCCTTCAGTCGCTTGGATGCATAACTGTGTTATGGTATTCTTATTTTTTTGTTTGCTCTAGGAATTTACATGTTCGTTTATAAGAAGCGTCATTTTTCTTCTACCCAGATTGTCAAATCTTTAATTATTTTCCTCTGTTATATGGCAAGTTTCATGCATGAATAATGACACCACATGTGAAACATGATCTGCAGGTTCACCTGAAACAAAACTCTCTATGGCTTCCTTTCTCGGGGAGCTTCCCTTAAATAACGATGTGAAGGTTCTTGTGGCTCAGACTGTGGGTTCTTCTCTTGTCGATCTTATGAGAAGTGGTGACATGCCCCAACGGGAAGCTGCCTTGAGAGCTCTTGACAAAATCTCATCGTTCGAAGGGAGTGCTAAGGTCTTGATCAGCATAGGAATTCTCCCCCCGCTTATCAAAGATCTGTTTTATGTGGGGCCAAACAACCTTCCAATTCGGTTGAAAGAAGTCTCTGCCACTATTCTTGCTAACATAGTGAACATTGGGTATGACTTTGACAAAGTCACTCTTGTTTCAGAGAACAGAGTGGAGAATCTGCTCCATCTAATTAGTAACACGGGTCCAGCGATCCAGTGCAAGCTGTTGGAGGTTCTTGTTGGACTCACCAGTTGCCCAAAAACAGTTCCAAAAGTTGTTTATGCAATTAAAACCTCCGGTGCAATCATCAGTTTGGTTCAGTTTATAGAGGTCCGAGAGAATGATGATTTGCGTTTGGCTTCCATAAAGCTTCTTCATAACCTTTCCCCATTCATGAGTGAAGAACTAGCTAAGGCCTTATGTGGTACTGCTGGACAACTCGGAAGCCTTGTTACAATCATTTCAGAAAAGACACCAATCACTGAAGAACAGGCTGCAGCTGCTGGGCTCTTAGCTGAATTGCCAGATAGGGATTTGGGTCTTACTCAGGAAATGTTAGAAGTTGGTGCTTTTGAAAAAATCATCGCCAAAGTGAATGGAATCCGCCAAGGGGATATCAAGGGAATGAGGTTTGTGAGTCCTTTTCTGGAAGGACTTGTGCGTATACTTGCTAGGATTACTTTTGTTGTCAACAAAGAGGCTCGGGCCATTACCTTTTGCCGTGAGTACAATGTTGCTTCGCTCTTCCTTCATCTACTTCAATCCAACGGTCAAGATAACATCCAGATGGTTTCCGCCATGGCTTTAGAGAATCTTTCACTAGAGTCTATAAAGCTGACACGGGTTCCTGATCCGCCTCCTCTGAACTACTGTGGCTCAATCTTTTCATGTATGAGAAAACCACACGTTGTAAACGGGCTGTGCAAGATCCACCAGGGAATATGTTCATTAAGAGAAACATTTTGCCTTGTCGAAGGAGGAGCTGTGGAGAAATTAGTGGCTCTATTAGACCATGAAAATGTGAAAGTGGTTGAGGCCGCACTTGCCGCTCTTTCTAGCTTACTAGAAGACGGGTTAGATGTAGAGAAAGGGGTCAAGATACTTGATGAAGCGGATGGGATACCGCATATACTAAACGTTCTGAGGGAGAATCGAACAGAGAGGCTAACGAGAAGAGCGGTTTGGATGGTGGAAAGGATCTTGCGGATTGAAGACATAGCAAGAGAGGTGGCAGAGGAACAGACCCTGAGCGCTGCACTTGTGGACGCTTTCCAAAATGCTGATTTTAGAACGCGACAGATCGCTGAGAACGCGTTGAAACACATTGATAAGATCCCAAACTTCTCAGGTATATTCCCAAACATGGCATAGGGGAAACTCTTTGAATCTGTCCAGGGAGTTTTAGTGATTTAAAACTGTTGGTTTTGTTTTTGCTTTGATGGGATTACTTGTTAATAGGCATCCAGTTTTTTCTGGGTATATATTGTAAATTCCGATTCTTATTTGCGTGTGCTTTAAGCTATTTGATTTGTTTGTTTATATCCTACGTTGGAAATCGTAATCATTTGATTGGCCTCAAGATTAAAAAGGCTTATGTGTTGTGGAGGAAATTGTGCTTATTTTTGCATCAAATGTATATTGAGTTCATTGATTCATTATAATATAAGATTAAACCAATTTGTAAAAAGTTAAAGCTCCACACAAACTTATTTGAGATTAAACTCCATAGGAAGATTTGAGATTTGGGAAGAACAAAAACAACTCTTCTTCCTAATTTAAATAAACTAATTTAGTTAGATAAAAGACAAATTACGATTAATCAGACCCATAATAGCCATTACAGATGATATGCTTTCAGATTCGGTAACTGCCAAGGGATCGGTCTTGGTCTTGGTCTTGGTCTTGATCTCTTCTTGATCCAGTAGTCCAATCACAGAAGACCACGACGGCTTAAACAGAAAAAAGTGTCGATTAGGAATGCACCACCTCGGAAACGAACGAAAGACTCCCCACTTGTTCGCTCTCACGTCGTAGCTATGAATCACTGAGCCATCCCGACGGTTCTTCATCGTCCTCACCTCTAAACACTTGCCGTCGTACGCGTGCACGTTCCAGTACAACAAAGGTATACTTTGGTGCACCACCTTGTTCTTGATCCGCCTCACGAGGATCCATTTACCATCGGTCTCGAGGGCAAAAACGGAAATCACTCTCTTCGTAGCCGATATCAGTGTCAGGCGGTTATCGCCGGCACAGAGCAAGAGCTTCCCGGGTTTCCGGTTAAATTTGCTATGAATCAGTCGTGCTTTCTCTGTTTCCGGATTGAAAGCTACAATGCTTCTGTCTTTTCTCAGCCAGTGAAGATCTCCGTTCAAGTAAACAGGTTTCGAATTCTTACCCTTCTCGAGCTTACTTGAGCGGCAAGTAATAGTGGTTTTCGATAAGCTCCATGATTCTCCGGTGTTGATCTCGAATTGATACGTCGTTTCGTCTGGATTTGAAACCTCTAGCTGCTCGGTTATGCAAACGATTTTGAATCTCTGAGTGGTTCGATCGATCTGATCAACCGCAAACCCAGACCTAGTCCACGTTTCTTTTCCCCATATAGAGTCATCCAGGAACCGGAACTTGTTTGTGAGGGGATTAGCGACGCAGGAGCGACCCTTAATGGAGAGTAGGAGAAGGCCGGAACAAGAGCCGAGAATCTTAAGCCAGTTGTCTAAGTGTTCACTTTCAGACCAAGAATTGCCAAAAGGGTGGAAACAGAGAACGTTGGAATCATATTTGGAGACATGAAGCAAACTGGATCCGATCCGAGAAAAGTATTCGGTTTTAAAATTCGGGTCATCGGATATATGAGAGTTGATAGATTTGTTTGTGCATCGCATCTTCCCCAGAGATTTGGGATCTAAGTTGAAGAGAATCTCGTCGAGGAGATGCAAAGGTAATCTCCTCATGATGATCAGAGAGGACTTAGGGTTTATGTAATTCTTTTTTTCTTACTTCAGCTCTGCGTTAAGCTTATGTTATTATTTAAGGCGACCTATTTGACAAGATTTTCTTTTAACATATCTTTGCATTAATAAGTCCCAAATTAATCCCATTATTACTAGTATTAGAAAAGTTAATTGACTTTATTTACCAAGAAAAAAATGTCAAAAAAAAAAAAAACTTTTGTGACTTTTTTTTTGTTCGCTAAAGAAGATCTTGGAAGGCTCCAATATCATCTTGAACATTAGTTTCGTTGCTTCTTCAACATCAGTCTAGTTTCTTCTTCTTCAATCAATCTTTTTCCAAGTTGCGTTTCCACTTTCTCCGGTGAGATTCCAACAATCAATCCCATAATCGAGCTTAGAGAGGAGATGTGTTTATCATCACAAGGCTTCAGCTTCTCATCCAATCCAATCACAGAGGAATATGCATGACGGTGTAAATAAATAAAAGTCAGTGAGTCCACTGCACCACGTTGGAATCCAATCCATGACTCCCCATTTGTTATCTCTCAAGTCGTACAGATGAACCACTCCCGTCGAAACAGTCCTCATTCTTCTCCCTCAACATTAAAAAAACTTCCGTTGTAAGCCAATACGTCCCAGTAAATGAGTCTCTTTGCGTCCGCCAATATGGAAATCTTTTCAATTAAAGGGATCTAGGAGTCACTAGTCTCTAAACATTCTATTGATTGACTAATGGGATAGGAATTATTTGAGGAATATGTTAACAAAATCTGCAAAAAATGTAAAAACCTACAATGAAGTAAAAAATTACTTATTTGTCTCATGGCTAAAAAGAAGAATAGAAAACATGGAAGAAAAAAACATGAAGTGATAAGCGATTGAGGATGCTCCTAGATGAAACATCAAGGAAGAAGATGCATGTTATCAAAGACAGAGTCATAGAAACCCATAGAGATTGAAAGCCTTTCACCGGTGTTCCGAGAATACTGAGCCGTAACGACGTAGAACACAAAGCCCTCTACTACCACCAACTCTACCCGCAGACCTGACGCTTCTTTTTCTTTTGTTGGTTTTGTACATGCCTAAGAACCTTCTCTTTTTGTTAAAACGCTTCACGTCTAGGAACTTGGAAGAACTAGGCTCATCCACCGTCATCTTCAGTTCCGTTTCTTCTTCAGTCATCAATCTTTTTCCATGTCGCTTTCCCTTTTTCTTGAACAGTCTCTTAGCATAAGGTGAGATTTCATCAATCAGGCTCATAATTTTCCTAAGAGTGGAGATATGTTTACCATCATCACCATGCCCCATATTCATCGTCTCAATGTCGACCTTCTTATTCAGTTCTATCGCAGAGGAGAAAGACGGTTTAAAGAGGTAAAAGACTTGATAACCATCGCACCACTCTGGAATCCAACCTATGACTTCCCACTTGTTAACTCTCAAGTCGTACCCATAAACATCTCCGTCGCAATCTACCTTGTTCATTTGCCACAACACTAAACACTTGCCGTTGTATGCCGCAACGTTCCAGCACCTCATTGTCTTTTTGTCCAACACTCCGTTCTGGATTTGCTTCACTAAGACCCACTTGGGATCAACGAGAATATTCTCGAGGGAATAAACGTTAATCATTTCCTCCGTCGCTGATATCAATGCTAGTTCCTTCTCTGTGGCCGCGAACAAGAACTTGTTCGCCGCGCTTAGTTTTAGGGGAAACTTGATTGGAATCAGCCGTGCTTTCTCTGTTTCTGGATTGAATGCTAAAATGCTTCCGTCCTTTCTCAACCAGTGAAGAGATCCGTCAAAGTAAACCGGTTTCTTATCAGCCATGTGAACACTTGCGCTGCAAGTAATAGTTGTTTCCGACAATCTCCAACAAGAATCTCCTGTGGTAATCTCGAATTGATACATGGTTTGGTCTGGATTAGAAGCCTTTGTATCTTTCATGCAGACAACTTTGAATCCCTGAGTTGTTCGATCAATTTGATCAACCGCAAAACCAATGCGATTCATTTTATGACATGGTAGGTTAAAGCTTAACTGTCCCCTTTTGTTAACACGACCAAGAAATATTGATTTAGAGTGATCAAGGAATCGATACCTCTTAGTGAGCGGATTCACGACACAGAGACAATCCATGAAGAGTAGGAGGAGGCCAGAGCAAGAGCAGAGAACCCTAGTCTTGATATCTAAGGAATCTTGGTATCTGAATGACATAGAATCGCCGAAAGGGTTGCAGAAGAGAGATTTGGAGCCATAGTTGGAGATGTGTAGCAAACCGGATCCGACCTGAGACAAGTAATTGGATTTGAAATACAGATCTTCAGATATATGCGAGTTGATAGATCTTCTCGTGCATTTCATCATAGCCAGAGATTTGGGATCCAATTTGAATAAAATATTTTCGAGGAGAGGCAAAGGTAAGGTCTCCATGATCGAACTAGGGGAAGAGATTAGGGTTTTCGCTTAGTTCTTCGATGTAACTTATTCGCTGTAATTTGTTACTTCTGGTACATATGTATTTATCGACGTAATTAATTATTTTTACCAAAAAATTCCAATAAAGAAAAGTTTGAACGTTTGTTTCGGAAACAAGGAAATTAACGTTTCGAATGAATAATATTCTCTTCCTATTTTAACAAAATGACTACGTTTTCTGAATATATGAGTATAAAGATAATAATTGTAGTATCTCTTCCAAAAAGGAATACTACAAACCGAAAACGTTTTTACGTTTTGTAAGTCATTCATTAGCATTTTAAACTTAAAAAGTAATAGTCAGAATCTATAAATTCTTCCTATTGACTGGTGAGATACATGTATTATGAAGAAATTATTGGAATTCAAAAATAGATTAGATTTTATAATGAGTTAAAAACAAATATTCTCGTATAGATTGATTTTTATTCGAAAAAGTAGGAACCGTTAACATCTTAACTAATCAGCTAGTTCCGTGCTAACTAAACGTTCGAAAGATCAAAGAATCTTAAACTTTTCTGAAAAATATGTTTTGCTTATAACAACTAACAAGAAGGATATATCATTAATCTGCTTTTACCCTCCTAAATCCTAATCTCTATGTCCAGCGCCGTGCCTGGAGTAATGAAGGCCGGAAGCGAGTTTATTAATAGTATTTTGTATCGTTTAAAACAAATTCTTCAATTCTCAAAAAAAGAAATCTATAATACAATATGACAAATTTTAAATATTGAATATCAACTTAAAATCTGTTATTGTCTATATACATACTTCACTAAGATTAAATCTAAGATAATACATTTACGGTGATTGTGAACATGAATTAGCAATTATACAACATCCAAATAGATTAGGTGAAGAAAAAAAGTGAGCACAAAAAATTGAAGATTAATTTGTGAATAGTTTGTACAAAAAAAACTCTATAAATTAATAATCATTATAAATTTATAATTTTTTCTGCTCACGAGTCGGACTAATGTAATATTTAACATAATTCGATAAAATAATAAAATAATAATTTGTTTGAAAATCCTATGTAATTATATGGTCTCATCAGTATAATAATTTAATATAAACTTATCAATATATATATATATATATGTAAGAAAATTTAGTAAAATATCATTTTAGATTGCTTTTTTTCTTAAATATGCATAAATCCTTGGTAGAGTTCACTTGTAGTATTTTACTACATAGAAATCTTTTTGTATTATTTTCTAGGGATAATAACTTTTTTTTACTTGTATTTGTTTGTTAAAAGATATTGATTTCTATAAAAAAAATCTTTTCAAAATTAGCTAAAACTGTGTATAATTTAAGAATTATTTATTTATCGATAAATTAATATCTCTATAAATTAATAGAATTTCAATATCCCGACACTATTAATTAAAGAAGTTGGTACTTTATTTTGAGAAAATAATCGAATTGTACTTGATTATTTATACAAAATCATATTTACATACATAAGTCTAAGTTACAATAACATTATTTAGTTGACACTTAAATGATTCTGAAAGAAGAAAGGCCGTGGGCCATTGTTTCAAATCATGTAACTAAGGCACGGCCCTGTCTATGTCTTTCTAATGGCCTTTTATTTTTGGGGCTTTAGAAGTTAGAAGTTTGTTCTAAATCTCTTGTACACCTCAAGTGATCCTTTTGGTAATGTAATTAACCTCTTATCAAAAAATATAAAAATAAAAGTAGTATAAGAAAACAAAGGTAAAACATAACTCTTAAACTTCAATTACATTATCCAAAATTAGCCACGATACGAATTTTGTCTACTTGACTCTTCTTCTTTTGTTGATTCTCTCCACGTCTAGGAACTCGGAAGAATTAGGCTCATCAATCATCATCTTCAATTTCGTTTCTTCTTCAATCATCAATCTTTTTCCAAGTAGCTTTCCCTTTTTCTTGAAGAGGCTCTGAGCATATGGTGAGATTCCACTAATCACTCTCATAATTTTGCTTAAAGAGGAGATACGTTTATCATCATCATGATTAACCATCGTCATGTTGACGTCCACATTCTCATCTAGTTCCATCGAAGAAGATGTCAAAGCCGGTTTGGACTGATAAAAGTCTCGTTTACCATCGCCCCAACGTGGAATCCAATCCATGACTCCCCACTTGTTACCTTTCAAGTCGTACCCTTGAACCTTTCCCTCGTCGGAACGGTCCTTCTTATATACAGATTTGAAAAGCGGATCGTCGGTTATATGCGAGTTGATAGACCGATCCGTGCATTGCATCATTGCCAGAGATTTGGGATCCAGTCGGAAGAGAATCTCTTCAAGGATGTGAAAAGGTAATCTATCCATGATTTTGATCTAGGAAGAAAAAAAGAGAGGAACAAGTTAGGGCTTTTTGCTTAGTTCTGTGATGGTGTGATTATTCCAGAGGTTCTGGTGATGTTATAGTGGATATGTATTTATAGATCTAAGGAAATTTGGCAAAACTTGTTATTAAAAAGGAATTTTTTTTATGACTTTTTTCCTCGAGACCAAACTCAAAACACGTTCGACGAATGTACTACTATTGTTCGTGATAGGGTACAAAAGTCATTGTACATCAAAGGTGAATTAATACTGTAGTTTGTTTCCGAAAACGACAACGTTTTGTGGATGTACAGTCTTCTTCTCTTATCCAGCTTTAGGGGTAAAAAGGTCATTAACTTCAAGCAGAAAGAAATTAGGATATGGATATGTGAACAGAGCTCTATGCTTCTTCATCAATGGCTTCCATTAGTAGCTTACACAGTTGGTCATCTAATCAACATTCTCGTCTTCCTCGAATCATTTCTGAGGCTGACCAGTCTCGACCCATTAACCAATTCGTCGCCTTTTCGGTTCCCATATCCAGAAGAGACGCGAGTATCATCCTTCTCGGCTCGCTTCCATTGACGAGCTTCTTTGTTCTACCGCCGAGCTCTTCGGAAGCGAGAGAGAGACGGAGCAGAAAAGTTATCCCTCTCGAAGAATATTCCACTGGCCGTTAAGTCCCTCGCTCTCTTCTTAGCTATCGGTTCGTCTTCCGCACATATTTTCACAATTAGGGTTTAGAATTCGTTCTTATCGATTCTCGATTCCGCATAAGTTTCAAAATTAGGGTTTTTTTGTTTTTGCCCATGATTACTCTCTTGGTTAATTGTGTTTTGAGAGTTTCTGATTCGACGAAAGTGTAAATTCGGAAAAAAAAAAAAAAAAAGGATTTGCTTGACTTGTATGAGAAGTTTCTGGAGATAAACTGATACTAACACAATATATCTGTTACTCTGTTCTTGCAGCTGAAGGGTTGAAATTCTATGACATTGAGGAAGGCAAAGGTCCAGTAGCCACAAAGGGATCAACTGCTCAGGTCTCTCTTATGATTCACATTGTAATTTCTCTAAATCGAAATCGAGTTCTCGCCTTTTACATTGTAATGTGTCTGTCTTTTTCCACATTTAGGTGCATTTCGATTGCCGTTACAGAAGCATCACTGCAATTTCTACTCGAGAATCCAAGCTTTTAGCTGGAAATCGTAGTATTGCTCAGGTTACTTTACCATCCACCCCTTTTGTTTAGATTCTGCATAGTTTTTAGTTTGATGGTGGCTTACTTCTTTCTGGAACAGCCTTACGAGTTCAAGGTGGGATCAACGCCAGGAAAGGAAAGGAAGCGTGAATTCGTTGACAATCCAAACGGGTTGTTCTCTGCACAGGCTGCACCAAAACCTCCTCCAGCAATGTATTACATAGTCGAAGGAATGAAAGTCGGAGGCAAGGTTAGGAGGAACAGGGCCACAATTTTGCTTTCTACTTTGTATGACACTTAGTTACTTTGCAATGTAGGCAATGCTAGTAGTTCTTGACCTCTTTCTTTCTTTCTTTTGTTCCTGCAGAGAACGGTGATTGTTCCTCCAGAAGCTGGTTATGGTCAGAAAGGAATGAATGAGATACCGGTGAGAACCTACTACAAATTGTATATGAGGAAAGCTCCGTCTTTTGCAGAGAACGAATTACAAATAATGTGGTATAATGCTTGGGGTTTAAGAGATAATAAAAACATGTATGTTGTTGCAGCCTGGAGCTACATTTGAGTTAAACATAGAGCTGCTTCAGGTGACTCCTCCCCCAGAAGAGAAGTGAACACTGATAAGAGAAGAAGTTTGAAGCTTCAAGCATTGTCCCAACATTTGTCTAAAGATAACAAATGAGAATAGAGAGAAAGATGTAAATTTTGGAGTACTGTATTTATTTGGTGTTTGGTTATACACCAAACTCTGGTACACTAAATAACCGGTATATTTGTTGGACTAAAATTTGTTAAAAGTTTATGATTGCTTACGTGGCAGCTTCTCATTGGTTGAAATATGTTAAACCAACCAAACCAAATCAAATCAAAACTTTTAAATGGTTTGAAATCACAAACTGAGAAAACCAAATCGAATGTCAAACCATAATTAATTTGGTTTTAGTTTGAGAAGATTTTGTAAACCGAACCGAAACCGATGATAAACCGAAATGGCTCCCCACAGCTCCTAGGTGAGAAGTTGGTAGCTGACTCTGCTGGTGCTTTGGTAGCGATATCTCCGGTAGCTTCTTTTCCCGTGGAAATCTACTGAGAAAAATGGAGACTTCTCTGAGATATGCTACCAATTCCAGGTCTTTGAAAATTCATGCCAAGGAGAAGTTCCCGGTGAACTCCAAAACTCGCCTGCAGGTGAATTTCTTCAAATTAGTGGCTGTTTTGGAGGATTTTAGCACTATTCTCTACAAAACTCTTCAATTTGATTGGGATTCCTTCTTTTGATTCTCTTCCCAGATGTGATGATTATTGAATGCCCAAAGCCTCTTACTTGAGATTTATAGGCTATGCTTTTCAGGGTTTATGGTCTGCCTCTTTGAAATTGCAGTTAGGAGTTATTTTCTATGTTCAGGCTTTAGAGTCTTTTAGTCTTAAGCAGAAATAGCTGTGTAGGTTTTTGGAAGATTATACTTAACCTGTTTTTTGGCTACACTCTATCGCCTTATCGGGATATAGAGCAGAGAGTGTTTGTGTTCTTACATTGTTTTGTTGGTTTTGTATTTGTGATTAGCTTCATGGAGAGCTAGATACAGGAGCTGGAGTGCCAAGTTACTTCTGTGCTATGATAAGACACTTTTTCCATGAGGTTTTCATCTTGAATTTGTGTTTCTTTACTTGAGTGAACCTTTTAACAAACCATTTTTTAATTACCATGAATTGTGTATAGGCTTCAACAAGCCTTGGAGTTGGTTTGCATTATGATAAACGCGAAAAGCTTCGGTGTCTTGTACGTGGGAAAAAGAAGTTTCCTGTGATAACTGATGAGGTTGTAACCTTTAATATCAAAGGAAGATGTGATTTTGACCAAGACTTTGTTCAGGTTTGCCTCTTTCTTTTTTCCATCAGTTATGTTTCTTTGATGGTTTTTAAAACTAATAAATGGACTGAGATTTTGTGATTTTGCACGACAGAGGAACGCGAAAGGAGCTGCTGAATTTGATTGGAACATATGGAAGTTTCAGAAAGATCAGGATGTACGCCTCAGAATTGGCTACGAAATGTTTGAGAAGGTACACTTGAGCTCACTGTTTAATACTAGAGAACAACAATGGTTCTTACTGGATCATTGAACACTATGTTTTGGCTTTCTCTGCTACAGGTCCCTTATTTGCAGATTAGAGAAAACAATTGGACTTTCAACACCAACTTGAAAGGAAAATGGAATGTGAGGTTTGATCTATAGTGAATAAACAAGAACAGAAACAGAGAATAGTCAGATCACATTTTCATATTTGTATCATTTTGAGAAATGTATTTCTGATAGAAAAATTCACTTTGATTCAACCAAAGCAAATTCAGAGATCTTCTGTTATCATCAATCACTTTTACTCTTGCAAGCATCTAAGAACTGATTAGCTTTTGTCTCCTAGGCTCCGATATAGCTATTATTTCCTTGTCTAAAGATAGAATCCGAATCTAACTAGGTTTTGACTTTACGCGAGGTCTTAACCCCACTTGGGTTCTTTAGACATCTCCTTTACTTTGTGATACTGTTATAGTTAACCGGAAACATACCAAACCAATATGAAGCAAATCCTCTCTTGTTACCAATTTTGATGCAATTCGTATACCAAAAATCCTAAGCACGGTGTTATGATTCACAAACCAAGCATCAGAAATCCAGTAGCCTCAGATCGGTATAGATTGGTTTGCGTTACGGTTCTGGTTGACTTTGAGATCGTGATGCTACTAATATGAGCCTTGAACATCACCATCAGTATCAAATCAACAATTTAGTCCCACACACATGTGCAGAGATCTTGTTCTATAAAGATTTGTTTCTGGTGGTCATGAATCAAAGATCTTGCATAACACCCCACAACGACCAAGAATCAACCATTAGTTTTCAATATCAACAGTAAATCGAATACACACTGACAAAAATTCACATCTTTTTGGTAAGTTGTTGGTGGTTTTAGCTTACTAAACACCACGTGATAACTATGCATATTAAGTTCCAAACAACGGTTTAGTTAGTAGAGGCGGCTTTAAATTCCAACATAATCGGGTTTCTATTGTCTTGTTTATAGTCTAATTATCTAATCTTTGGATAATATCATTAACAAAAAATAATTTGACTTCGATTGTGAAATACTCGAAGGCCATCTTGAAAAGTTAGACGACACTGGAAATTGCTTAAGTCATTGTCATAAACCGCAGATGTGGCTTAGAGCAATTTCGTGCCCACAAATTGACTGAGTTTGGTCAATTTCAATGCATTTTCCTCGAGGCTGCACTCTTTTTCAAACTTGCAATAAATTAATTAGTGGAGGAATGAAGTTTCCACATAACTTTTACTATTTATAAGCTAGTCATGCGAGATGATTATAGACTTACCCATAATCATTTAGTATATTGTCTGAAAAAAGGTTTTGTATAGTGACATGTTTTAGATGTGATCTTCGTATTAGTTATCCCATATTTAATAAATTTAACGAGAAAAAAGTAGAGCATGTGGGGAGAAGAAGAAGTGGGCGGTGCGATTATCAGAAAGTGGAGAGTGCACTGAGACGAGAAAGAGTCAACCAGAAAATTAGTACTCATTTTTAATTTTTCTCCGAGTTACTATATTTGGAAACTCCTAGTTAATTTACACGTTTTCTCCTCATTTACTTCTCTTAGGGATGGTTAGATATAATCTGTTAATTAGTTTGTGTACACCTTAAGCTTAATCTTTGACCCAAATAGAAAAACTTAAGCTTAATGAACATAATAAGTTTTAAACAACAATAATTTCTAAACGACACGTTTAAGGTGTTTCCATTGTTTCTCTGCTGTGACAAGATTAAAAATCAATATAATAATGTTCTCAATATAATCAAGAAAACACATACTTATATATGAAAGGTATCTAAACAAGAAACCTTTTAAAAGAAATATTGACAAGTGTCTCTCCACTCTCTAGATCTTCACCAAATCGTTGAGTCTTACACCTGTTATTGAAGTTAGTTATGTATCATCATCGGACACAAAGGTTTTATGTCATTACAAGTAAGTAACTTAACACGAGGCCGACCATATCTTCGGCCGATTCTGGTTACTATTTGATCTCCACAAAGTTAATATGTCTAGAAGAATTATATAAATTCAGCTCTACTCATACAATACATGAAACAACTTCGGTCGTATATATATTCACATTTACCGAAATAAAACTAGAAACTTATCAGATTTATATTAAACTATAGTCTTTATAAACATTATGTAATAGAATATTGTATTTGTTTAGATTTGGGGTTGAATGCACTACGTAATAAAATTTCCTCTAAAGTATAGTGTCGTATGGCAGTTTGCACACAAGCAAAGCGATCTGCTGATTGACATGCGTGGCATCATTCTGATGGCGATAAATGTTTTCCCTACAAAGTAATGTATCTCAAAAACAATTCTCCATTTCTCCTTTGGGTAATTCGGCTATCAAAGGTAAGATAGTAGTTACACGTACGTAAGAAATCGCTTACAAAACTTGAGATTAACAATTCATAAGTTAAAAGTTGTCTTTATTATATTAAATAACTTAATACTAGTATAGTATATTTTGGTGGTTTCCGAATATTAATCACCTTGCAATAACGAATAAGAATCATAGTTTTCCACAAGGGGAGTCGTCATTAAGTTCTCTCCTACCAAAATCATCAGTTGAACAGATACTTAAAACAATCGAATCATTAGTTTAACCTAATTATAAATTGTTTAAAATATAAACCAATAAACATGGAAAGTTGTTTGAGTGCAAATTATAGGATCTTACTATGGACGGTTCGAGTTAAATTGGCATCTGCAATGCTCTTTCTTTACCAAGGCATCTTTGATCTTCACTAAGACTCTACCTTTTTATGAAAATTTTCTTATTTGTTTAATTTTTTCATAGCCTTTTGCAATTTACAACCATCCATGGAGTTTTATTTATTTTACCTTTTTGGTCAACAGAACATTCACCTTTGCACTTTGAATGGACCATGTGACCAAAAAAAAAAACCCAACATTCGGTCATAAAAATAGGTGAGTTTTCCGTCTTATTCTATAGGTGATATTAGCTAAAGTTATTCCATTGTTTAATCTTATTAACTTGATTTACAAATGTAAGAAAAATTTACTACTACTTAGGTACGTATACACTCTAACAAAATGCGAATAAGTAGTTGTATAGTTTTGGTGTTAATTACTTACCAGAATAATTTTACAGTTCTCTTAATTTATCCATCTGATGATAAATACTATAGTATAGTTTTAAGTTAAAAATATGTGTCTTCGAGTCAAAAGGCAACTATTGGTTAACTGACAGAAGAACGAATCTTCGGTTGTAGTTCCCAACATCCCAATTCCCAAGGTCCCAATATAACACACGCCCACAGTTTTTCGGTTACATATAGTATAATAGTACCAACAATAAATATGGTCAAGCCATACACTGACAATCATTAAGTACTACTATCATAATTTCGTTTTTCCGTTTTTTTTTTTAGAGTTTCCGTCTTTCTAGAGTTATTTTAATCATTTTAAGACATGTAAATGTTTTCTCACAAATTAACAATGCCAAATTTACCATTCAGTCAAACCAATAAAGTTGAGTTTATTTCATTAAGTTTATAAATAATCTTTAAATCTTATAATAACTGGCCGTGAATGATACAGTATTTAAAATTTTCTAAGTAATTTACATAAGAATGTGACAAAGACATTAAATACACATAAATAAATGAGTCAGGACCGAAAGCAACAAGTGTATTAGTGTAACGTCAATGGAGTACTATTTAACCAAAAAAAAATAAAACCGTGTTGTAAATGACTGAAATAACCTTAACCGACAACGATATTTTTAAGACCAAACCAGAAGAACTCTCTCCCTCTATAAATCTCTGCTTCTCGTTGCCTCTCCCAAACCCTCTCAAACTCAAATCAATCTTCTTCCATTTTTCAAATTTTATACACAACAACAACAGCAAAACCTCTTACTCGCTCAAAATGGCTCGCCTTCTCTCCCGTCTTCTCGTAGAATCCAACACTCCGTCGCCGGCGATTGATAACTCCACCGCCGCGTTGAATTCCGATCTCGTCGTCATCCTCGCTGCTCTCCTCTGCGCCTTGATTTGTGTTCTCGGCTTGATCGCCGTTTCTCGATGCGTCTGGCTCCGTCGTCTTGCAGCCGGAAACAGAACAGTCTCCGGATCTCAAGGTCAATCTCCTCCACCTCCGGTCGCCGCGGCGAACAAAGGATTGAAGAAGAAAGTCCTTCAATCTCTCCCGAAACTGACCTTCTCGCCGGAGTCACCGGAGTCGGAGAAATTCGCCGAGTGTGCGATCTGTCTAGCTGAATTCTCCGCCGGCGACGAGCTCCGAGTTTTACCACAGTGTGGTCACGGATTCCACGTGTCTTGCATTGACACGTGGCTAGGATCTCACTCGTCTTGTCCTTCTTGCCGTCAGATCTTGGTTGTTGCCAGGTGTCACAAGTGTGGAGGTTTACCCGGTAGCTCTAGCTCCGGACCCGAATCCGAACCCGAAATCGAGATCCGAATCAAACAAGGCGAAGATGATCCCAACTCCTTCTTGCCTTGATCATTTTACTTTCCCATTTATTTTATTAGAAAACTCTATAATTTAATGCAGATCATTTTAGTGGGATAGTGTTTAGTCTCTGAATGTACATGGTTTATTGTAATTTGTAAATGTTGTATGAATTGGAAATTTAACGATTTGTATTTGAACCTTTTATTACTTTGGGTCTTTCAAAATCAACTCACGTAATTGCGAAAAAAAAAAAAAAAAAAAAAAAAGTCGTAATTGGTGGACAATAGTAGACCTACTCGAAGTTACTTCATCGAATAGCCAAACATGGTTGTTAAGTTTGCAAATTTGACTGGTAATCAACAATTTTACTATATGGAAATAAAAATTTCCAATGTTTAGGGGAAATAGTGTCGTATTATTATTTGTTCATGAAGATTGATTTTAAATTTTTATGCATTATGTATCGCTATATCATTTTCATAATAAGTTTCTTTTGTGACTTCATGTTTGTTTCATAAGTTTTTTGTGTGAAAAAAATACAAATTAATACAACGACACTTGATTTAGAATGAAATATAGTATGATATTCAGGAAATATATGTAGTCATTAGTGGACACTAACGATTGATAGCCTATTCTAGGAAGCTCTAGTTAGTCAATTGCCTTTTTTAATTCAACAATTAGTCACTAGCTTTAACCACTATAATATTTAACTTGGTTCATAAATTATATATTTATAAATGTAAACGAAACTGGAGTGCACAGTGGACTTTCATAGTGTATGTAATATTAAATCATTTGAATACATCTAATTTTATTAAAAGGAAATGGAAGCACCAAAAGACTATTTAATCAGGTGATTACATGATTATTATAATAGCTAATCATGGAATATTCCCTAGTAAATGGGAAAGGAACTCTGGCCATTGTGTGTGGTACATACAAATGGTATGTAATGTGTTGGCTCAGTTTTCACTTTCCAGTTTTCATCTTATAATTTTGTAAAGCAGCAAACTTAAAATTGTCGTGTTTCTTCAACTTCTTTTTCATTTTGTTGGGGTTATACATTAAGTAATCAAATGAAAAGATAAATGTACTTCTCTTTATATCTATCTAATTATTAATCATAATTTAAAATGAGTTCAAATTGACAGTGGAAATATAATAAAATTAATATATTATAGGTATTGTATACTATAACTGAAAGAGTCTAGATGACTTCAACAAATTCTCTTTGTCTTGTGTTCTAGCTTTTGAGATTTGACCTAACAAATAGATGGCGATATCATGTATATATTTAAACTACAAGTTCTTTGTTAAAATATTTGAAATATAATAATATAAGTTAATGTTTTAAGAAGGGAATTATAGATTATAAATTAATGGTTTAGTTTGTCAACAATTGGGTGATTTAGTTATTTAGAAACTAATTAAAATGAATATTATAGTTATTCGTTTTGTAGGGGAGCCGTTGAATTAAATACGACGGATGGTCCACCCATCAGAAGCATTTCCACTACGGAAAGTGCGTCCCTTGCTTAGTGCTGCTAACCATATTGTATATGGGATATTTATAATTTTAATTTAATCCATTTTTAAATCTACAAAAAATTAGGACCATTAACCTGAAGTTCAACGAGAACTTATAAAGTTATAAACCATTAACCTATAAAGTTCAGATTATAGTGGCCTGTGAGAGAAAAATATATTATATTGAACATTTATGCATAGCAATAGTTTAAAAAAAAATTGTGTTAAGGATTAGAAACGTCCAACGGTACGCCCAAAATCAGAAAATACATATTATAAGGTAAATTTGAATTTGTCATTACCATTCTATCAATCTCTAAGAATCGATTTTTGGCTTTTGCTAAAAAAGAGAGTATGAGCTTCAAGAGAATACCCGCATGTTGAAAACATATTAGGAATTTCATAGGGTTTACTCAGTGCCGGCTCAACACTTTTATAGGCCCTAGGACAAAAAAAAAATTTAGGCCCTTAGAAATTTTTTTTTAGTGTTTTTGTGTTATAAAAAAATTTTTATATGATACTTTTATTAAAAAATTAAATATTAAAACTAAAAACAATAATAAAAATAAATTATGGGCCCTTCTAAATTTTATTTTTATGTTATAATCTAAATTTTTAATATTTTTACAAAAATATTTTTTAAAATGGACCCCTTAATTATTGGAGCACGGAATTGGGCCCCTGGCCGTCGCACCGCTCGCCCCCCTATTTGAGCCGGCATTTACTTTACGGGCGCTGGTCGCTGGATACGTACGTGAGAGGCTCGTGTGAGGTAGTAAAAATCGAGTGTATAAGAGTGTTTTTTTCGTTTATTTTGTTATGAAGTTCGGTTATGTATAAAACTAGAGCTTTACAAATGTTTATCTTTTACGATCATTACAAACTAAATCTTAATCTTTTAAGATCACCACAATGTTTATACTGAAATTTTGAAAACTAGCTAGCTTGTAAGAAATCTTTTTGAAATCGTCCCTCAAGAAAGTGAAGTATATATAAACCAAAAAGTGAAGAGAGTACTTTATGTTTTGTCGAAGGACTATAAATTCGCAGACTAAAATGATGAGAGTTGTAAAGTTTACCAATGAGGCTGGAGATTCCCATATTTATGTTCAGCACTATTTTGTGCATTACTGATTGTTTCTGTTTATTACGTGAATGATTAATACCACTTTTTGCAAATGGGTGTTGCAAAATAAATATATCTTTGCAAAATAAAATAGTATTTTACCCGGTCTAGCTTATATTCTTACACCATTGTCTACATTGTTAATTCTTTAAAACAGAGTATTAGTGTTTACACGTCAACACACTTTAAGAAATACAACATTCAATTTGTTTGTTATATATTTTTCTGCATGCAAACGCAATTTCCAAACAAGATGTTTTTGTTTGTTTACGTTTACTAATGTATTTCTAAAAACATCTTATATGAACAAACTAATTAAAAAAAGGTTTTAATATAAACAAAAAAAAAGTGGATACATTTTGTGTGAGGGCATATGCTAAACAGTGGCGGAGGTAGAATTTTAGTTTATAGGGGTCATATATAATTAATTATTTTTATTAAATTATATATTAATATTAAATCATTTATTTTAAACTAAATAAAATATGTCTAAGAAAATTTTTGAAAAAAAACTAAGGAAAAAAATAGAATATGTCTAAAAGAAATTAGTATGTACCACAATTTTAGAGATTTGTAGCCATATATTAGAAAAAACATAAAACAAAAAATGAAAAATGAATTAATGCTAAATAAAAAATAAACATCAGAGGGGTCAAATTAAGGAATTGATTGTTGGCATGGGGGTCATTATGGAAAAATTAAACCAAAATATCCATAATTATTGTCAAACTTACCTTAAAAAACAAAAAATCATAAATGTTATGGGGTCAATTGACCCCCTCCCTCTTCACTACCTCCGCCACTGATGCTAAATATAAACATAGATAGACATACAAAATACCCATAAACCAAAATGGCAAAGGCAAAGAATCCATCAAACTCTGTAGTTTATATACTAAGTGTCGACCTTTTGGCACGACTAGAAAGTTCCATTTCTAGTGGATTCGATGATTTCGCCTTTTATATATACAGTTTCATTGATCCTTTTTGATTAATAAAAGGGTTTTTGGGAATAATATTCAAGTGGTGTCACCACTGGTGAAGAAAAAAAAAGCACCGGTGAAGAATTTGAAGTGTTGTCAGCAATTTGACTGAGGAATAAATATTGTGAGGGGTCTCTCTTTGATTCCAATACCGGCCCAAGTGGCCACTTCCCTTCTTTTGCTGGATTCTCTTAACGGCCTAGAGGCCCTAGACATTTATTTAAAAAAATAAAAAAAAAGTAAAAAAATTGGGGAATTCCGAATATATTTTTCGGGATTTTGAACCCGACGTGAATCGAACACGCAACCTTCTGATCTGGAGTCAGACGCGCTACCATTGCGCCACGAATCCCCTTGCTTAACATATCAATTAATAATATATATATAGTAATAATAAATAGGTTGAATAAAACATGGGAATTGTTGGTCCGTTCCTTAGCATGAAATGGCATCCATTGATTCTCTCCAATTCCATTCTCTCTGCAATCTCCAGGTAATAATCGAACCCATCTCTTCTTCTTCACTAACACTTACCGATACTACGTCCCCTTCGGTGACTCATTTCTGAAAATTTGCGTCTTTTGTTGTTGTTTTTGATACCCTAGTCGTCGATTGGAAGAGTCAAGCTCCAGATTCCTTCAAGTTTGGTTATTTTCAGACGGAGACCCGTAAATCTGAACTGGGTTCAATTCGAAACTAAACGAAGGTTCGTGTGTAAAGCGATTGGTGATTCCTCGACTCCAGATGAAGAAATTCAGAACACTCAAAATGATGATAATGTTGTTGTTGTTACTGCTGCTACGACTCAGAGTGACATTATTCCCCATGATTCTGAGTATTCAGTTTCGAGGTTTCGTAGTATGATTACCTCACTCCCTCCTGTTGTCTTCGTGGTATGATTCTTTTTCTTATCGCTTCAAGTTTTGATTTTTCTTGTAAAAATCTGATTTTGATGGATTTCTCCTTCACTGTGATATCAAATTCTTTGATGGTGGAATATAGATTGCTCATGTGTTAGACACTGCCTAAATCTTGAATCTTTCGTGAGCTTTCTGGATAGTTGTTGCCTAGGTTTAGTGTCCTGAATAGAAATGTTACGTTCTTAGTGGAAATGGAAAAACAAAACAAGTTTAGATAATAAACCTTCTAGTGGTTCTTCTGTTTATTAGTGCACATGGATTTGGATTTTCATTGGGATAGTTCAAAATCTTCTCTGTTTTAGATGAAGAAGTGCTCAGGGAACAGCATTTGGATCGGGATCTGCGTTGCAACTACTGTTCTGGTCGCTGCAATTAGGGCTTATGTAGTCAGAAAGTCAAGAGATAATCAGCGTGCTGGCTCTGTTGCTGATCTTGTCAGACGTGGCCAGCTGAGATCTGGTGATAGAAGAGGCATGTATGAAACTCACACACTCTTTTATCTTCTTTAAAGTTCTCACAGATAACCTAAACTTTCGAATTAGTGTCATTAAATAAACACATAACTGGATTCATGTAGGTGGATGTGTGTTTAGCTTCTCTAAAGCTTTTAATCTCATGATGTTTTTCATTTTCTTTATCAGCTCTAAGTCTCTTAACTACGAGGACCCATTCAACAACCCTTTTGTGAAACTTGATAAAGGAAGCTCAACGGTAGAGATGTGCGGGAAAGTATATCGGCTAGCTCCAGTCACACTTACAGAAAAAGAACAAACAATTCATCAGAAAAGAAGGTCAAGAGCTTACCAATGGAAGCGACCAACGATTTTTCTCAAAGAAGGAGACTCAATACCACCTGATGTTGATCCCGATACAGTCAGATGGATCCCGGCCAATCATCCGTTTGCAACCACGGTTAGCGATATCGATCAAGACCTTGCCCAGAATAATGTCTACCAGAAGCAAGGTGTTCCTTTCCGGATTCGAGCTGAGCATGAAGCTATGCAGAAAAAGCTTGAAGCTTTACAAAATGTAAGCTTTTTTATCTCTGAGAGCTAATATCTGTATTTCGTGGAATCAACCAAGTACCGAGAAATTATGATTGATGACTTTGTTTCTTACAGGAAGAGAAATTGAATAATCTGGGTATTGACAGTCAAAATGCCAGAGATTTTCAGAGGCCATACAAGTTCTCAGCCAAGCTTGAAGGCGAGAATATCCAGAAAAATTCTCAGGATAATCATACAGGCAATTCATCCTCTGAGGAAACGAACCAGTCCTGAGAACGTACTAAGCTACTTGTAAATACAGTTTTCCCTTGAGAATCATACTTGCATTCCAAGAAACTGGAGATTTTCTTTGTAGTAAACCTCCATACCCTAAATCTAAAAAAAAATTTCTATTTGCTTTACCATCATAACTTGGATGTCTGAAAGAAAAGAAAGAGCTTTAGTCTTTAATGAGTTAATCTTCGAAACTATCGGTGTTGGTCAAGGAAAGAGAGAAAATTGAGTAATTATTAGCTTGATAACGAAACAAAGGAAAAAAAGAAAAGAAACAAAAACAAAATGAAGGTTTCTGAGAAACAAAACAAAAAGGGGATGAAGAGATTCTTTAAGTACACAGAGCAAATGAAGAAGAAGAAGAATCAAGGTTACAAATTATATATCCTTAGAAGGAGCAGAAGCTTGTGCTTGTGCTCCAAAGGCAAAGTAGTCTGTGATAACTTCCAAAGGCATGCCTTTAGTCTCCGGGACTTTCATGTAAACGAAGATCCATGAGATAACGCAAACCGCAGCGTAAATGCTGAAAACACCAACTAGTCCGATCGAGCTGAGGAGAACGGGAAGTGAGTAAGTGACAATAATGTCCCCGATCCAAAACACCATAGCGCAAATGGCGATGCAGAGACCACGGACTCTTGTTGGGAAGATTTCAGAACAGAGGATGTTTGGAATCGGACCGTAGCCCATCACGAAGAAACAGAAGTAGAGCACGACACAACCTGTGGAGAGCGCTGCGTTCACGACTTTGCTAATGTGGACGAGCTCGCTGATGACAAGGACGACAAGTGAGACGATGAGAACTGGGATTGTCCAGAGAAGTAATGACCTGCAAAGTGAAACAGATGCTTTTAGAATCATGAGAAAACAAGGAAACATGTAAAAGATCTTATAGGTTTTAATATATACCTTCTTCCGGAAACATCCATGAGTCTCATGGCAACGACAATGGCTGGGAGCATGAGTAATGTTGTTAAACCGCTGATGAGGAATGACGCCGAGATGGAACTTAGTCCGAGGCTCGAAAGAAGAATATCTACGCCAGCCCGTTCGAGAATCTGAGGAGTGTAGTAGAGAACTCCATTGATACCCGAAAACTGCATAGAAGATTAACAAAAAGTCAAGAATGTTAAAGGATATAAAACTCAAGATAATCCGAGCAGTGATAAAATGATAGATCCAAGAGTACTTGTGTCTGAACAATCAAAAGTTTCATCGTACCTGCTGTAGTATCTGAATGCCGACACCAACGACCAACGCACGCTTAACACCAGGTTCAAGAAGAGCAGACCAGAGTGGTCCAGAGCCAGCGATTTTCTCCGGGGGAACCATGGCAGATCCATGGACCGACTTAGGACCAAGAACTGATCTACTTACAAGGGCAGAAGCGTGAATGTAGCTGCCTCCACCATCAGGACCTCCAGGAACAGAAATGATCGAGCCACGGCGAGATTCAGCGCCATCCTCTTTAAGATAATACCTTTTGTATTCGTCGTTTTCATATCTATATCCCATATGCCAACCACCACCAATTCCCATGCTGCTTTCGCCATTGCCTTGCATAAGCGTACTGTGCCGTCTCATGCTCAGAGTGCTTCCACTTGTAGGATGTGGGATCATATCCTTGTCCATGCTTGTTGTCTGGCGTGACATTAACGGGCTACGCAGATCATTATCCGAGTCATCATCATCACCCGCACCATCATCAGTTGCATAGTCATCATTGTCTTTGTTGTAATGGCTCTCTATGTCCTTTTCCCAATGAGCCGGTTTACCGTGAGGCGCATCGGCATTAGTACTGAACATGCTTCCAAAATGAGGAAAGATCCCACTCCGAGTGTTTCCTCCTGCTTCTGGCATCTTCTCGTGGAGACTGCCGAATAGATTGACGAGCGGATCTTTAAGGATCATGCTTTGGTTTGCTAAGCTTCCATGGCGAGAGCGTAGCCCAACTGAACTCTGGTGTTCTGGGACAGGTCTAGCAATATATGATTGATTCTCGTGGGTTCCATAAAGCCGCATTTGTCCGTCCTCATCAACGGTTTCAAGCGCATCACCTTCATGATCCTCCAAAGTTACTAAGAGATCCTCCATTGTTTTTTCTCCTCCGATATCTAGTCCTTCAACTAGTAAAGCCATCTCATCTGAAAATATAAGAAGAACAGTTAAAAGCGGAATCAAGTGATTATAACCAAAGAAAGATAGCAAGGAAAACCTTACCAGTAACATCTTCTCTGCCACATAACTGTTGAAGAACCCGTTTAGCCTCGTCCATTCTTCCTTTACTAACCAGCCAACGAGGAGACTCGGGCAAATAAAACACCGTGAGAAACAAATAAAGAAGAGAAGGGATCGAAAGGACACCGAGCATCGCTCTCCAGCTAGGCGAATCACTCAGGGACATAGTGAAAACCATACAGTAAGACAAAAACATTCCACCAGAGCCAAGAAACTGAGGGAGAGTATTTAACTGTCCTCTGATCTCGGGAGGAGCGGTTTCAGAAATGTAAACAGGGACAAGCGTAACCGCGAGCCCGGCACCAAACCCATTAAGAAGCCTAGCAAAGCACAGAACATAGACATTGGGAGACCACAACATTATCAAACCGCAGACGAAATACATTACTGATGATAAAATGAGCATCGGGCGTCTCCCGAGCCAATCAGATATCGGTCCTGAACAAGTCGTGATGACCGTAGCACCGATCAATGACATTGCAACCACAAGACCTTGAACAGAGGTTGGTAGATTCAAGTCTTTGTTGATATAAACCATAGCTCCTGCAATCAAATACACAATTAACATTGCAACAGTTTCAAATCTCAAATGATAATTGATCTGTTTTGATGGTGATAGTGATCCAAACAAACTCAATTGCGGCAACTAGAGTGAAAAAAGAAACAAACCAGCAATGGTGGCATTGTCCCATCCTTGCAAGAAATTGCCGATAGTGGCGGCGAGAGCAACGAGAGTCGCTCCCTTCATTGCTCAACCAACCCTACAAACACCACCACAATTCAAATCAGTCCATACAGTGATTCTCTATTTGAAGTTTAAAACTTTCAGTCAACCATAAACAATAAAATCTAATCTTTTCAAAATCCAGATCTAAATCTTAACCAATTCACAAAATTATAAAATCTGATAAACCCAGAAGAATTTGCTCAATTAGATTAAAAACAGTAAACATAAAAGCATCAAACAGTAATCAAAAAATGAACTAACCTATAGGAGGGAAAAAAAGAATTGCTTTTTTAGTTTCATCAGTTAAGAAAGCTAAAAGAGATTAAACCCCAAAAAGATTGCTTCACTTTCTGGAAAAAAAAAAAAGTCTCACCTTTAGTAAAATTCGCCGGCAATTACGAGGAAATGAGAAAGCTTTGCTCTTTGCCTTAAAATTTCACCGATATATATAAATCAGAGAAAAAGAGGCGTTGAAATAGGGGTGATTTGATTTGGACTCGTATGAATGAATTTTGCCAAGTTTAGTTAATTTTATTTTCGGACAGGCTCCGGCGATGGAATCTACAATAAGGACAAAAAGATTGTCTTTTTTACAATTATTGCTACAAAAAAAAGTTTTGTTTTTTCTTTTGGAAATGAGATTGGAGCAAGTTCCCAAGGGAGAATCTGCCGAGAAAAATTCTCACCGCCGGGATTAGTTTTTTTCCTCGGGAAAGTAAAAACTAACAACAAGAAAATTGGATTTTACACCAATCAGTTCTTCTGGCGGCTAAAAATATAAGGTGGGGAGTGATTTACGAGGATTAGTGATAATGTTTTTCGAAACTTTATATAGAACTCATAAAGAAAAAAAAGACTAATGAAAATTGACTAGTTACATTAATAAAAATCTAGCGTTTTTTATTTTATCAAGATTTTCCGATGGAGAGATCTGGGGAAAACAATAGAAAATTTATGGAAATCATTGTCATGACTCGTTTGTGAGTAGATTTTTTGGGAGGATAATAATTTATGGGGTCCGTCCATTGCAACATGGATTACGACTAACATTTTGGTTTTCATTTAGATGATTTTAATAAATAAAAGAGGAAAAAAAAAAAAGATGATTTTAATAAATAAAAGTTATATGAAAGTTATATTTAAGAGTGGTCCGGACGTCTGTCACTTTCGTGTAAAAGTTGAACCTTTTTTTAGTCTTTGTTTTTTCAAATTTACAAGAAAAACAATTTTTCTTTTTATTTCGCACGGACAAACCTTTTAAATAATTGATTAAAAAGCAATATTAAATTATTAATAGATTATGTAAACGGTAAATAAAACTACAATTACCAAAAGAAAAAATTCGTTATGTCAACAATTTCCATTTACTTAAAAGGAGGGTGCAACAGTTAAAACTAGAAAAATGAATATTTTACAAAAAGGAAAAAACATGAATATCATAATTTGTCCAATTTAATGGTATTAATGTTAAACTCACCAAATACTGAAAAATTATAGTTATAATTTTTTTGTCATCAAAATAACAAACTAATTATTGTCTATTTAAGATGGGAGAATTTTCCAAGATGCAAGGTTAATCACAAAAACCAGAAAATAAGTATTTATAAACGACAAAACCGAATATCATAGTTTGTCGTTGCTTTAAAAGTTAATTTGCGTAGAATAAAAGACAACGGAACAAATCCCTTAAATTTGAAGAACCCGCCAAAATGCGCTGTAAAAAATGGATAAACTGATAGTTTTGATTTTAAACTCACTAATTACCAAAAAAAATTATATAAAAAATGTTTTTCCACTAATATATTATTACAGCGGTTGTAATCGAACTCTTTGTTTTTCCAATATCGTCAGCTGGAATCCTAAGAAGTTAAGTAGTAATAATTTGTAAGTAAAATCTTATGATATCCAAATAGCAGAAGAGACCAAAAAGAAACAGCAATGAAGTTGAAAACTTTTAGGACCGGATCAATGTGGAACATGCAAATACAGAGGATCCACGTTATAAATCAACATCTCAATCAATGTCGCAGGTTAATAACGTTTTCACTGTTATTTTTTCATAAACGATCCTTTCGTTAATCTTCTTTATTTAGTCATTTCATTTTTCGAATGTCGCACACTTTGAATCATAGATTGGTGATTGGTGGGGATTAACATTTCGTGCGAATATCTTACGTACAGGAATTCACATGTAATCATGTGGCTTAATTATCTCAGCTATAGAAATACAAACACACACACAATCGTGGATCTACTGTAAATTTACGGCTAAAAAATATTATAGATTTTGGAAGGAAATTACAAAGATTACTATAAAATAACATTATATTACTATTAAAAATTAAGAGACAGATGGGGTTAGTGCAATGGGAGACGAACATGGCGTCAATGAGAGGGCATGTGATTTATAATATTAGTGCTTTGTCACTTTCTCACGTACCTTTTTATGCCCTACCAATTACTTCTCCTCTACTAATATTTTTTATATTAATTACACCATAAGCAATTTTAGAAAAATAATAAATTTTAGAAAAATGCAACATTGATAGCATATATACCTAGAGTTTTCTAATTCTGTGACAAGTTGATGATTTTCTTTTCTCAGCGCAAGGCTAATTGCGTATATATAAAAATATTTACGTTCTCTTCATATTTATAATTAACTCTTAAATGATATTTTATCAAAAAAAATACTATGAATTATGAAACAATAGATATTACATATGTCCGACCTAAAAAATAAGACAACGGTCCTTTTCTTGATAGAGTTCGTGCTCCCAAATCATTCGAGCATTTCCGACCACGTGTCTCCACCTCAAACGGATCTTATGATATTTTTATTATCATTTTGTTTTCATTCTTATATATTTTGTTGATTTTTTCCCTGCATAAGAAATAACAATCATGTATTTCATTTATACAAGCAGTCAAGTAGATGTTCTGTAAAGTTAGAACCAGTGAATTTTCAATTGAACTTTAACATGATTCATGTTTTAAATGAATCTACTTTATGAAATATATGGTGTTAATTTAGATCATACTTCATAGTGGTTGGTGGGTCATCATTATTAAAATAAGTTTATATGTATTAGGTTCTTAAACATTTATATCCATAAGCTGATTAAAAACTAAGTAAAACGAAGATCCTTATCCTCCTGACTTTGTTATCAGAAATCTTGGTGGATTGACAGGTCAAACTCTGTTCTTTACAGAATAAATAGCTTATAAAAAAGACAGAAAAGTACTTCACTATAATCTCATGTTTTATGAAGTTTATATATTCTCATTAAGAATTATGTTTAAACATTTTAGAACAGTCACCAACAGAAGAGCTAATTATAAGACTAAATTTCTGGAACAATAGATGGGCCACTTTTTGGGCTTCCTTTAGTGTTGAGATATTGATTGAGTTTTTATAATGATCTATTTTATCTGTAGGTGTAAATAAATTGAGAAAATTGATCTTCAAATTATCCAAATTCAGCAACTCTATATATATGTTGGCCCAGTATATGGGCTTGTTTAGGAGCTTGATCATTTACCGCTGACAGAGGCAGAGGGTTCTGGTTCTGCAGAGAACTAAAGAAACCATATACAATTAGTACTTGGAGTCAAAGTAACCTCATGGAAAGACAAAGCTAAGCTTAAAGACACAGACTTTACACAAGATTCAGATTCAGACTACTTTACTCTAAAGCAAAAAGAGCGACCTCTATCCAATCCTCAGCCTATATAAACAGGCCCTTCTCTTTTATTTCCTCTATCAACTAACAAAAGAAAAACAAACTTACTCAAATGGCTCTCTCTTCGCCTTCAAGAATCCTCTGTTTTGCTCTTGCCTTATTCGCTGCATCTCTCTCCCTCTCTGTCGCTGCTTCCCACGATTACTCCATCGTTGGATATTCCCCCGAGGATTTAGAATCTCATGACAAACTCATCGAACTCTTTGAGAACTGGATCTCCAATTTTGAGAAAGCATATGAAACCGTTGAAGAGAAGTTGCTTAGGTTCGAAGTTTTCAAGGACAATCTGAAGCACATTGATGAGACTAACAAGAAAGTAAAAAGCTATTGGCTCGGGCTCAACGAGTTTGCGGATTTGAGCCACGAAGAGTTCAAGAAAATGTATTTAGGGCTCAAGACTGATATAGTGAGACGAGACGAAGAAAGATCTTACGCGGAGTTCGCTTATAGGGACGTTGAAGCTGTGCCTAAGTCTGTTGACTGGAGAAAGAAAGGAGCAGTGGCTGAAGTTAAGAACCAGGGCTCTTGTGGTAATATGAAATCTTGGTCTCTGTCTCTCTGATGTGTTAATCAAAGTTTTGACTCGTAACTTAAGCTTTCAATTTCTTAAAAATTGTTTCGCAGGAAGTTGTTGGGCGTTTTCGACAGTCGCAGCAGTGGAAGGTATAAACAAGATTGTGACAGGAAACTTGACAACATTGTCTGAACAAGAACTCATAGACTGTGACACGACCTACAACAATGGCTGCAACGGTGGTCTCATGGACTATGCATTTGAGTACATTGTTAAAAATGGAGGTCTACGCAAGGAAGAGGATTATCCTTACTCTATGGAAGAAGGAACTTGCGAGATGCAAAAGGTTTTCGTAAATACGAAAAAGAAAAAAAAGATAATCTAGGAATAGTAACAATTAAGTTGGTCCCATTCTAATTATCTCTGTTTCTTAAACAGGATGAATCTGAAACAGTAACCATTAATGGACACCAAGATGTACCCACGAATGATGAGAAGAGCCTTTTGAAGGCATTAGCTCATCAGCCTCTCAGTGTCGCCATTGATGCCTCTGGTAGAGAGTTCCAGTTTTACAGCGGCGTAAGTACATTATAAACCTATGAACCAAGAAAATGGTTGTGTTAGTTAATCGATCTTGTTGAAAATGTTGACGTTGAATCATTTTGTATTTGATATATGAAGGGTGTGTTTGATGGGCGGTGCGGGGTTGACCTGGACCACGGTGTGGCTGCGGTTGGGTATGGATCAAGCAAGGGTTCAGATTACATAATTGTGAAGAATTCTTGGGGACCAAAATGGGGAGAGAAAGGTTACATCAGGCTGAAGAGGAACACTGGTAAACCAGAGGGTCTCTGTGGAATCAACAAGATGGCTTCTTTCCCCACCAAAACTAAGTGATGATAAGATCATTCTCTCTTATCTGCATTAATTTGATCTGCATCTTCATAATATCGATATGAATATTTTCGTCATTAAACTACAGTGTCTTCGTTTTTTCTCTTTTGATTTATCAATTGAAGTCTTGTAACAACTATGTGCAATAATACCTATATATAAGTAGCCGAGAATTAACAAATTTATAGTACCAAACCAAGAAGAAAATTAAGGCGGAGAATATTGAAAGTGATGATAGAAGAAAAAACAGAGCATTAATTGAAGAAAAAACAGAGCATTAGTTGAAGAAAAACAAAGGAAGAGTCGGTTTAACAGTTTCTTGGGGAAGAAATAATTTAAAAAAACAGAGCAATCTTTAGATTGAACAGTTTATAGGTTAATAAGTAACTGAAAGAAACAGAGGAAACATCTTCTTGGGTAAGAAGCAATTGGAAAAAAATACCTCAAAGCAAAATGTAGAAGAGATTAGCAGAAATAAACAATGAATGTGGCTTCCTTTGCTGAACTTGAACTGATCATATGCTTGATATCTCAATATTATCAGCGTGTCTGAAGCAAAGTGCTCACGGAGGGGATTGCCCGTCAACAATCTGTGGCTCATCTTCACTCTCATCATTGTTATCTTGTTCATGCTCGTTCTCCTCTAACGATCTTCCCATAGTTTCCTTCGTGAAGAGATACGTCACAAAGATTCCGGCGATGCAAACGCCACCGAGAATCAAGAAAGCAATTCTCATACGGTTCACTTCGGGATAAACCTGGTTTTTATCATCGCCTTCCATCTTCTTGGTAGCCCACAAGAACCCAACAGTGCCCACAATAGCCCCAAGCTTACCAGCGGCGCCAGAGATCCCGTGGCAAGTAGACCTAAACCTAGCCGGAAAAAGCTCTGCGGGAATGATAAAAGTTGTAGTGTTGGGACCAAAATTGCAAAAGAAGAAGATCAAACCGTAGAGAACCATTAAGCCTTTATTGTTCTGCTCATGTTTTGACCAATACCAAGTGTACGGAATCCCAGCAACTAAATAAACAACGGCCATGAAGAAAAACCCCATAATCTGGATTTTGACACGACCTATCTTGTCAATGAAGTAAACTGTGAACCAGTAACCAGGAATCGTAGAGCAAGCGGCGATTATGGCTCCTAATTCCGCCACTTCGAAGGCTGCGTCGTAGACGTTTTCTGCGGAGGAAGGTTTCTTGGAGTAGTGGCTGAAGATATGGGAGAGGAGGAGATTGCTTGTGTAGAAGACAATGTCTACTAAGAACCAATTCAAAGAGGCAGCGAAGAGGTCGCGGCCATGGAGGCGGAAGAAGCAGCGGGAGAAGAGTTTGTAGGAAGGGGGCAGCGGAGGAGGAGGTGGCCCCGTCGTGGCTTCGTCGGAGATATGAGATATTGACATGACTCTTTGCATGTCTTTTGCTGCTTGGACGATATTGTTTTCCACAAGTGCTGTGTATCTGCATGCATCAATATCAATTTTAATTGATAAATATGTGTTACGAAATTAAATCGTTATTTTTTTTATTGACTGTCTTCTTTAGTTTTTTTGGAATAACTGGAAGCGTACGTGTGAGGATTATTTAAATTTGTTGTAATGAAAAGATAAAACTTGGTTGATTAGCTGGAGCTGATAGTCTGATTCTGATAGCTGAGGTATGTGTCAATATTATATCAAAGATTCTAAAAAAAAAAATATGTATTGATAAAAAAAAGAGAGAAAATATATGATTGGTGTAGACTTGGAATGGCTAATATTGAATACGTAAGGATAAGAGTATATACCACAGAATTATGGTATCTATCCCTCAGAAAGTCAATGATCCTTTCAAGCAAACTACTAATTTGTAACCCTTTCAATAATTGATACCTATAATTATAAGATCTAGCTAGTAATATATACCAAAACTAATAATATTGCTTTTAAGGAATCTTATAATATGTGTATGTGTAATGTGTGTATCAGTGTGTGATATCGGAACGGTCATGTGAATTATCTGAAAAACAATAGTTTAATAACATACAAAATTTTATTTTTATGGGTTGAAATAACATACTATATGCTCCTAAAACTAGAGAATCGTTCACATAAACAGAACAAAGGAAACTGCGTGTACGTCAGAAGGACAAATAATGTAATTTTAATTCTATAGGAACGATATAATCAAATCTAGTTGATTTCAAGATTTTTTATTTGGGAAAAATAGCAAATAAATAGTGAGACAAGAACATTGTTTGTGCATTACGTCCTTTATGATTTGTGATTGGTAAATAAAATAAAAACTAATTCATATCAGTAAAAAATAAAATAAAAAGTTTTGGACGGACCTTGCGGTTTCAGGCATCAGCATTCGCCAATAGAATGTCAATGCAGCAGGAAGAGCACCGATCATAAGTATAAGTCTCCACGCCACGTCGGCTTCTGTAGGAGCCGCCGCATCCACCTCCAAACCACCGGCACCTCTCTTAAACGCCACGCAAACAGCCATGGTCACGGCAGAGCTAACCAAAATCCCCAACCCTTGCATCGAGAACACCGCAGCTATAAACGCGCCACGTGTCCTCTTATTAGCAAACTCCGACATAATGGTAGCCGAAAGCGGGTAATCACCACCGATACCCAAACCAAGAATAAACCGGAAAAAACCGAGGCTAACCATAACACAAGACCGACGAGTGGTGCACACGGAAAAGCCACAGCCAAAAGAGCTAAGGATCATAATAATCAAACAAAGTCCGTAGACTCGGCGACGACCGACTCGGTCACCGAGGTAACCAAAGACGAGTTGACCCGTGGCTGTGCCGAGTAGAGCGATGGCGTAAGAAGTCGAAAGAACCGCCGTGTTGATTGAGTCACCGTTGTAATAAACATGGCTAATCATTTTCATGACCGGTGCGATGCAGAAAAGATCGTATGCATCGGTGAATAGACCCATTCCTGCGACTATGATGGCTTTGAAATGGTACCATTGTATTCGAGCTGCATCAAGCGACGACAATACCTTTATCGGCATCGTTGGTTTCTTGATCTGAGATTCCGAATCCAGAGCTTTTTTTCGTTTCTTTTCTTTTGGTTTTCGAATTCATGATGAGTGAAACAGAACAAGGATCTTTATAACGATTAATAAGTCTCTTTGTTATTTTCATTAATTAATTGCTATGAGCATGGAATATGCTTATGATTTGACTCCGAGGAAGACTTGGTCAGTTTGTTTATAAGAGCTTCATTTTTTTCCTATGTTGTCACGTTAAGGCACAACATCATATTGTTTGCAATTTTGTAGCAATTAGTAACCAAATTAAACCGGTTTTGTATTACTTGGTTCAGTACGGTTTTATTTTCGGTTTAATTCACTTATTGAGAAGAGTAACTAACAACACTATAAACAAGTAACAGCAGCAACACACAAACAATCTTAACGGATTCTCAGTTTGATTAAAATCATTACGAAAACGGATATATAGTTAGCAAAATCATGCAAAATCTATAGTCACGTCCAAAAAGTGAAAGATTTGTCCTTGCATGCTGTTTGATTCGCCTTCCTTCTATATATGTCCATTAACATAAAGATTTAGAGAGATCCTAAAATTCCCAACTTGCTCCGGTTTAGTTAAGAGTTTTTGTGTCTGATGATGACAGCCTCAAAGATACCATCTGATCGGAAGTTAGGAGAGAATAGCCGCGGATCAACTGGTCCTGGGAGGTTAAAGCACAGCTTGAATGGTCCAGGCGGACACAGCTTCCGGATATTCATTTCAAAAACCCGAGAATGCCTCTTGATCGTTTTTTCGCCTGTCGTAGTCGATCCTTCAAGTATCACCTTACCATCTGATTCAATCTCGCAGCTGAATTCACCTGCACACAAAAGGACCAAACCAGTTCATGTGTTCATCACTTAGACCCGATGTGGCGTATATAGATATGGTTAGATGGGTAACAAAGTATAGTTATATACCGTAATCTTTTCGGACACCGGGCAAAGCAACCTGAAAAAAGTAAGCAACTTTGTTGACACCAATGTCGACGACACCAACAGATGTTCCTAGAGTTTCTTTACTGGCTGTTCCGGTAGTTACAACTGATGGTTCTGCATCGCTTTCCTTCATTTCAGGAGGAACATGTATAGGCTTATCTGTTTTTTCTCTTTCCGTAAGAGATTCGCCGTTCTTGTTTGTTGCCTTTTTTGATGAGTTCTTGAACCGTTTTCTCTTGTATGTCTCACGAAATCTTTCAGGGGTTTTACTTGTTCCACAAACAGCATGACCAGCAACTGTTTCTTCTTCCTCGTTCTTTCGCTTGTGTGTTTCTCGAGGCTTTACAAATGAATAGTAGTCTTGGTCAGAGACAATTCCATTGAATGCCGATTCTCCATTTCTTGAACAGTCCTGCTTCATTCCCTGACTTTCTGGTTCACTGATTACGCAACTAGCAACCGCTTCTTCCCCATTATTTTTCTTGCACGTTTCTTGAAGCTCTCCAGATGAATTGTAGTCTTCGCTAGGTACACGTCCATTAGCTGTCGCTTCCCCATTTCTTGAACAGTCCAGCTCTGTTTCCCGGCTTTCATCCAGCTTCACACGCCGAGGAGATAAAGATACAACTCTATCGATTTTCAGGTCGTCCAAACGCGACAAGCATCTGAATCTTTGGAGTTCTTCCTTGTTTATGAATGCAACTGCAGGATCATCAATAACAACAATTCCTTTCACAATCTCATGGCTCGGGGAATACCTTTTCTGCGGGTGAAGATTCGTCGGGAAAAAATGCGTGAATTGAGGAAACCTTCCACTTGGTTCCAAAGGTAGGTATCCCTTGAGATACATATAAATCATATCTGGATGGAGAACAAGGCTGGGCTTTGCATCTTTCAGTACATTATAGTACAAGTTCTGCAGCTGCGCAACAGTTAAAGACGAAGATCCAATGTGCATCAAAGTGTAAGGTGGTGAACCTTTGGCTAATCTTTGAGAAGCTGAACATCTTGGGTTATCAGAATACACATCAGGACCCAAGTAATTGCTCATGATGAAATTCACCAAGAAATACTGATCACTCGATAAACCATCGCTACACAGACTCATGTTTTCAATTCCAGCTAAAGGCTATATTATCAATGAACCTGCATTACAAACGAATGTGGAAACAGTGTCACATATGGAAGCAATAAGGACATTCCCAATACATATAGTTACAGGAAACAAATTTAGTATCTCAAATTTGCCAGATTTGGTCATAGATTCTTAAGTTTAACCATTCTCTAACAATGAATTTAGTCTCCATAATGTTTTGTGTTATCATTACTAAGGAGAAAACATATTCAAACCCTAAAAACTTCACTTATTAACATCAAAATCTAAACCTGACAAGATTATGTTGAAATTATGAGAAAGATTAAAACTTTGCTTCATATATAGACTTCACATTACAAAAAAAATCCAATTTTACACAGAGAAATATGACAATCGAACAAATTTTCACTAGTTAGTTCAAAGTCAACAAATTTATGTTAAATCTAGGTCACTACGCTTGAAGACGACACTCTTTGTACTTTTTATAGCAAAAATCGATCCCACATTGTCTCCAATAAAAACTAAACCACAGAAGATAAATAGGGATTATGCAATTTCAACCTTACAAGTCCAGCGATTGTGAAAATTCAAGCAACATTCATGGAGAAAAAACAAGAAGAAATCCAAAATTTAAACATGAGAGAAAATGATCAGTGACGGATTTTACCTTTTTTTGGTTGTGGAGATGTTTTAAGGTTAAGGAGGAGGAAGGAGGTGAAGAGAGAATTGTGAGCAAGAGGAAGGAAGCGAGAAAGAAATGTTGGTGTAAAGGGGAAAAATGCAAAAGAGGATGGGGGTCTTTTGCTTCTTACACGTGGCTACCACGTGGGTCCCGCAAATAACCGCATTTGGAGGTATCGCTTGTCACCTGGCTCACCACGTGCCGTCTTGTTTTCGCATGTTTGGGCTTTTTAAAAGTGTAAGGCCCAAATATATTTTTTTTTGTCTTTTATTATTTTTCCTTTTCATTTGTTAAAGATTATTCTTTTAAGGTGTTTAAAAAAATTACTCCCTTTGTATCAAAAGTAATGCTTTTTGAGGTTTTATTCTTGTGTCAAAAAATTGATTTTTTGTAGCATATTTAATGCATTTTTATTTTCAATATCAATTGATTGGAGTAAATGGGGTAAAAAGCAGTTTGAAATTAACTTTTTAAAAGATATAACACAAAAATAATTAATAAATGTACATCATTTATTATTTTCTTAGTCTTAATAAAAAAACTTCAAAATTTATTCTTTATGATATTGATAGAGTAGAAAAAATATTTTAAATTTTGTTGATCAGATTGTGTACAATAGTTATGTTAAAGCCAGCAGAACTCATTGTAGAATGTTAGCTCACCAGACACTCATAACTGATAGTAACAAACATGGAATTTTGAAAGGTCTTGATACATTTGGGCTTCAAATTATTACAAATTCTCTAGAAATTTATTCTGATTTAGAAGATGTTCAAATGAACATTGAAGCAAACTTGGCCAATTTTATTGGTGAACTTGCTAAAAAAATTCACAGAAGATGCAATGTGAATGACTTGTCTGCCACGATTACTAGGCTTTGGTGTCGCAGTGTTATTAGTGAAATCACTGGCATGATCAGAAATCTTCAGATAGCATTGGTTCAACTAGCTTCGAGGAACAAAACTTTGATCGTTGCTAACTATACTACTAATCTTCAAAGGGCTAAGTTTGTTTCACTCGCACAAGTCCTCTAAACCTATGTAGAAAATTTGAAAAAAAGGTATATTAATTTTTTTTTGAAAATTTTAGATATTTAAATTTCTGTACTTTTCTTAAGTCAAATAATAATTATTTTAATAACATCTAATATAGTGATACTAAAGTTTTTTTCTTGTAAAATTGCTAAACAACACATAATTTTTTAAAAAAGAAATTATTAAAATTTGAGATAAGTGATGGATTTAGTTATTTCTCAGACAAATATAGTTTTTGTGGGACAATTTTGTAACAGACGTTTTGCAAATTTGTTAGCAAACGAAGGGGCCTAGGTATTTTCAAAATCAGCTGTGGTAAATGAATAGAAAATGAGATGGGAACATTAAATACACCGAGGTAATTCTAGGGTGTGAAAAACAAAAATAGAAAATGAGAAGAAGTGGTAGGAAAATGGGAACATTAAATACACCGATGTAATTCTATTAATCTGGTTGGTTCATTGTTTGTGCTGACTAAAACTATTTCTAGATTCAGTTTTGTGGGACATCAAAACATCACTACTATGTCATTACCTCATAATGTAATTTTAGTTATGTGTTAATATCAAAAAATTTAATTTGATGGATCCAAGAAGGAAAGGTTAATACCTCGACCCCAAAAAATGGGACTCTCATGAGAAATGAATAGAAAACAGTAGCATGTAAATTATTAGATATACTATCTCTATTTCTTAACAAAGGTTTATATGACGATGGATTTAAGTAATAACACGAATCTTACATCTCGAAAACAAGTAGTAAACGAAGTGATAAATAGGAATCAGAGCAGAAGATGGGAGTCATAGACAGAAAACAATTAAGAAGAACAATTTATGAGTCTAGAAAGTATAAACTGTACATACATAGAAAAGAGAAGAATCCTGGAGCTAAAATATATGCACAGACAAAGAAGCTAAAGTGAACTCCATTGTCATTAATTTTTTACTTACAATGCAGAGGACTCGACTTGAGAGGACATAAAATCTACCTGATAATCTTACCAACACTCCTACGCCTTCAGAGAGTGTGTAGAGTAAGAAGACTACTTTAACCACCCAAAAGAATCAGATTTTGATTCCACCATTCTATATGCATCTGTATGTGTTTATGAGTTTATCTATTTATATATGCATTTTCTTTATACACCAAACTTATTCCTACCGGTTTACCGCTAAAACCCTTGTTTCCAGGGGGAACCATTCATATAGTTTATGCCATCAAGCTTGTTGTGGGCTATATACACATGATGAGAGGGTTAAAGATGACAGAAGCACAAACACATGAACTTCCATTCTCCTTTCCCCCTTTTTTGACTTCTTCAGTGAGCAAGACTACTTAATACCTGTAACAATGGTAATGAGGTGAGATCAAAAACATTTGCAAGTGCTGAAACTTAAAGGGGCACCTAAGGAGACAAGCTTACCTCTCTAGAATGCAAATAAAAATAATGTGCAAAGTTTAAACAGGAAGCCTGCCAGAGTAGCATTTGTCCTGGACTTCTTTCCCTTTTCTGCAGTCTTCAAGGATTACTAACTGAAACCCCACAAATAATGATGAGGTGGTGTAAGTGCGTATCAACCCCAATCCAATTTGGACAATCGAAAAAGAATCCAAGAATATGCTTATGTTGATCCATTTTTCACCCTGTTGTTTGATCAGAACCGCTACTCTGCATATACTGAGGAGGAGTCTGGACAATGATACGTTGCTGCGTTGGAGTTGAAGCCGAAGGGTATGGAGATTGAATAGCAGCCATAGGTGAAGTTGCACCAAGCTGTAGAACATGACTTCCTGGATGTGAATAACCTTGAACCGCTGTATAACCGTGACCACCAGGAATAGTCTGACTATATTGCCCATATTGATAACCCGGTGAGTTAACTGCCCCAGGTACTCCATAAAACTGAAGGTACTGTTGACCCATGTAAGGACCATAGAAGCCCTACAACACCATGAAGAGAAGACATGAGTTTATAACTAAAGTCACAAAAGTTTAAAATGCATAAAGAAGGCAAGAAGAAACTGCAACAATTTCAAACGCCTACCTGAGACTGTGAGTACAAGTAGTCAGGTCCATATGGTGTAACCCTGAGAGAACACCAAAAAGAACAACTAATATTAGAGACAGATGAGCAAAGTTTTGGCTAGACACTAGAATTAGAGAAGAAGAGTAGCAATTATACAAAAACAGCAAGAATACATTACACTACGAAAAGAAGATGCTAAGCTAGGGGAAAAAAAGCCTAAAATTCCACTCCAAAATGTCTATTCCAAGAATCTAGATAATTTTGGCACTATCAAAGTCCAAAAACATTCATGACCTTGCCTGTCCAAAACAAATTGAGCTCGGCCACATATCCTCTGCAGTTATATTTTTGTATTCCTGCAAGTTACCAATCACAACATGTCACATCATAGTGCTACACTCAAGATCCATAAGTGGCTAAGTGATTGTCCATGTTGTGATTGAAAAATGCCACTTGATCAAAGTGGCTGAACAAATGTTCCACATTTGTTAGATGGACTAGCAGGTAGACATTAAAACTGATACGCTCGTCACAGCATGTCTGTTATAGCAGATATACAATCGCAACGCAAGTTTCTGAGCTTTAAATTGCGTAACTCACCCATAAGGGTACACCACTCCTTGTTGGTAGTTATAAGCAGGTGGTTGGTGATACGGATGGCTTCCAAAAAGTGAACCGCGAGGACTCTGCACACTTCCAACATATGGGGAAGCAGGTCTTATCCGTCCTAACCAAAAAAATAAACAATGCAATGAGTTAAGAAAAGGTTTACACGGTAACAACAATCCATTGAAAAATTGAATACTTCACCAAAATTATAAAGGTCTCTGTAAGTAGTGCGAAGAAAAGGAATAGATGAATACTGAAGTAAGACTGACCAGGAACATGGGGTATCACTGCATATTGCATTGGAAGCCGAGGCCTCCCAAGAGAAGCGAGATTACAATTCGCTCGTCTGCCATCTATAATAGGTGTTGGGTCAACACAGGCTCTCCTAGCAGCCTCTGGATCTCGGAAAGTCACCTAAATCCTCCACACAAATCATAAACATAGCGGTGAGTCATTCTACAATCATGAACATAAACCAACAGATATATAAAATCAAACAAATGAAAGGGATTCCTCTGGTAAGCAAAGATGGACAAAAGTTTCATCAAAAACAGCAATTTCGAATTCAACTTCTTTTTGTTTATTCAAAGAACTAGGAATCCTAAGTCAAGCATGAATTATGACTCTGGGGCATCATTTAGTACCCCCAAAATATCTAAGCATACCATGGAAGCAGAGGTTGTTGTTCATTACAAAATCGACAAAATTAGGATACTCACAAAGCCGTAACCTTTGGATCGACCAGTGTTCTTATCAGTAATAACAACCGCCTCAAGGATATCACCATATTGTTCGAAATGCCGACGAAGAGTCTCGCTTTGAGTCTCCCAGGCAAGGCCACCCACAAAGACTTTAGTAAAGGTTGTATCACCAAAAGGAGAGTTCAAGTAATGAAACCCAGAGCCCGGAATCGAATGATACGCCATGAATTAGAACCAACGAAATAAACTTTATTTTGACGAGAAGATGAAGAAGTATAGACAAAGCGATTCTAAAACTTGACCCAGTAAACCCTAGAGATAGATTGAATGAGTAAACCTGAAGATGAAGATACAGAACACCATCGAATTGAAAGAGGAGATTCTAGGGTTTACAAGGGTCTGCGAAGAGAATAAGGAGAGAAACAGAAAAAGCGAGATCGGCCCAAGGAAACCTAATAAAGGATCATACTTGACAAGTAAATGATCATGACAGAGAAAAAAAAAAAAGAGAGAGAAAATTTCCCGGGAAAAAAAACAGAAAAAAAAAGAAGTTAGGAGGGGAAAAGGGGTTTAAAAATTAAAACTTTGAAAGATGGGCCACGGAAGAAGAGTAGAGTCGGTGCCGGTAGGTACACGTATGGGTCTAGGGTTCGAAACGAGAGAGATGATTCACAGACGAATTCGAAACAAGCGTTGGGGAAAATGGGGAAGAGAGAAAGAGGGAAGAATTAGAGTGGTTTAAGGGATTAGATAAAGAGGAAGAAGGGGAAAAGGAAGGATTTGTTTATGGAAGTTTTAACATTGATGATGAAGAAGAAGGAGAAGTTGGTGATGACGAAGACGATGATGCGTGATTGTGATTCATGAATTCTTCGAGAGAGAGAGAAAAAAAAAAGGAGTTGTTCTTCACCCTCATAATAATGGGTCCCGCTTTCATCTAATTTATATGCTTAACGCTGTAATTAAAACCAAATTGTGATTGTGTCCGAATTCTATAGTTTGTTTCTTTCTTTTATCATATTTAGAGGATTACTGCCGGGAAATTAACGGTTATTTCATGTATTTTATGATATTTTTAATTTTCATTTATTATTTAAAATATGTGTTAACCTCTGTTCTTTTAATTTACTCCCAATTCCCAAAAGATAATACGGTGTACTTTAGAGTTATTCATCTTGTGGAAATGTTGTTGGATAGAAATGCAAATGGATAAGCGTTAATAGACCATCGACCTACTACTAACTATAATAAGCTCTGTTTTGCATCGAAATGGCCCTGAAAAGCATGGTGTGGTAAAGTAAGGTAAGGTATATGTATGAATAAGACAATGGACATGTAAGAACTAAAAACCATACAAAATTAGATGAACAAACATCAATAAAGTGAACAGAGTAACAAAAGAAAGATGTGATAAAACTGTATTAGCTATTATTAACCATGCTTCTTCTTAACGATCACGATCTACATCTTTGATTAGAAGATAAGATGGGAGAAACCGGGGAAGAATCAACGCGACCACAAGACACAACACTACTAAAACCACCACTGACCAGCTTGAGTAAGGGATGCCTAAGAGCTGTTCTTCACAAACTGTCAACATGAGAATTTCAGACTTTAGAAGAAGCACTACGCTCACTACAAGTGTAAGGAAAAACAAAAGAAGCTTGCCTATGTTATAAATGATAGACACCCGTTCTTTGGAATTTGGTATAGCCACGATTCCTTCAGGTTCCACAGTCACCAAAACATACAATCCGTCCTAAATCAGAAACAAAAAAAGACTCAATTTGAAGTTGTAGGAACTGATTGAAGATGATGGCAATACCTTGTTATCAACTTCTTCAAGACTTTCCGTTTTGAAGATCAACTTCTCAGTGTTTAGTAATCTCCTCATATGGTTAAGATGCAAACCCATTACACCGTTCTTCAGTAGTTGCAGCGTAAACAAAGCCGGTATCTGTTATCATAACCAAAATCAGATTTTCAACAAGCACAAGAAACATGGAAACATAAGTAAGAACAAGATAACACATTTGACATACAGAAGCTGGGTACGATATCTTGACTTCATACCAAGAATTTGACTTAAGCCCTTGTAATTTGTAAACTCGAGATCCAGATTTCAATGGCAGAGTCTCCTTCCATAGTTCCTTCCCAGCATATAAACTTTTTCCATCAAACCTAAGATATATATATCACCTTTCTACAGTACGAATAAAGAATCCAAATTGATGATTTTGGGGATAATGTGAGGTTTGTCAACAACACTTACAGTCTCTCATCGCTGTAACAAGGCACAAAATTTATGAAGACGATAACACAGATGAGAAAGTAGCATTCTTTATAGCGTAAATCGAGCATCCTACGAGTCCTGTAACAATCCCTAAAGAAGAAAACGAGTGTTGTCAATTTGAAGTATCAGATGTTCTGAAGCAACAATCGCTGCAATTTTTTCTCAGCAACGGAACAAGTAAATACCAGAAGATGGATAACGCGCCAAATCGAATCGACTAACTATAGATCAGTCTCTCGCCGGAGATACTTGGATCGGCGGCTGAGAAGGAATATGATTCCGGCGACTTCGGAGAGATTTCTACACAACTCAAAATCGTTGTCGACGATCAATAGCGTGAGATTTGGGCCTTTCAGAATTAATGTGTTGAATTATTAATTGGGCTAGTTTAAGGCCCAATTTAAAATACTTAGCTTGTAGACAAAGTGAAAGTGACAGCGGATCATGACCGTCCACGTCACTCTAAGAGAATCAGGACAGAAACTGTACACGTGGTCAGATCTCCACGTCGTGATATCTACGTGGCGAGTTCTAAGAATATTTTGTCCTGTCTTGGTGTGGGGTCCACTGTATGGGCCCAAAGGCCTTCGACACTAACTCAGAAAGTCCAAAACAGTCAGGTAAACATGTGGGCTCCTTTACAAACCAAATTGGCAATTTGCCCATGTTGCTTCCTTCCTACTAAATAGTTAATTCTATTCAATAAATCACCTTTATTTTTATTTTTATTATCTTACGTCAATAAATCACTTTTAATTTTGAGAAATTCCTAAAAATAGCCCTAAAACAAGTTTTATTGACAATAATAGCACACACTCCATAAACTTCCAAAAATAGCACTAGTTAACTTATTATTAGTGTTTTTGATCTAAAAATTTTATCACTAGTTTTTTTTCAATAATACCACAATTTTTATAGGGAGATTGACACAAATAGCCCCAAAAAAGTTGTTTTTTTCCAAAAATAGCACCTCATTTAAAAAGTTCCACAAATAGCACCATAAACTTCAATTAAACTTAATGAAAATATAAGATAGAAAATAAAAAAGAGAGCAAACACTAATCTAATATTAAATTGAATAAAAATTGTTTTAAATAGTGGAAATATATACCCTAATTTAGAAATAGAGAACCCAAATATAATACCACAAACTAATATTAAAATAAAAATCTCTTTTTAATGGTAAAAATATATACCATAAACTAATATTAAAATGAATCAAAATCTCTTTTAAATGGTAGAAATATATACCCTAAATTGGAAATAGAGAACCCAAATATAATATTTTAAATTTATTTCTAATTTATTTTGTTGAATAGCTTTTATATAAAAGTTGTGGTATTATTGAAAAAAAAAAGCTAGTGATAAAATTTTTAGAACAAAAACACTAATAGTAAGTTAACTAGTGCTATTTTTGGAAGTTTATGGAGTGTGTGCTATTATTGTCAATAAAACTTGTTTTAGGGCCATTTTTAGGAATTTCTCATTTTTATATAAAAGCTATTCAACAAAATAAATTAGAAATAAATTTAAAATATTATATTTGAGTTCTCTATTTCCAATTTAGGGTATATATTTCCACCATTTAAAAGAAATTTTGATTCATTTTAATATTAGTTTATGGTATTATATTTGGGTTCCCTATTTCCAATTTAGTGTATATATTTCCACCATTTAAAAGAGATTTTTATTTTAATATTAGTTTGTGGTATTATATTTGGGTTCCCTATTTCCAAATTAGGGTATATATTTCCACTATTTAAAAACAATTTTGATTCAATTTAATATTAGATTAGTGTTTGCTCTCTTTTCTATTTTCTATCTTATATTTTCATTAATTTAAATTGAAGTTTATGGTGCTATTTGTGGAACTTTTCAAATGAGGTGCTATTTTTGGAAAAAACAACTTTTTTGGGGCTATTTGTGTCAATCTCCCTTTAATTTTCACTATATACAAATTACATTATTTAATCCAAAAATTATTTTTAACACTTTAGTTTGATAGGGTTTCTCCACAAACTGACTAGAAAAACAATAAAAGAGGCATTTTTTTGAAAAGACACTTGGTTTTGTTTTATTCTCCGGCTTTATAATAGTATAAAATAATTTTAAAAGTGGTGGATGGGGTGGTGGTAGATCACAATTCGCCAAAGATGTGAGAATGGGATTGGGCATTATCGAAAAAGTTGACCCGTAATTTCTGATTGATCACACTACTTTTAGTTTATTTATAAAAATATAGTGAAGAGTCTGGCGACCACTAATTATAATTGATTTTTGGTAGTTCCTGTTAACTTGTGAGCATCATTACATTGGTAAAAATATTATTATACACAAATTAATTTTATAGTAGTAACATAGGTATATTTGGGAAACCAAGTTCTCCAGATTGATAGGAGCAATAAAATACAGATTTCATCCTATTAGAGTTATCTATGTAGAATAAAATGTCAAGTCAAAGTCGTAAGAGTTAAATAATCATATATAGCTTAAATGATTAATAATATATAGAGAAAACATAAGAGATGCCCACAAAACACTATGATTAAGGATATGACCATGTAATTATTGATCTATAGAACAAAATTAGTTACAGTCTATTATATACTCCCTCTGTTCCTTGTTATTTGATGTTTTGGGTTTTTAACTTGTTCCACCAAGTTTGATGTTCTGTACAAATATTATTATTATTTTTGTTTGTAACCAATAGAGAAAGGAGGGAAGTTAAACTAATATTATTAAACTAAGAAAATAATAATAAAAATATATAAAAGTTACTTTTTCTTAATTTGTGTGTAAAACTCAAAACATCATTCTCTTAGAAACAGAGGGAGTATCAGTTATATAGATTGACGAATACTTAGTTAGGTTTACATATTTTTTTGAACTAATGATAACATATTTAAATTAGGTTTGGACTAATAACATATTTTCCAAATGATAACATAGTGATGATGTATCGATCACAAACCATTAAATTATATGTCTTGCTCTACTTAGATTCTCATATTATTTTTCGAGGAATGTAGATTTATTATTATAAATTCATATCATACGATATACTATATGCAACCGCAATACTGTAGATAATTTCGTAGGTCAACGAAATCAAATCGATTTTTTAGGATATAAAAACAAAAGAATACATAAAATGAGGTACCATTTTAGAAGTGAATAGAGGGAAAATTGAAAATAAGATCCGTCCACTTCATCAAATGGCCAATCTTTTTTTGCCATATATTTAGTGCCAAATATGTTTACTAAAGCAATTCACTCTAATAATATGCAACTCATCTTTACGTATTTCTTCTTGTACAAGAAAACATGCGGGACATGTTAGATTCCGTGCGACAAACTAATTAAAAAGTATGATTTGATTGACAATTTGATATAAAGAACTCGATTAGACATGTTGATTGTTTTCTTATCTAAGGATTTTATGCATCCATAAATTCATTATCAACTATCAATGAACAATATTTTAAAAAGTATGATAGTAAATTTAATCATGATAGTCAACTATCTAATTTCAGTTTTTACTTTTATCAAAAATTCGATGCACTAGTTATAAAAACGTTATTTTAAATATAATTTAATATTATATTAAAAAAATCACGATAATTAACAATGGGTTGGAGAGTTTTTAGAGAAAATATATCAAATTTTGAGTTAGAAAATCACTATAATACATGTTTGTTTGTTTTTTTCGTTTTTTTGTGAAAATAATACATGTATTTTTTACTTGGTTTAAGAAAGCCACGAAATAGTTTAACCAAAACTTTTTAACTAACGTACATAAAATTAATGCGAACTGAGAGTTCAAGACTAGCTAACATTTTGTCCATTTTATATAGCGAACTCATTGCTTAAGCTTTAAAAACTAAAAAAAAAAAATATTTTAAAGGTACCGTAGAGATTAGAATCCATACGTGATTTTGTTTTTATATAAACGATATGGATGACGTTAACTATATATATATATATATATGTATCTGCCTTGTGGTATTTTGATTGATGTAAGGAAAAAAAAAAGAAATTAGCATACTGATTGATGGGTATTCCTAAACATCACAAATTTTTACCATATTATTGTGATGAACAATAACAGCTACAACATCATCAAGAGATCAATTTAGTAAGAGGACAATGGGAGAATTAAATGAAACCTGAACCAAATTGATAGAAACCTTTCTTTAAACCTTTCTTTAATGTTGTTCAAACCTCACGTATATATCTACTGCATCCTTACGATATTTTGATCGCTGACAGGAAAAAAATGTTTTGATCAGTATGTGTGTTTGTCGGAATAATTATAACTGATGTTTGGTAAATATTTATACTCTTAAAGAATACCAAGAACTTACTTATAGACACATGCATTTGCGGTTAGTTATAAGTTTTGACATTAATTAAACTCCACGCGACAATAACTGGACGTATCGATTCAATAATACATATATAATCTTTAATTAGAGAGAAATGGGTTCATGATCTAGATGAGTAGCGTAAGAACATAGGACAGCCACATATTTATAGACTTATATGATGTGCTTAATTTGGCGTTTTCTCGCTTAAAATTAAATTATATGTCGTCACATGAAACACTTCCCACTTATTTTCTAAGTTTCTCGATGATAGACGTTCCACACATTTCCGATTTCGATTTACATATGACGTATCAATAAAAAAAAGGAATTGGACCAGTTTAGAGTTTTCGAGGATTAAAATACGTAAACAAAAGTTCACGTACGTTCTTGCTTTTAAGAATTAGAAATACGGGCAAAAGAAACGAAAGTAAGTTTGATAGATTCGGGAGAAGTGTTGTGATTGGATAAGGTATTGACTGACCAAGTACCGATGATTCCGACCGCCTCCACGTGGTCACACAGCTTGGCTTTCACTTTCATGCTCTGACCTTTTGACCGCACGTGACTTTTGTCTGTGCACGTGCGGACGAAGCTAACGTGTCCGGTTCAAGTACATTGCACCGAGCCCTGACTCGCCAGGTTACGCCGATGAAAACGACGGTTCATGGGTCCCGCATGCCATGAGGATGGACGGTTCCGATCCATTTCCTACTTTCCTACTGAGGATCGGTCCCACATAGTTCAGGCCACATGCGTCCACGTTGAGGGAGCTTTAGGTGTTACTATATGGGTGCAGTTAAAAATTAAGACAACCAGTCACGGTCCGATATAAGGTCATGCATTAATGGGTCGGATCGAGTTTAGCCAGTTCAATAAATTAATACTATGCAATTAATTATTTGAATGGGTTGATGCAATTGGTAAGTGTTTTCGGGATTAATTATCGTTTTTTTCCC